CAGCATACTGTGATAAGAGCTTGGCCAGAGCTTCAACAATTCGAGCATCGGTCAAATCTGTGCAGTGGTTGGAGTAGATCTGGGAGACTAGATTGGACACACCTAGACCACACGGACACTTGGTCATCACCTTCTTAAAGGCCTCCACGGCCAGAGCTAAATCAGTTAATGTCCAGTCATTGTCATTTACAAAGGCATTCCTACCATAAAAGCTCTGTTGTAGAAGGAGAGAGTGGAGCAAGGCCAGAGGCATGATGCGGGAAGCCTTACTGACATTCTGAAAAAGAGGAATCAAATGTACATAAAAAGGTAAAAAAATAACATTACAGTTACGGTACATGTAAGATACTTTGTATGATATGAAATAGAATCTTCAGTATGACTACCTCATCATTGGGAAGTTTACAGTTGTTCAGTAAGAAGGCCACAGAGCGATACGACTTCTGCAAGGTAGACTTAAAGTTTCCAGTCTTCTCACAGGTTACTTTGATCCCATGTTGGACAAGCACCCCTGACACAAAAGACATAATTATATTATAGAGACAAAATTCAATAAGTAAAGGTCACCTTAAAATTTCTAACAGTGTTTAGACATCAAAATGTTTTGTCATTTGATTTAGTATTTCAGAATCTTTTATTAGGTCTCCTATAACATGAGCAGATCTGGTCATATTATCATAAACAGTGGCTGTTTAGAAATAAATTGAATGCAATAGAAGCTGACCTGGAATAAGTCTTGTAGAATCGGCCTGAGTTGTGATCCACAGTCGGAATGTGTTGTGAATGCGGAGGTTTAACATCGGGTCATCTGGAGGCTTGGAATGGGTGACCAGATTGGCTCCTTCATCAGCAATTTCTGTGTGCTGTCTCAGTCTCTCATGTTCTATCCACTTACTATACACAATATCCTACAATGACAAACACTCTGTTAACCTATCCACTTACTATACATAATATCTTACAATGACAAACACTCTGTTAACCTATCCACTTACTATACACAATATCCTACAATGACAAACGCTCTGTTAACCTATCCACTTAACTATACACAATATCCTACAATGATAAACACTCTGTTAACCTATCCACTTACTATATACATAATATCCTACAATGACAAACACTCTGTTATCCTATCCACTTACTATACATAATATCTTACAATGCTCTGTTAACCTATCCACTTACAATACATAATATCCTACAATGACAAAGACTCTGTTAACCTATTCACTTACTATACATAATAACTTACAATGACAAACACTCTGTTAACCTATCCACTTACTATACATAATATCTTACAATGACAAACACTCTGTTAACCTATCCACTTACTATACACAATATCCTACAATGACAAACACTCTGTTAACCTATCCACTTACTATACACAATATCCTACAATGACAAACACTCTGTTAACCTATCCACTTACTATACACAATATCCTACAATGACAAACACTCTGTTAACCTATCCACTTACTATACACAATATCCTACAATGACAAACGCTCTGTTAACCTATCCACTTACTATACACAATATCCTACAATGACAAACACTCTGTTAACCTATCCACTTACTATACACTATACACAATATCCTACTTACTATACACATAACGCTCTGTTAACCTATCCACTTACTATACACAATATCCTACAATGACAAACACTCTGTTAACCTATCCACTTACTATACACAATATCCTACAATGACAAACACTCTGTTAACCTATCCACTTACTATACATAATATCCTACAATGACAAACACTCTGTTAACCTATCCACTTACTATACATAATATCCTACAATGACAAACACTCTGTTAACCTATCCACTTACTATACAGAATATCTTTCAATGACAAACGCTCTGTTAACCTATCCATTTACTATACAAAATATCCTACAATGACAAACACTCTGTTAACCTATCCATTTACTATATACAATATCCTACAATGACAAACACTCTGTTAACCTATCCACTTACTATACATAATATCCTACAATGACAAACACTCTGTTAACCTATCCACTTACTATACATAATATCTTACAATGACAAACACTCTGTTAACCTATCCACTTACTATACATAATATCTTACAATGACAAACACTCTGTTAACCTATCCATTTACTATACATAATATCCAACAATGACAAAGACTCTGTTAACCTATCCATTTACTACACAGAATATCCTACAATGACAAAGACTCTGTTAACCTATCCATTTACTACACAGAATATCCTTCAATGACAAACACTCTGTTAACCTATCCACTTAATACAGTGGAGCCTCATTTATCCGGACACTTTGGTTCCTAGTGAATTTATCCTACAAACAGCTCTGTTAACCTAATCATCAGTTAAACAAAACAATATAACACTTAAACATTTCTTACAATGAAAAATCTGTTAACCTATCCACTTACTATACACAATATCCTACAATGACAAACATATCTGTTAAGGTCCACTACTATACACAATATCCTACAATGACAAACAGTCTGTTAACCTATCCACTTACTATACACAATATCCTTCAATGACAAACAGTCTGTTAATCTGGGATACATTAAGGCAGCACTGGCTCATCCTTGGAGAACAAATGACTAAGACTGCAGAGTATACACAATACAAATGCTGGGAATAATATATACAAAAAATTACTCAATGGGGCTTGTTCTTCAACTGTCATGTTTATTGTTATGAATGTTGTAAAGCATTACAGGACAATTTTCTTTTTCAGTTCTTTTTCTGAGGTTTGTAGTACACTGTATATATATACAGCACAGTACTTTTAAGAATGGACTGTTCTATCTATACTAGATTTACCTTAAGCAGTGTATAGAACTGTGGATTGGGTTCCTCAGACAGGTGGTAGTTTTGTAGCAGCAGCCAGTAGCCATTCTGTATACAGTCCTCAATAGCCTGGGTGACCTCTCCTATCTGACCTTTGACACCAAAGTTCATGACTTTTACCCTTCCTTCCATTCCCACTTCCTTTGCTAGTCTCTTGACTTCATGAGATGGACTAATGTAGGAGTAACCTATTGAATTGATAGGCAAGAGTGTATAGACTGAAAGTGCCTCTAAATTCTCGTAAAATCATTTCTACATCAAACAAAAATTGAATCAATTCCTAAAGTACACCGTTAATAAATAATCATTTCACTAAAAACTGTTTAAACTGACACCCGTGCAGTCTGTTTGTGAAGTTTAATCTTTATTCCCATTTTACTATTTTCTTTCTATTTTAATTTTTTTGAACACTTTGCTTTCTCACACCTTATCTATATTAACACAAAGAACTATATGCAGTATATTGCATATACTTGCCCCCACAAAAGTTAAATTTTGAAAACTTCTTGAAATGTGCTGAATTCAATAAATTGTATGAGAAATATAAATTAACAGAAAATATTATAGTGTCAAAGCAGTGTATTCACAATTTTTGTTTTTATGACGTCACAAACTAGTCCGATTTTATATCCTTTTTCAGAAAGAGGACAAAATGGACAAAATTTCAACAATTTTAGCTTTAAAATTTATAGAGCGCAAGTTTGTTCAGGAACAATATTGACATATTTCATTGATATTATCATTTTACACATTATATCAAAATATTGATCCTGAACACACATGCGCGTTCACACTTTTACTCAAAATATCGACGAAATACCGTAAATCTGGAAATTTTTACGTCGATTTTATTTTGCGAATTCGGGTCAAAATGCTGTTGATTTATTTTTACGTTTCAAAATTTTGCGATAGACCATTGCTTTGTTACATTTTCTTATTGGTAATTTATTTTTAAGAAAAATATTTTTGCGAATGCAATGAACTCGCAAATTTGCTAAAAAATTATCTACAGCAAAAATTTCCAGATTTACGGTATGTACATTTTTCTGTAAAATTCATCAAAAACTTAAATTTACGTCATGTTTGTGACGTCATCACGTACATATGGCGTCATTACTTATGAAAGTATTCAGTGCTTTGAAGTCAGCATATACTCCCCTGTTTGAGAACTTAATTAAATTTATCTCCATAAAAGTTTGATTTGGGGGGCAAATATTGGTTATTACCGAATAAAGTTCTTTGTCTCCACCATAAACAAAATATGTGAACATTCTATCGTGTAATTTGGTATGTCTTCAATCATATTTTTAATACTACTTGCTTACCATTTGTACCATCACTGGACTCTGTATCAGTTACAGGGTTAGGGGAGATAAACACCACCGGTGTTGTTTTGTCTGTAAAGTTGTAGACTTCTCGTATGTTATAGTGATCGGCCACCATTCGTACATTCCCTAATTCATACAATGTCATCATGCTGGCTAACTCATACACCTAGAATAAGAAAATGTCAACCCTTACAAAACAGTAAATGTTTATTTTCCTTTCAAAGTAGAAGACACTGATGGGGGGGGGGGGGGGTTAAAATCAATAAAAATGGCAAAATTTACAATATACCAAAAATCCTGTAATCCTTTATTCAAAATGAAGATTTTATTTATATAATTTTTTTTATTCATTAGTTTGGTGTTGGATATTATGACAGACTGCTTCCCCAACTCAAAGAAAGGTCTACAACATGAGTGTGTTTCCCTTTCGGAATACTCATACAAACCCTATCAGGTCTACAGATCTTCCACAGAATACATTTCTGGAAGATGGAGAGTTCCTGGAGGTAATTCCCGGGGACAGGGTTCATCAGAACAATGGGGTGACTGAAGTACTCCTCCCACTGCCTCCAGTTCTGGATGAGTGACCGCCGTAAACCATTAAATGGATGGTGGAGCTGTTCCACCACTACACAGTCAATCCAGGCCTACAACACATATAGCACATATCAAAAAACCCTGTGTTTGCTTAATTTTGATAGAAGCCAAGGACTGTCACCAGAAGGAACTATTAACTTTTACCCATGCACTGTTAAAACTTGGGACACTAAAAAAACAGACAATTAAAAAAAGATAATCTCTTGATCTTTAATCATATAGCATCATTACAGCTGAACACTTAAAAAGACAAAGTGTCGGGGGCATATGATTCTGATTTGTGATAAAAAGAATTTGTTATATCCATAACTACTGTACATAGTACCTTTTTCAAATTACTACAGGGAATGAAAATATCTTTCTTTTGAGTATCACTGCATTATATTACGATGTTAGCTGTAACAGTGTTTGACTATATGAGGTGTACCTGATTGGACATCCCAGAAGGTTTGGATTCCAGCCTTTATTTTGAGTGTGACTACATTATTAGATGTTTAATGGTGTTTGACTAAATGAAGTGTACCTAATTGGCCTTTATTTTGAGTGTGTTTGACTTAGTCACTCTATTAGGATTAAGTATACGAGGTGTACCTGACTGGACATCCCAGCAGGTTTGGATTCCAGTATTTTGAGTGTGTTTGACTATATGAGGTGTTTGACTATATGAGGTGTTTACTATATGAGATGTTTACTATATGAGGTGTTCAACTATATGTGGTGTACCTGATTGGACATCCCAGCAGGTTCGGATTCCAGCCTTTACTTTGAGTGTGACTACATTATTAGATGTTTATTGGTGTTTGACTATATGAGGTGTTTACTATATGAGGTGTTTGACTACACACGGTGTACCTGATTGGACATCCCAGCAGGTTTGGATTCCAGCCTTTACTTTGAGTGTGTTTTACTACATGAGATGTTTACTATATGAGGTGTTTACTGTATGAAGTGTTTGATTATATGAGGTGTTTACTATATGAGGTGTTTGATTATATGAGGTGTTTACTATATGAGGTGTTTGATTATATGAGGTGTTTACTATATGAGGTGTTTGACTATATGAGGTGTACCTGATTGGACATTCCAGCAGGTTTGGATTCCAGCCTTTACTTTGAGTGTGTTTTACTATATGAGATGTTTACTATATGAGGTGTTTACTGTATGAGGTGTTTGACTATAAGAGGTGTACCTGATTGGAGATCCCAGCAGGTTTGGATTCCAGCCTTTACTTTGAGTTGTTTTACTATATGAGGTGTTTACTATATGAGGTGTTTGACTATACATGGTGTACCTGATTGGACATTCCAGCAGGTTTGGATTCCAGCACCGTTGCCTCGTCCAGTCCCTGCTTGTCGAAGCCGTTGATGAAGAGACTGAGCTCTTTGGTGGAGGCTTTACGATTCATCCTCATCCTCTCCATGGAAACCAGCAGCTGTAGCAGGGTGAAGTGCTGCTCAAACATCATCATGGAGACATACTTAAAGATGGCAGTGGATGTGGCGTCCATTAATTCCTGGGCCCTGGCCTGGGGGGCACCTAATGGGACATTGGTCAATTATTATAGCAATCATAGGCTAATATAATATGATTATTACATATTACATAAAAATATATTGAGAATTTACAAAGTTTTGGGCAAAATTTTTGTAAGTTATAGGCTACTGCTGAAATAAACAAAATTTAATCCTTACTGAATGTTTCTGCTTGTATGGTAGATAGATCTTACCACTACTGCCCTTTCCCCTGTCTCTGCCTTTGATGACCCCAGTGTATATCTGGATAAACTTGTGGAAGGGTAGGTAGTAGTACGGATGGAGAGAGCACATCCGACGGATCATGTTATACAACACAGCTGACTGCATGATCATTGGCATGTAGTTGGCAAACTTCTCCTCTAGGTGGTCCCCCATGAATCGAGTTTCCTCCAGGATCTGGCGGTTCTTCTCCACCTCAGCCTGACACTCCAGGAGGGACTTCAGCATTGTCTGGTCCTCTAACAGAGGACCCTCCAAATTCAGAGTCTTCTCACGAATCATGTCCTGTAATAAAAGTCACAGGAGTTAGAACAACAGGGGACCCTCCAGATTCAGAGTCTTCTCACGAATCATGTCCTGTAATAAAAGTCACAGGAGTTAGAACAACAGGAGACCCTCTAAATTCAGAGTCTTCTCACGAATCATGTCCTGTAATAAAAGTCACAGGCATTAGAACAACAGGAAACCCTCTAAATTCAGAGTCTTCTCACGGATCATGTCCTGTAATAAAAGTCACAGGAGTTAGAACAACAGGGGACCCTCTAAATTCAGAGTCTTCTCACGGATCATGTCCTTAATAAAAGTCACAGGAGTTAGAACAACAGGAGACCCTCTAAATTCAGAGTCTTCTCACGGATCATGTCCTGTAATAAAAGTCACAGGAGTTAGAACAACAGGGGACCCTCTAAATTCAGAGTCTTCTCACGGATTATGTCCTGTAATAAAAGTCACAGGAGTTAGAACAACAGGGGACCCTCCAAATTCAGAGTCTTCTCATGAATCATGTCCTGTAATAAAAGTCATAGGAGTTACAGCAAAGACAAGTTGCTGGCTATAATATGTAAATGCCACTCTGTTGTTCATGTTAATTGAGGGAAATGTATGATTCTTACCCTTTCGAAAATTAAAAAAAGGATTATTTGAAAAAGAAAGGAATACATGACAATGATGGATACCGGTATTGCAATAAAAATGGAAAACTACAAACATCCTGCCTTTAAAACAAATGAAAATTTCTTCTTTAACACCTTCTATGGAAAAGATTTTAAGTATTTTCTGACAAACTATTAAAAGATTTCAATGCATTATTTTTTAGTATTTCTTGTAATTTTTGCATATTCTAATGTATATATATTCTGAAAGCAGATATTGTGTAGTTTCTGAAAATGATTATAAAAATATCATTTCAGTTGCCATGGCAATAAAATACACCATAATCATACTGGATTTTCCATTTATTCAAGAGTGAGTTCATTCTAGTTTTTTTTTTGCTTAGTAAAATATATTAAAAACTATTTTAATGTTGTGTTTAAAATTAAGAGCATGTTGCACATTTTTTTTACAAACCATTTTTAAGTATTTTGCAGGATATGGGGTGGGGTTGGGAGGTAATCTCCAGAATTTTGCATTTTTACATATAACATATTACACCTGCATTGATTTCGATAATTGCAAAATCGCTCAAATAGTGCGCAAAGTTTAACTAAAGCTAGCAAAAAAATGGTACAACCAATAAAACAAACTTCTGTATATTATTTTATCAGAATTTTCTCTTTCCAATGATATTTGCAGTATTAACGAAATTATGAATGTTTCTTCACACTATACTTGTTTTTCAAGTCAGATGCGTAGAAATGTGTATATGACATGTAAGGGTTAAACATTTAAGGATCTTTTCAATTAACATTTAAGGATCTTTTCAATTTAAACAAAGCTCTTTGGTTAAGGGTCTGCCAGTAGCTCTTTCGACAGATTGAAAGGAATTTGACACATGTACTACTGGAACTGAATGCTAAACAATGATTTATCCTTTTGACTGCTGTGCTCTGACTTACATGTTCCTTGGCCAGTCGCTGTCTGTGGAGGATGATGTCATTTTCGTTGGAGCGTTTCTGTCCCTCAAACTCCTTCCTCTCGACCTTCATCGTCTCTATCAACAGATGGTTGATGATGGATTCATCACTTAGACTCATGTTGATGATGCACATCCGGTGTAGGGGGACAGCATGGATACCATCACCTATAAAGGAAAGATAAATTTTACCTCAGAAAGTGGGTAAGAAAAAAAAGGAGGAAGGGAGAAGGAGACTTCCTAAAAATCAGCAAATTTAACATTTGAACAAAAACTGTTCTGACCTCACTGTCAGTTTAATTATGACAGTGTAAAAGATATCGATGTACCATTTACTATACAAGTGCAAATTTTAATAAAAGCCTCTCTCATATGTGAACATGATCAAGGACTTAAAACAGAGAAAAGGGTTTCCTTAATTCTGGCTACTTGATTTTTCTTACCTTTTAGAAACAGTGGTACAGATGTACTGAGATACAAAGCAAAGTCCTGGTGATATCGGAACTCCCGGTGGCCGAGTTTGACCACCTTCTGTCCATCTTTATCCACGTAGAACTGTTTCAGCAGTAGACCTCTGTACACTGGGTCTAAAGCTTTCCTCTCCAAGTGTGTCACCAGCACGGTCACACCTGTAAACATCATGTCACATGATATAGAATACTGAGAAACACAGGGAAACATTAGCCATCAACTGTCAAAGATTCAAGTAGTTCAAATTATGTACATCCATGGGACCAAGAGAAAAAAAAACAAATTTTAAAATATCCTTCCGTTCAGAATATTGAAATTGAAAAACATATGGAATAAGCACTTTTAAAAGCCTTCTAAACCCCTTCAACATATCTATGGGAAATGACTAACTTTCAATCCTTTTATAATATACTGAAAGGAAAAAGAAACGCAGGGTAGCATGATATACGAAAACTTTTTGACCGCATGACCGAAAATTACGAAAATTGGTCAGATGAGAAATTAAGTTACTTTGCACCAAAATCAGTGTTCAGAATTACTCAACCGTAAAATGTATGACGTCATGTAGAGAAAACGCTAAAAATCCCAAAACACGTGCAATTTGATGACGACGAGTTTGTCAACAAATTTTGTTGCACCATTTGATGCACCTGAGGTACACACATTGTTTTTCAATATTTAGAGACGATACGAATTTCTTGCAATCTTTGTACAGTTTATGGAAGTTCAATGGGGTCTGATTTCCGAACTGTCTAATTAATGAAAGAGGCAACAACGACTAACTTAGCAGTTTCTTGTAAATTTTCCCCCATAAAACTTGTTACCCGTTGTCAGAGAGGGCCTAGAATGGTTTTCAATCAAACGTGACGATGACGTTAACGCGAAACAGAGTCATGTTTTGAGTGGGTTATTCGTCCTGCCACCTCTTAAATCGCAGTCCTAATACCACAAAAACCGCCTTTTATACAGTAGACTATTATAATCATTACATTCACACAAAAAATGAAAGAAAACAATTCTGCAATTTGTTTATTTGATCATGTCAACTAAGTGTTGTGTTCCTGTCACTCGCGCATGAGCGCTTCGCATGACTAATTTTTTGGCGTGGTTACCCATGCCCAATATTGCCAGGGTTTGAAAGATACTCACTCTGATGAATTCCATGCAAAGGAGAAATAACGCTCATGACAGATGTGCAGGAGAGACATTGAAGATAATGAGAGTTTTCGATTTTCACTTTTGGTGGGTACCGGCATATGAGCTTCAATAAGTCAAAAATTATTAGACAAAATCAAATGATATTTTGGATATATCTTTTTGAAAGATAATTGTAAAAGTTAGATAGGAATACTGAAAAAAATCGAAAGAAAAATAAATTTAATTCATTTAAAAATTTACCCTGCGTTTCTTTTTCCTTTCAGTATATATTATATGAGATATACACCTGTCTAATGTACATTACATGCGAGGTTCCTTCAGCTTCTAACTTACCACTACAGATTCCATGTACATTTAGGTCTATTCTGTAGATTAATTTACCAGAAATATCAGTAGATCTTATTTATTCTAAATTAATTTATGTATTTTTCTATTGTAATTTACACATACCATGCACCACAGCAGTAATAATCCGGCTATCCAGATCTGGATCATCCGCCTCAATGATCCAGAGGTTGTTTTCTGGATGTTCTATGGTCTGTTGTACATTGAGATGACTGAGAGTTTCCCAGCTCGCAGTCACAGAGGTTAAAGGTCGAAGTTCCTCACTATTGAAGGTGTTATGTGAATGTCGACCAGTGACACTGAAAAAAAGAAAATTAGTTTTACTGATATATTCTTATAGATAGTTGTCTTGTGTTTTTATTCCTTTCATTGTTCGTTTTATCCAAAAAAATGAAATGGAATTGATAAAAGAGTCAATGACACCACTAACTAAAGCTGATAAGTAATAAATGTTAGAAGACACCACAAATCAAGTGTACACCGTTTACATTGTGTGACTTACCTTTTGGTGGCTGCAGTGTAGATAGAGGTGGCTGTTTGGACTCCTGAGGTGTCCGTCCTGTAATCATCATTCAGTGTAAACTCTGAGGAGTAGGTCAGGGCGGTGCCTCGGCTGGGTGGGGGCTCGGTGGCGGTGTCCTTGGACTGACACACATCCAGCGGCATGTCCTCAAACTCTGGGACATGATCTCGGACATCACGTTCTGAGAAGATATTCCTACTGCTCTGTAGGGCCGTGACCCAGATTTCCGCTTGGTTATCAGGGTCTATTAGGAGAGGACAGCAGTGTTTACGATTATGACAACTGACTCTCATCAGTAGTGCATTCTGTACAGAGTGAAGGTCTGTAGGGAGATTGTGCAGACGCCATCCAGATAATTCATCAAAGTCGCTGAGTATCTCCTGAAGCAGGTAGCCATTACGTGTGATCAGTGGACTGGCCTCGTCTTCGTCATCAGAATCATCCGCCTCGGGGATCGTCTCATACTCCATGCTGCCCTGCTTCTTCAGCTCCGACTTGTAATACTTACTGGTGTCATAAATACTGGGGAGATACGTGAATGTTCTTATCTCTGGCATGCTGGGAACCCCCGATATAGCACTCTCAGAGGATCTTACACTAGACGCTGCACTGGATTCCTTCTCTTTTAACCCTTCATAAAGTCCACCTAAGTTTGTACTGTGAGGATTAACATTGGGCCCTGTTTGCGGAGTGTAATTGAAGTTTCCTTGGCGACATCTGTCTAACCAATCATTTTGAAGGTCTGACCTGTTTCTGTCAGACAGGGGTCCGTGATACAGGACACAGGCAGCAGTGATCAGGGCGTCCCCGGGGGCGGTCAGAACATTGTGTTTAGCCTTACGGAGCTCTGACTTCCACAGATAATGCTGCATAGACATGTGTTCCATCAAATTCACTGAGCGAGCAATCTTCTTCTCAATACCCTGTCAAAATATCATCATTGAAAGGCATTGAAATTTAAAACATAGGTAATCAGAGATTACAGAGCTCACCTCAACGAATGTTGTCTTCAAGTAAGGCAAAGTCACACAATTAACCAACAAAAAGTATACATTCCAAAAATGAAAATATTTTTAAAAGCAATTTTGATCTGATACTTTGAAATAGACCTACATAAAAAATTTAAACTACTTCTTCTTCATGAAAATGTAATGAAAATCCAGCATCTGAAGCAAATTTGAGAGTTTTCATCTCTTGATGCAGCATTTGTGCAAGTTTGGTTTATACAATGTTATATAAGCCTTATAGTTTTTGGTAATAGACCTGCAACCATAACTTTTACCTTGTCTATTATCTGAAAAATGTATGTCCAATTCAGCATCCGAAGCAAGTCCATTAGTGTGCATCCTTAGATGTATCATCCATGCAAGTTTGCTCATTATAGGGCTCATAGTTTATTGGAAATGTTCATTGGAAATGAAACATGCATCAAAACTAACATTTTCACTCATCCACAAAAAGTAGGTCAGATTCAGCATCCGAAGCAAGCCTGGAAGTATGCATCCTTAGATGTATCATCTATGCAAGATTGGTCATTAAAGAACTCATAGTTCCTTGGAAATGAAACCTGCACCAAAAACTTTTAACTATTCACTCAACCGGAAAATGTAGGTCAGATTCAGCATCCGAAGCAAGCCTGGTAGTGTGCATCCTTAGATGTATCATCCATGCAAGTTTGGTCAACATAGGGCTTAAAGTTACTTGCAAATGAAACCTGCACCAAAAACATTAACCTGTTCACTCAACTGGAAAATGTAGGTCAGATTCAGCATCCGAAGCAAGCCCGGTTGTATGCATCCTTAGATGTATCATCCATGCAAGTTTGGTCAACATAGGGCTTATAGTTACTTGGAAATGAAACCTGCACCAAAAACATTAACCTGTTCACTCAACTGGAAAATGTAGGTCAGATTCAGCATCCGAAGCAAGCCCGGTAGTATGCATCCTTAGATGTATCATCCATGCAAGTTTGGTCAATATAGGGCTCATAGTTACTTGGAAATGAAACCTGCACCAAAAACTTTAATCTGTTCACTCAACCGGAAAATGTAGGTCAAATTCAGCATCCGAAGCAAGCCCGGTAGTATGCATCCTTAGATGTATCATCCATGCAAGTTTGGTCAACATAGGGCTTAAAGTTACTTGCAAATGAAACCTGCACCAAAAACATTAACCTGTTTGCTCAACCGGAAAATGTAGGTCAGATTCAGCATCCGAAGCAAGCCCGGTAGTATGCATCCTTAGATGTATCATCCATGCAAGTTTGGTCAACATAGGGCTTATAGTTACTTGGAAATGAAACCTGCACCAAAAACTTTAACCTGTTCACTCAACCGGAAAATGTAGGTCAGATTCAGCATCCGAAGCAAGCCCGGTAGTATGCATCCTTAGATGTATCATCCATGCAAGTTTGGTCAACATAGGGCTTATAGTTACTTGGAAATGAAACCTACACCAAAAACTTTAACCTGTTCACTCAACCGGAAAATGTAGGTCAGATTCAGCATCCGAAGCAAGCCCAGTAGTATGCATCCTTAGATGTATCATCCATGCAAGTTTGGTCAACATAGGGCTTATAGTTACTTGGAAATGAAACCCACACCAAAAACTGCACCAAAAATGTTAACCTGCTCCAAAAATATTAACCTGGTAATTCCTTTGCTGAAATTGCAGCATCTGAAACTTTGACTGGTACAATGAAACACACTAGAACCATCTTCCATGCATATCTAATCAGTATAGGACACAGAAGTAATTAAAAAGAAAACTGCTCCAAAAAACTTAATCTTAACCTGGGACGCCGACGCCGACACCGACGCCGACGCCGAGGGTATCACATAAGCTCCCCCCAACTTCGTTGAGGTGAGCTAAAAAGCAAAAAGCTTTTAATAATGAGAAACTCATATTTAAAGCAAGTTTCTTTATTAAGATAGAATTTTACCTGCATATGTTTCTCTATGGTTTTGGCCCTCTTTACAGCAGCTCTGTGAACAGTGATTTTGCTCTCCAGTGCCGACTTGATGCGATTTGCCTCCACACGCAGCTGACCTAGTTTTGCCTGAGCCAGGGTGAATTTATCCTCATGCTCTAGGAGATTTCGGAGCCTGGGTTGCATGTTGCGGTGGATGTGAGCATACTGATACACAGCGTGAACCCACATACAGATTCCTGCGGCAGCCTTACTTACTGCAGCAACATTGTGTACTTGGAAGTTTTCATCTGTAATGAATCTTCGGAGTTTCAGGTAGATGTCATCTGGAATGTTGTCTTTGTCATAGAACATCATGGACTCCAAGAAGTTGTCTTTGATCATCAGAAGTTTAGCATTTTCCCAACTGAAACAAAGTTTATTTGATTGGAATTTCTTAACAGTTGCCATTTGTTAAATAAAATGAGCAAAAGTTTTACTTTTAAACTTGGTAAACAATTGTGAATTTTTCAATATCAATATATGACAAATCATGACTTTGCTGTTCTTGAGAAAAAAAAATATTTATTCCTATGTAAAAATTTGATCCCCCATTGTGACCCCATCCTACCCCTGGGGACATCATTTGAACAAACTTGAATCTATACATGTTAAGAAGGTATCTTATAGTAGGCAACTTTTGGCTCGTAGGCTTTTAGGATGTTTCTAAAATATCTCCCCTTGATAAAGAGTGTGGTCCTTCATTTGAATAAACTTAAATCCCCTTTATCTAAAGATGCATATTTTTTTGTGTCAAGTTTGGTTGAAATTGGTCCTGTAGTTCTTGGGAAGAAGTCAAAAATGTGAAAGTATAAGTTTTCATTATGACTACGGCTACAATCAGACGACAGACAATATGATCAGAAGAGCTCACTTGAGTCTTTGGCTCAGATAAGCTAAGAAGTTCATAGTATCTGTTGGTGATTTTATCCATAACATTTATGGAAATGCAGAATAGACTGCGGTTATAAAGACATAGTGTTTAAACGTGTAATTAATTAACACTTCATTCACAAACTATAACCAATCACATCCACAATGTCCATCCACAGAAAACTTAATTATCTCTAGATTAGAAGAAATGCTAGCTTACCCACATTCAGGATTTTTAATTAAAAATAAAAATTTGATTTAATGGATTATTACATTTAACTTTAAACATATTTTAATTTTTCAGATTTTTCACTGATTACCATTGATCCAACGGAATAGCCTGTTAATTATAGATATTTACTAACGGCAATCTCTAGGTTTTATTTATAATACTACTTGAGTATTTCCCAGTTCAGGTAAAAGTCAACATACTGAGTTATTTTCCATAGGAAGACTTAGCCTGAGTCTTCAGTTCAACCTAGGGGTACTGTGGCACCATGTTCAGCATATAATATCCCTGCTCCTGGCACAGTCCACATTTTTGTATGGGATCACCCCCCCCTCCTTAACTTCAACACGCACATCTCTGGCCAACAGATGTGTTAACAAGTTTGGCCTTTCAGTCAGACACAAAAATGTCATCTCCTTGGTTTTTTTCATGCCACAGAATAAGAAAGGGAATGTATATAATATTTTTGCAGGAAACAAGGTATGTGAAAATTTTACTTTATTGATTAATTAGGATTTTTGAGTAGGCTACAATGCTTTAGAGGAAATGAAATTTTATCCACCCACCTAGCTGAAAGCTAGGCATTTCTTCCTTAAGTATATTTTATTGCTACCAATAAATTTAAAGCCATAATTTACTTTTTTTAATATATGTCTTTCCAAAGCTCATATTCAAATTGACTTAGCCACTGAGCCACTGGGCCATCAATAAGCCAATACTATACCCATGTTGCCAAAATATAAATCTATAATATTATAAGTATAAAATGTACATGTACATGCTAATGAATTGGGGGGGGATTAATAGGTCTCATAATCTGAAATAAACTATCATACAACCAATTAATTGTGAGGTCCCTGATTGGTCCTGCTGTTAACAGATGAAGACTTACTCCTGAGGTACATCAAACAGCAGACAGAGAGAGTTCATGACAAACTCCACCAGACTGGGGGGTAGCCGGTATGACTTAACCTCCTCTATGTCAGCCTTATTCAGGTACTCCAGGGCTGTCATGGCCGCATGGTAGTTAGGATTCACCTTAAAATAGCCAGGATAAAAGTTAGAATCTTAGCAGCCATTCTTACTGGATACCATTCATGTTTAATCAATGAAAATTTCACAAAATATTTTTCAGACAATTTAGAAGAGTTTAAAAAATAATGTCCTCTGATCTCTCTTATTTACTTACAGTTATGTTGTATTCAAAAATTTATACATGACAAAAATCAATGAATGATTTCACAGCACATCAAAAAACAAAACATGTCATATGAAACATTCAAAAATAATAAGCTTAGAAAATCAATCAACACAATTCTTAATTATTTCTCAATTAAAATCTGATCCTAAATTCATGTTACTAAAAGTGCACCTGCTATACTGAAGTGTAGTTTGACTTAAATCTGCATACAAATTTTGCATAAAATCACATAAAAATAACCACAAATACACTTACATGTATCAAAACTTATAATTAACCCACCACTCTTTCTTTCAACAGCTTAAAATCTGGCACATTTGGCAGTTAACCATACTAAATTTCACACTAGGTTTGACTCATACTCAATATTTAACTCATATAAAAAAAAACTGCTGAAAAATCAACTGGACCACAGATTTTATCATTTAAGGAAAAATCATGTGGTTGTGCATTGTTGAAAGATTCTTTTTCTTCAATTTTATATATTTGAACAATGCTTTAACCGAAAGCCTTAATTACTTTTAAATAAAATTGAGTGCAGTTGGTTTCAGCAAAGTGACCATTCAGTTTCTGCAATATTATCTGCTTTTATAAAATATTTTATTACAATGAGAAGTTGTCTTTTTGATTCTGAGTTTTTCTGCATTAGTTCACTGAAGCAAATCTGCAGGTTGCTAGACATTTGCAGCTTCACATTAAAGTGTCACTGTGTTGCACCAGAAGCTTAGAGTGAGCAGGAGTAATGCTGACCATCAAAACATAAGTATATCATTCTATACTGCTCTGTATGATTGTTACAGGATAATTTCACATTTAAAGATCGAATTGACAGGTGTAAAAATGTATTTGTGGCCATGAGTGGAATAATAATAACAGTAATTAAACCGGTGTCAATTAAGCAAGTTAATAGAATCTTAATGAAAGAATGAAAATTCCATGAGTTGCTTTAAAATCATTTTTAGATGCAACTGCTCATAACATTCAGAATGATGCAAGACTAGACTTGTACATGTCTGTGTCCATTACACTGGTGTGTTATAAGTTTTGATTAGTATACCTTCACCTAATTCTCAAGCCAAATTACAAGTGTATATCCACTGTTTTGCAAAAAATGTCAGATGAACTTGGGTATTTTATGACGTCTTAATGAACACGTACTTCAAAATAAAATATTTTTTGCACCGCATTAGTACAAAACCCAGCAACTCTTCACATGGAATCACATCACTGCCACCACATTAGGCATGTTGGACGCCACATTGTGGCATCTTTGTACCTTGTACTGGGTGAGAGTGTAATATTCAATCTCTCCCCGTCGTCTTTTTACAATGGATTTCTTTTGTGTTATAGGCTGAATAATTATACAATATTTTCATTAGCATAGTTACTTAATTATTATTTTATTTAAAATTGAAAAATTATTGAAAGTTTGTAACTCATATTTTGTCCTGGTGGTAAGAATTATTTCTCAATATGACTACCAGGGTTATCCCTCCTTTGTCATAATGTACATTTTTCAACAATTAGAACATTGCTTGCTATCTTGAATACTGTATCTAAATTTCCTAGTAACTGTAATATTTTTGGGGGGTGGTTTAGTACTTACAATATTTTGTTGCTTTAGAATTCAGAATAAATATTTTTGTGATATTCAGCATTTTACTACTAAGAGGATAGCCATGCTTCTTTGTACAGATATTGAGCTGGTGTTGAGTTGACTCGGCATGACCTTGAGTGTTATACTGACCTTGTCAAACTCGGTCTGAGCCTCCCTCCTCAGCTCCTCTAGTGGACCCTGTAGATGTTCTATCTTCTGTTCCTGGGATTTACATCTGTCTAAAGCCTACAACAAGAACAGGATACACTAATAAGTACTCACATCTTAAGAGACATAGAAATAGCATCTCACAAAGATTATAACTTTTTACATTTGACATAAAATACTTTTACCAATTGAAACAATGTAAATTTTAGATAAAAGATTTATTTTCCTTTTTATAATGTGTTATTATATATTTTCTAATATGTCAATTATAATAATATCATTTCATTTGATTATTCTAAATTTTCTTTTAAACATTTACATTATGTCTCAACTAACCTTAATTTTCAACTGTATAATTATATTGTAGCTTCTGCATATATTGTAGCTTTTATAAGGTATGTATTGACCTGTATATATTGTAGCTTCTATGAGCTATATTCTGACTTGTATATATTATAGCTTCTAATTAGCTTTATTCTGAACAGTATATATGCTGACCTGTATATATTATAATTTCTATAAACTATATTCTGACCTGTATATATTGTAGCTCCTCTAAGCTATATTCTGACCTGTATAAAAGCTACAAGCTGACCTATATATAAGCTATAAGCTGACCTGTATTTTTGTAGTTTCTATAAGGTATTTTCTGACCTATATATATTGTAGCTTCTCTAAACTATATTCTGACCTGTATATAAGCTATATTCTGACCTGTATATATGCAATAAGCTGACCTGTATATAAGATATATTCTGACCTGTATATAAGCTATATTCTGACCTGTGTATAAGCTATAAGCTGACCTGTGTATATTTTAGCTCATCTAAGCTATAATCTGACCTGTTAAGCTATAAGTTGACCTGTATATAAGCTATAAGCTGATCTGTATATATTGTAGCTCATCTAAGCTATAATCTGACCTGTTAAGCTATAAGCTGACCTGTATATAAGCTATAAGCTGACCTGTATATATTGTAGTTTCTGCTCCTCTACTTGCTCCACTAATTCCTTTATTTCTGCCATGGCTGCTTTGTGTTTTGGCATCAGTTCAGACACCTCTCTCTTAAACTCAGAGATACTCCCAAAGGCTTCATTCACTTTCCCCAGAGTCTGCTCATGTTTACTGATATTCTCCTAAGACATGAATTTCATGTGTGTCAACAAATTAGGGAATCAAATCTTTCATTTGTTATTTGGATGATGAAATGTGCATAAAAATTATGTTTGGTAAAAGAATATTTAACTATTTCAATGACATTAAAATTTGAAAAAAAGAAAGTAAAGAAAATCCAGAGTCTGAATGCTTTCTATATACTTCAATAGTAAAACAACATTGACACACTAGAAGAAAAATAAAACCATGTAATATAAATTGACCACAGCTAGATAATTTAGGTAGAGATACTTACATATTCCCTCTTAACAATGTAGGCACACAGGACCCTGAAGACGTGTACAAACTCCATGAACGTGAGAGGTGAGAAGAATCGTAATGGCTCCTTCTGGTTACAGTACTGGCGCTCTATCACCACTTTGGCAGACATGTGGATGTAGGCCATCGCTCGACTGGTCAGAAGGATCTGGTCCAGCATACGTGTAGGGTGCCAGGGTATAGTTATCTACAAGTAAAACACTTACATTTTGTATTCAAAGAATCCTGGAATACAAAAACTAATTCATTTTTTTTTCAACAATTTGTACACTTTTGTTAAAAATTGTCATGTACAGCTTTATTTTCAGCCTGCTTTAAAAACTCCTTCGATGATTTCTGTAAAGTTTGCCATTTGCTGATCAGTTTTGAATGAACCAAAATGAAAACTCTATTTCTGATATAATTTATCCTTGGCCTCTAAGTAATACAATCACAATACTAAAATGAGACCTACCCCTGACTTTTGATCTCTGAGCCACACATTGGCTATCCTAACATAAGCCTGGTAGTTCCAGGGTCTATAAGTGTCTATAGCAAAGGCGTTCTTCAGTAGCCCGGGGTACTTCATTATCCTCTGATGGAACACCTGGGAATCACTGCAGTAACTATTTCCTATACAGAGCAAAACACATTATATTATTGTTCAGGTAAATTGAATAAAAATTTGTTAAATTACACATTATTTAAGGTAAATTTGAATACAAAATTGATAAATTGATACTGCCAATTTATCACTTCTTAGTTATAGATTATTTGTTGATATATTGTAGATCTGAATCAAAATTTGTGAATGTTGTCCAGAACCTTCATTAAGCACTAAGAATTGTGCATTCTACAGGCCTAAGCCATGACCTACCTCTGTAGTTCATACACATGACTACATGTAGGTTCTGGCGAATCTTTTTCAGGAAGCGTTCCAGAGCAATTTCAATTTTGTCCACTCTTTTAGTGGTGACTCCACCAGGCATTACGGCTGACACTATATTCTGTATCTCTTCATCACTATACAACCCGGGACTAGTTCCTATACAGAAAAGTTTATATAACAGTTTTAGTTTGGAGGTTAACAACTTTAATGTTTCTTATATGTCATACTGTCTTTATTCATGCCTCCAAACAAAAAAATTCTAATGCTGTTAAATACTTCTGATGTAAAATGAATGTGAAAATCTGTCTATGAGCTATTTTGATTCAAAAGATGTACATATACAGCCAAAAGAGAAGGATTCTTAAGTGTCACTTTGCTATGCAGGTGATATCAATATTATTCATTGGAAAGAAATGATAAAGACTGTATATCAGCCAAATTAACAGCCCTCCAGCTAAATAAATACCCTAGATCCACCCCCTACAAATGACATTACAAATTATTTATATAGTAAGATTCTCTTTGTAAGACTGACCTTCATTCATCAGACAGGCAACATCCTGTAAACATTCCTCTCCTAAGTCTTCGTGCACCAACAGCACAGTGGGTTTACCCAGAATTCCAGTGTGATAGCACGCCCGCTTAATGTGCTCCCTCAGGATCTGTAGATTTCTACTGGAGTCTGACTGAGGCTTAGGTTCAAATAACTGAAAAGTCAAAGTCAGTTCACTGAATTTCATTTACCTGTATTAATGTTCTTACTTAACTTGTAACTAATCAAGCCTTGTAACCAATTAAGCCTTTTTAAAATGATTTGTGCTTCCCATTCAAAACTGAGTCATCAAACAATATAAAGCACTAAAGTTCACAAAAATATTGGGAAACAAGGTGCAGAAATTTTCCAGACATAAAGGAAATACGTATTTCAGTACAGAATAGAAATAAAAGTGGTGTTGCTTCACAACATATCATCAACGTGTGCATTATCCCTAAGCCACGACCCATAACCTCATCAGACTTACCCCACGGCACTTTTTGCGACAACAATATCCTGGATACTTCTAAACCACAATCATGATATAGATTTTTAGATTTTTAAAATTACACAACTGTACTTGGTTACCAAATACAGAAGATTTATGCAGTTATATAACTTGCCACCTAATTCCCACTTCTCTTGAAGTAAAATTGGGAATGTATTACATGTATGTGCATATAGAGCCCTAACCCAGTTTCCAATTTATCTTTAAGCTAATAAAGATAGCAAGGGAAAAATGGATTAATTTAAGAATCCCAAAGAAAACAAAGAATAAATGTAGTACTTAGAATGAATCAAGGAATCAGAAGGCTTTCTTCAGAAGTTGACTTTCTTAAAAAAGAGCTATGTACATTGCTTGAGGTGGACTTACTTTACAGTGAGCTATGTAGACTACTAGAGTTTGACTTACTTTACAGTGAGCTATGTAGATTGTTAGAGTTTGACTTACTTTACAGTGAGCTATGTAGATTGTTAGAGTTTGACTTACTTTACAGTGAGCTATGTAGGCTGCTAGGCGAGCTAGTGTAGCTCTCCCAGTAGAGTAACTCATTCCCAAAAGAATAGCATGTCCTCCTTGAATTGCCTAAAAAAAATGAAAACTTAAGGTATTTGAATTTTTTTTTTTGAATTTTTTTTTTTTACACAATGTCTTTAAATAGTGAGTACTTTTCTAGAAAAGACAGTAATTAATTTGGAAATCTAGCAATTTTTTAAAAAAGATCAATTTGTTTTGTTTAAATTCTTGAACTTTATTTACTAGAACTCTGCTTAGCCTGGCCGCGTGTCGGACAGCATCGGAGAAGAAGACCAGATCCATTCTCTGGGAAGTGCCCTCGTTATACACAGACAGACAGGTGGACAAAGCCTCACTCAAATTATCCTCTGACCCTTCCACATAGCCTGAAATAGAGTAACGTTATATCATTGAGAGGGTCTTTGGGTCATGTATTAAATATTTACTTTCAAAAACGTTAGTTACAATATGTTAGCTAAGCTTCTTGTGAAATAAATCTTTAAGTTTACATTTTAGTAGTAGAAAAACATTGTAAATGCCAAGGCAAAAATATTGAATTATTTTAAGTATATATAATCAATCCTTTCAGATCAGTTCATAAGTACATGTTTGAAAACTACAGGGAATAAAATCATTTTGATTTGCAATGAATTTGTGTTATACTGTACTCAATATATAAATAAGTGTAACTAGTACACAGCCAAGTCTATATCATTCCCTGTACATTTCCCTGCTGGTTACTGACCTTTTTCCACTGGCAGTCCCTGGGTCTCTGTGTACGTCGTCATGTAGAATTTAGAAAAGATAATGTCCATCAAGGAGTCATTGGAACCTTTAATCTAAAACAGCAAATTGTCATATCAGTCTGAAGCACAATTAATTTGATATGAATATATTTAGTCATTGGCTTAAGTGAGAGACTTTCTTTGAGTCAAATTTTGTAAAAATTCATGAGTTCTATTTAGTCTGTAGAACCAATTATAATCTCCAAATTTAAATAATGCAAAAAATAAGATATATGTGCTTCATTTTCAAGATAATTTAGAACAACAGAAACCACTTTTTATTGTTATCACTGTATAAAGCTGCATATATAAAACTTATCAAGTTAGACAAACATCTACAGTACTGATTTGAGTGAGGTGGGGTGGGAGCTGAAGGGTGTGTTCTTGACTATGAAATAATTACTTTACTGGGAACCAAGTATTTACCTCATCTAGACTCATAAGGGGACCAAAGTAAGCCTCATGCTCCCAGTCGGCCAGCAGTCCTGTCTTAAATGTGACTGTCTTCATCTTCAGACTTCCCCTGCTCTTCAGGTTAGGGTTAGACGAGGATTTACCCAGGGCACTGACTGGAATAAGACAATGTCACTCCAAATAAACAAGGGGTGATCATAGATTTTAGAAGTTCTCATTTATAACTGAGTTGACAATGAAAAAGAAAAATTACATTAAGACATCTAAATTTAAAATAAAATATATGAATTCGAATCCAAATTATCCCTATGATAACAACTGCAGATTTAAGCCTAATTATGTGTGATCTTTTTGAACTGCATTTAATGACTACTAAAGCAGGATTTTAGCATATCTTTCCTATACAAAAGATAACAGACTGACTTTTCTAGCATAGAGCACTATACAGTATCAGCAATACATGTAGCAGAAATAAGAGTTCTTTCCCTTTGAAAAGAAAGATGGCAGTACTAGATCACATAGAGAGGACATCACCTATTTACAAAATACCATTTGTACATGGCAGCAATGAGTACCATTTTCTAATTTGAGTGAAATTAATATGTATAAAACGTTCAGAAAACTAATCACACAAGTTAGCTCATTTTCCTTACATATGCCATGCATATTAAATGTAAACCTTGGAATATATTCTGGGGGATATCTGCGAGTTCAGGGTGTCTATTTTTACCTTCACTATCAGAGCGCAGTGGTTCTTGGTGCGGTGCCTGTGGTGCTCGTGTCGGGGACGAGGCCTCCACTTCACTGGTGGTGTCAGTGCCACTCTTAGAACTGGAGTCTGTGCAAGGGGGATAACTCTCAGGTTAGAAAGATTAATACAGAGATGGATCAAGTGTCCTCCAGACAAAGAGGGGTTAATTCTGTGTTAGTAAGAGTAGTGTGTACAAGCTCCTAGTGTCCGTATAGAGGTTTTAGCCAAAGTTGATTGCTGATTGTAGCTCAATATATCTGCTACCAAAATCTAGTAAACTTTTTGTATTCTGATCAATACTATAAATGAAATTTCATAGGACAATCTAAAGGGGAATTTATGAGTGTGTCGAATGTTTTGAAAACTAGGAAAGAAATTCAAATAGTGCATGAAGTGATAAGCTACCATGCTTATCAATAGAGAAGAACTTGTTTTATGAGTATAAACATAGTCAGTTATTCTACAGGTACTAGTATTTTAGCAAAGAAACTAGCATGCAGCTACGGGAAATAAACATGAGGATTATTAGATTTTAAGGGGAGGATCTAACTCTAATCACCTACCTTTACTTTTACCACCGGACGCTTTGATTGCAGCTATTGAGTGAAGAAGTGAGGCTTTATAAGCTTATCTTATAAATCTAATACACATTATCACGTTAGCACTAGAAATAGCCACACAGCAATCTTTGTCAGGTGACGTTTCAAGTAAAATATTTTTTGATTTCAAAAATTATGTTTTTATTAAACTCCTATAAGTATGAAATCATAACTTGTAAACCAGCTTTCAATTGATCATTTCAGTTGTACACATTTATGTGCTGACATGACATATGTAGGGACTCCTATCAATGTTATTAATGTAAAAAGTAAAAGAAATAATAATAAAAAACAGATAAAATTCAATACAAAAAAGATTAATGAAATTTAATGTCTATATTTATGCATAATATAGTCATAATTAAACACAAAAGTGACAGTCTAAGATAGATTAAAAATAAATAAAACGTGAGTGAATAAAAATAATATAATTGGCAAATGTGAAATATTAAACATTCATAAACTGATGTGGGGGAATATAAAATTGCTTTTTGCTGTGAAGAAAACTAATGCTGCAATAAACAGTATAGTCAGTACGACTGTATGACTGTGTGGTGTACAGAACATGACATTTTACATTTCTGGCTTAGATTTTCCTTGGTTTACCAGGTGCATCAGTACTTATATAGTGAAATTGACATTCCAGTTGCATTTTACTCACTAATTTAACAAGAGTAAGCAATGAAGGATAAGTCATTCAAATATTCAACAAATTTAATTTAAATTCATAAACATTATATACAAGAACACTAGTTATTCATCATTTTCAGGAGAATTTTTTTTTATCTTCATCAGTAATTATAGAACTGATTAATTCCAGGGTTACTACAATACTTCATAAAATTTTATTATATGTGAACTAGCTTGACTGATGATGAGAAATAATCTGAGACAATGGGGACTTAACAGTTAGAATGCGAGATCCTTTTTACCTGTCAATGTGGAAAACTCGCTGGCTTGATTCTGTGCATCAGTTTTAGACTGAACGCTTGGCAAGTCTAGAAAAGAGAACAAAGTAGTATGTTGATATTAAATCATTTAATTCTTAGACTAGCAATTTGTCACCTTGACTAAATGATCTTTGAGACAAATTATGACATGCATCTTATAATCACATCATTACAAAAAAGGCTAATTAAATTTTTTTTTAAGAAATAAAATAAACTTTGATGTACGTATACTGAAATAAAAAAGCCATCAATATCATAAATTAAACCTAGCTTTATTAAGAGACAGAGTCAGGAGGACTTACCTCTGGGAGTTTCGTATTCAGTCTCTGTGGTGGTTGTCTCCTCCTCACTTTCCTCAGATGATTCTTCTGTGACCTCACTCTCATACTCGCTCGAGTGTCCCTCAGTCTCAGTTTGACGAGTAACCTCTGACCCAAGGGTCACTGAAATCAAAGGTCAATTATATTTCTTTGATATTAAATTGTACTGATCAAATTATTTCTCATTATTCTTGTAAATGTGAAAAATTTATGTGTGGGTGTAATCTTGTTAAAGACACAATATAAAGAAACATTTTGGGTAAAAATCCCCTGCCCCTGTACTTTAATACATGTTGTACTCAGTTTTAACAATAATTTTAAGTCCTAATCCATTGGCATTGTGGAGATAACCCCAAAAGTGCTACATGCTACGATTTGAGAAAATTAATTTGCATAAGTTGTTTATTCAATGCAAACAGCACTTATAAATCACTTCTCGCTTCAACGCACACGCTGCTGTCCAGGTACAGGTATAGCTTATAGCCTGGAGCAGTTGATTAATCTTTTCAGTTTGAAGGGGTACGAAGTGAAACACATACATAAGGGCTTGATTAATAGTCATTGTATTAAAAACAAAAATTAAAGTCAATAAAATGATAATCAAACAATAAAAGCCAAAAAGATCGTTTTTTGAAAACGAAAGTAGAAAATTTCAAAGCATATATTCTGATTTTAACTGCTAATAATAAAAATATTGAATATTGTCAATTTAAAAAAATATTGAAAATAATTTAGATTTAATACATGATGGTTTATCATACTCATATTGTACATTGTATTTCTTTGTTACATATATGTCAACATGGTCAAGGAAATACCAAAGACCCATATGACATTGCCAAGACTGCAAAAGTTTATCATGTTCATGATGTAGTCTTTTACAATATTAATTTTTCTTTGGGATGGGTGGGGGTGGGGCTTGTGTTTAAAAATTCATGATTTAATTAGGCCTATTTCTCTAAATTGTTTCATGTGTGAGATAAAATTAATGATGCACTGTCTATATACTTACTTAAAGGTAATAAAGTGACACTTGATTTTAAGGGTACATACCAGAAACAAAATGTAAATTAATAGAACAGAGCAGGGACCTATATCTCTGACCAGAGTGACAACTATTAAGCAAAGATATTTAAATTTGGAAAAATAAAACTTTAATTTGTATTGTTTTGTATTCATAAGTGCTATCAATATTATAATAAAAAAACAAGAGGCCCAGGGGCCACATCGCTCACCTGAGCAATTGGCTAGGAAAAAACACAGATCAGATCAGAACTGAAAGTAAAAAATTTTACACCCACCCCCAGGGGGTCATGATTTGAACAAACTTGAATCTACACTACCTGAGCATGATTCCACATGAGTTTCATCTTTCCTGGCCCAGTGGTACTTGAGAAGAAGATTTTTAAAGATTTTTCCTATATATTCCTATGTAAAACTTTGATCGGCCATTTTGGCCCCACCCTACCCCCGGGGGTCATGATTTGAACAAACTTGAATCTACACTACCTGAGGATGATTCCACATGCGTTTCATCTTTCCTGGCCCAGTAGTTCTTGAGAAGAAGATTTTTAAAGATTTTTCCTATATATTCCTTTGTAAAACTTTGATCGGCCATTTTGGCCCCACCCTTCCCCCGGGTTCATGATTTGAACAAACTTGAATCTACACTACCTGAGGACGATTCCACATGAGTTTCATCTTTCCTGACCCAGTGGTTATTGAGAAGAAGATTTTTAAAGATTTTCCCTATATATTCCTATGTAAAACTTTGATCGGCCATTTTGGCCCCACCCTACCTCCGGGGGTCATGATTTGAACAAACTTGAATCTACACCACCTGATCCCACAAGCTTCATCTTTCCTTGGTACTTGAGAAGAAGATTTTTGAAGATTTTTCCTATATATTCCTATGTAAAACTTTGATCGGCCATTTTGGCCCCACCCTTCCCCCGGGGGTCATGATTTGAACAAACTTGAATCTACACTACCTGAGGATAATTGCACATGAGTTTCATCTTTCCTGGCCCAGTGGTTCTTGAGAAGAAGATTTTTTAAGATTTTTCCTATATATTCCTATGTAAAACTTTGATCGGCCATTTTGGCCCCACCCTACCCCTGGGGGTCATGATTTGAACAAACTTGAATCTACACTATCTGAGGATGATCCCAAATGAATTTCATCTTTCCTGGCCCAGTGGTTATTGAGAACAAGATTTTTAAAGATTTTTCCAATATATTCCCATGTAAAACTTTGATCGGCCATTTTGGCCCCACCATACCCCCGGGGGTCATGATTTGAACAAACTTGAATCTACACTACCTGAGGATGATCCCACATGAGTTTCATCTTTCCTGGCCCAGTGGTTCTAGAGAAGAAGATTTTTAAAGATTTTTTCTATATATTCCTATGTGACGGCCATTTTGGCCCCACCCTACCCCTGGGGGTTATGATTTGAACAAAATTGAATCTACACTACCTGAGGATGATTCCACATGAGTTTCATCTTTCCTGGCCCATGGTTCTTGAGAAGAAGATTTTTTGAAAATGCCATTAATTTTTCTCTAATTCATAATTATCTCCCCTTGGAAAAGGGCCTGGCCCTTCATTTGAACAAACTTGAATCCCCTTCACCCAAGGATACTTTGTACCAAGTTTGGTTGAAATTGGCCCAGTGGTTCTTGAGAAGAAGATGAAAATGTGAAAAGTTTACGACGACAACAACGACAATGCCAACGCCGACAGACAACGGACAAATTTTGATCAGAAAAGCTCACTTGAGCCTTCGGCTCAGGTGAGCTAAAAAAGTATTTCATAATCATTTATTTTCATGACAAAATGTCGCAAATTTAAAGCTTTGAAAATTGTCGTCATGCGCCAAATCCCCCATGGGAATTTTCAAAAGTTGGCATGTATGAAAGTGCTTGCTACTAATTTGCATAATAAACAGCACTTATAAATATCACCATTATACAGTACTATTGTTGATACAACCAACATAAAGGTAGTTTATGTTATAACAAACAGCCTCTCAATCATTTTCAGTTGATTTCATCATTTACATGATGGTTTAATCTGACATTCGGTAACATCTGAGATTGTCTAAATCCATTATCCCCTCTCTCTGCAAAACCAACATTTTTTCAGCAGAAATTTGAACCCATATAATTTACAGGGTATAAACAAACTCTTGCAGAAATAATGAAACCAAATGCACTTGATTCCACTCCCCTACCTTTTCCTGTATCAGCTGACTCTCTGTATGGGAGGGGTGTTTCCCCGAGCTGGGATTTTATCCCCTGGGGTGTATCACTACTGAACTTGGTGCCCTGTGGAGTCTCGGTGCTGGTTGATTTCTGAGCTGGAGTATCGTTGCTGTCGGATTTCTGTACTGGGGTATCGTTACTTATTGACTTCTGGTCAGAATCTGTGACGTCCATCTCAGGTTCCTTGATGGTTTCCTCTTTTGTTGCCTCCTCATCCGATTCTTCATCAGGGGTGGGAGGGCGGGGGGAGGATGTAGTTGGGGTCATTCTACCCTAAATACAGGATAAAAATCAGCAATTAAACCACAAATTTCTTGAATAAAATGATTGTGAAAGTAATTTGGACTTCCCAAGCAATTGTATCCAAGTCACATATATTATGAGTTTTATTTTCCTTGTAGTGTCTACTGAAAAAAAACCATGTTCGGCCAGCACTAGTTACTGGCCATACATAGTATGTCTGTCACATAAGTAGGTTTCCTCTGAGTTCCCTGTTATAACTCTGTCATATGAATTATACTTAGCGAGTGGGTTTCCTCTGACTGTCACATGACTTACACTTTGTGAGAAGGTTTTCTGTGGGTTTCCTGTTATAACTCTGTCACATGACTTACACTTTGTGAGTAGGTTTCCTCTGAGATGGCAGCCATTTCTGATTTGGGGTCGTCTCTGGGCATACAGAAATATTTTGTTACTGTCTCCTCTAGAAGACGACTATACCACAACACATCTATGAAAGAAAAGAGAAGGTATCAGATATGTGTACTTCAAAATTCCTTCTGTTTAGTGAAAAAAAGTTACAAAGATCAAGTGTATAGCATTTATCTTCAGAGCAACAAGTTGCCTCATTTTCTAATGAGCTTTACATGCAAAAAATAAATAAAAAAAAAAAGATTTCCTACCACCCTATCAATTTCTAAATCTACAAACAAAGTTGTTCTGAAACTAACCCTCCTCAGCAATAAGGCGGTCTGCAAATGTTCTTGTGACCTCATGACACCACAGTTGACCTATGACCTTCATCATTGGGGCAGACTGTCCAATCTCTGCTGTTGGTCCCATACTTGACACACTGACAGTCCGTGATTTGGAATCCCATGATGCCTGGCGAGACATCTGTAGACTGCTTCTACTTCCTCCTATTGTTTACAAACAAATGATTAGTTAAAATTTGTATTTGGAAATAGCCACTGTTTCTAAAAAAAAAATTAAAAAATAACATTTGTTTTGTTTTGCTTTTTTTCAGATCAGTGCAGTGAAATATATCTATGAATCCTGACTCAATCCAGACAATAGGTTCCATATGAAATTTGTGACAGTAGAATTCATATTCATCTTTCCTTTTAATTTTAAAAAAGTGTTTCAGTAAAATCAAGTTTTATTGATCCAGAAGATCTGCTCTGAACACAAGAATCTGGGTTAATGTGGCTCAACTGTATTTACTTATTTTTCATCATACAATTTAAAGCTGATAACTAGTAATAGGACTTACTACTTTAACCATTTTGATAATACTCAGGCAACCAAGTAGATGATGTATGTATCATTCACATTCTAATCAAAGAAGGTTTGTATCATTGATTATACTCTTTGAAAGTTTTCCCCGCTACTTAGAACTTCATGTTAAATATGCTCTAGATCTGATGTCAAATAAATAAATTTCTCTTTGACAGATGGATGCAACTTAGGATAAAGCATTTCATCATCCACTATAGGTCTGAACTGTCAGCAAATTTGTAGTGCTAGGTTAAAGGTTCCAGTAGGGTCTATAAATAACTGATACGTACTTGATTCACTTCCCCCTTTCTTTCTCCTCATCATTTTCCGTGTCCTTGACCTTGGTGACATTAGCAGAATTCCATGTATGACCCTTGCCACATCATGGAGGTTAAACACATAGTGGGCATGTGTCGGAGTAGGCTTGAGTTTCTCTTTAATTTTGTTGTACATTTCTAACAATCCAAGTGTCATTGCCTGTTGGTAAAAATTTTGAATGGTTTTGAATTGCTGGACATGAAAGTTTTGATAAGCATAATTTTCCTGATACTAGAGCTCAGAACTAAAAATGTCTGATTATATTAGACACTATTTACCCTTGACAGTTCAAAGTGATGGTCCACTGAATACGTTGGAAATTCCTCCAACCAATGCTGGATATTGCGGCCATACATGGACATAAGGACCTCGGTCGTCGGGGTAAACAGAGTGAAGTTGATAAAGAGGCGGGTCAGACGTGAGGACATCACATGACAGGCTGTTCCTAATCCTGTTCCTTTAAACAAAGCAAAATAGTGTAACAGAGAATGTCATGTAAAATTGAGCAGAATTCTCTTTGTTATTTCAGTAAAATTACTTTAAGGTTTAAACATATGCAAGATTAAATGTCTAATAACATAGATTCTGACTGAGTGGTCAGGCTAGGGGTGGATCTAACCTGGTACACTGGGGAGTGTGGTGGAGGCCAGGAACATGGCTTCCTCCATGGTTTGGAACTCTAGACGTCCCCTGTCATACGTCCCTCGCTGTGCCAGGATCTGTCTCAGCAACTCTAGTGGGGGCTGGTAACCTTTATATGTTAAACAAAAAAACTGAATTACATATTCCTTAGTAAAAAAATGTTCCTTGGTAAGACACTTTCTACTACAGATACATTCAATATCAAAAATTCTTTAACTATAATCTTTCATTTGACTATATCTTTTTTTATTTCCTTTATTGTTCAAAGATAAATATATAGTAGAAGACAAACTGGCAGTCAGACAGGTAATCAGACTAAAAGCAATATTGTCTTGCTATAATCTGGATTGGCATAGACTGTATAGATACTGACCCCCTTCTGGGTTACTGGCAGCCATGTTGAGATCGTCAATAAAGAAGAGATGGGACTGTTTGCCTTTGGTGGTGGGGGGGACCTGCCCTGGGCCAGTGAGGGTGTTGGTGGCTCGGTGTTTCAGCTCCATGATCTGTCCCAGCATGGAGTTCAGGAAGAGTTGACTGTTCAGTGCTCTAGACATGACCACTTTAGTGTGGGTTTGCTTGGGCAGTACCATAGTCTGTAGATATGGAAAAAATCTTAATAGGAACACCTAATTGATTTCCCTAACATACAAACATGATAGAGGGGGATATTCATACAAGCCATTTGTTAACTAAGTTACCTAAAATTCCCCTGCTTATTCTGTTTTAACCAACTTTTATTCATGTCATCTTTTATTTACAATTTTGTTAGTTTTAAATAAATCTGCAAGGATTAATTAATTTTGGTGACTGAAGAAACATTCTCTGAAAATATGATGCATTGTTTGTAGCAATTTATTTTCACAAATTAAAGTAGATCATGAAACTCACAAATATTTCACTCACACGAATAAAAGTTGGTTTACAATAATCAAAAATATCAAGCTCTAGATGTTTCACTATAATAAAATTCCCCATCATATATTAAACCAAAAAAATAATCATTTTTAAAGTAGACATTCCATATAACATCTGAGAAATCTCTATGTGGAATATTACCTGTAGCAGAGAAGTTTTTCCTACACCTGGCATTCCTGAGAGTAAGACTGGCTGATGGGCCGCCAACATGAGCTCTATCATGTGGGTATACTTCTCCACCTAAAACAATAGGCATATAATCAACATCAATTCCTAAATTCCACAAACTTTCATTTAACTACAATCAGTTTTCCTTTATTATGCGCCCGGATTGATAAATCCGGGGCCTATTTTGTTTTTGTCCTGTATGTCTGTTTGTTTGTTTGTTTGTTTGTTTGTCTGCAAACTTTAACCTTTGCCACAACTTTTGAACCATGAAAGATAGAGACTTCATATTTATTATGCATACTCCATTAATTAAGCTCTTTCAAATGACACCAAAGTCAATGGCCTTGTGACCTTGACTGTGACCTATATGCTAAACATAGCTTTTTATCTGCAAACTTTAACCTTCGCCATAACTTTTGAACCATGAAAGATAGAGACTTCATATTTATTATGCATACTCCATTAATTAAGCTCTTTCAAATGACACCAAAGTCAATGGCCTTGTGACCTTGACAGTGACCTTTATGCTAAAAATAGTTTTTTCGTACCTTTGCCATAACTTTTGAACCACAAGAGATAGAGACTTCATATTTGGTATCCATACTTTACTAATCAATTTCTTTCAAATGACATCAAGGTCAATGACCTTGACTGTGAGATATATGCTAAAAATAGCTTTTTTAGAATTTTGTTGCCGCCGGGCACATAGTGTTTCAAAAACACATCTTGTTTTCTATACTGTCCAAGTCTAACCACTCCTTTTGATCCCCCCTTACCTCTGGTGTAATAGTGAATCCTCCTGCCAGAATTTTGGATCGTTCCTGAGATTTCTCTGACCACCTGATGAAGGACCCACTACTCTCATCCAGAATGTAATCAAACACAGAGGCTCCAATGGGGATTTTTATTGGATGTCGGGCACGGTACAGGACGTCATTGGCAAACTTACTAAATTTCTCTTTGTATCTATTGAATAAGATAAGATTTGATATTTTTCGTTAATAAAAAAATTTCTACATAAATGTACATACTGTAAACCAACTTTTAATCGTGTGTGAGAAATTTTCATGAGGTTCGCGAAAACCTTGTCATTGTGAATATTTCTCGCCGCGAACTGCTCCTGAAAGAACCAAAAATGGCTTGATCACGAAAATTAATTGTCACAACTAATTTATCCCAGGTAAATGGCCAAATAAATTTGTCGCGAATAAAAGTTGGTTTACAATATTCATTATTGATAATCAAAATTTATTAAAATTTTTAAATAATATTCAATCCATGATTATTTTATTGCTTAAGAAGTACATGAAATTATTGCATTGAATTTCAAAAATGCAATGGAAGGAAGCAGTTTTGAATCATGGGAGATAAATAACTGATGAAGGTGACACACCTCTCGTGTAGGTGAGCTCCGAAGCTCCAGACATAGGCGTAGGCAAACATTCCCTTCATGTTGTCTGTATAGTTAGGGAAGACGATCTCGAGCTGTGAGCTGCTGGTCATACGACTGACACTCTGTCGAGATGGACTACTGCTGGGGGACTTCCGCGGAGAATCTATCCCTGTATCTGAAAAATTAAAATTCAGCAATTGAAAGTGTTATATACAGGTTTTGAGAATTACATGATAAATCATCACAGAAAGTACACATATATACATGTAAGTTAGTTTACAAAAAACATTCTGTGCCATATGGTTATCATTTGTTTCTATTTAAGCATCACAGTTTCTTCCAGCATAATTCAGTCTTTTACAATTTTATATTTTTAACAATCACTCAGACAGATTCCTAACTTAGTCTGACTAGTGCTAGCTCTGTACATACCCTCGAGGTCCATGGTCCTCTGTCGCCTCTCAAACTCCTCCCTGAGATACAGGCGGTCCAGAAGCACGGTCAGGATTTTTAGGAATGTCCCCACCTCCTGTATTCCCGGAGCCACCTCATTAGAGGCGGCGGTGTCGTGTCCCACATCTGTCAGTAGGGCGGGGCAGCACTCGGACTTGAGGAACTTCAGGGTGGGCGGGAAGACATCAGCCACCAGCTCATCATATATCCTCATACTGTCAGATCAAGGGAAACCATATAGATACATGTACATATACATTGTGTAGATCAACTCTGGAATCAGCAGCATTAGAAATTACAGCCAGCTGCCTGTACTCTTATTTGAAAAACTTTTAACCTTTGTCTTGAGCTGCCTTATGGGGGATATTACAAATAGGGGTATCATCAGTGTTTTCAATAAGGGCCGGTAACCGGCAAAATTAACCGCCTGTACGAGAAATTTTGCCGGCTATGAAATTTCCGCCATTAGGATTTTGCCTGGGCTGATACATGAAATCCATAGATTTTATCGAAACTATTTCCATCTAGAGTAGCTTCCCTTCAGTGCGCTCTTTTTTCAAGGAAGTTTGATTAGATTGATAGTGTCATGTAATGGCGTCGCAGACAATGAATAATTGAAACAGTACGACATTTAACTCTGGACACGACATAGTCCAGACTTTTTACTGCCATTTCTCATTGTGATATCAAAAATATTTTTATATTACTTGGGTAGGATATCTTAGCAGTATCCCAGGGTCCCAGGGTCTCATGTTGAACTCACAAACATCTCCACTTCTAAAGATATGAAGTCCTAAAATTAAGAATCCCATGGGAGAATGGTGGGATTTTCAGTCCCACCAACCAAAACTACGTAATAAAGTAAATAACATAAAAAAAAGTAGCAATGGCAAACTATTACAACAATATAGAGACCAATCTTATCGAAGCAAGTATCAAAAGCTCTAAAATTTATTGGAAATTATTAAAAGATGTTTTTAAAACTAAGGTTAGGTCCGAAATTCCACCGCTGCAGGATATTACAGAAAATGGAAATATGCACATTAATTACAGCGATATTGACAAGGTTGAAGCGTTAAATAGATATTTTGCTTCGGTTTCGTCTTCGCATGATGTCGAACCTGCATTACCAGCTTTTTCTTTATTATGTAATAGTGTTTTTAATAGTACATGTATTGAAATCTTTAAGAGAATGTGTATTTCCTAAACAGTGGAAGGTAGCTAATGTACTTCCTTTATTTAAAAAAGGTGACCCATCATTATTTATATAATAGTGTTGCATTATGCATATACTATGCCTAAATAGTAGGCAGGGTTTGACACATGGTGCACGAGCCGGAGGCGAGTGCACTATGTGTCAAACCCTGCCTACTATAGGCATAGTTGCATAATGCAACACTATTGTTATTATTATGCTGACTGAACAAAGCAATAGGACCTGACAACATTTAAGTCATAAAATGTTAAAAGCTACCATTTTTAGCGTCTCTTATCCTTTATGTATTTTGTTTAACAGATCTTTAAGAGAATGTGTATTTCCTAAACAGTGGAAGGTAGCTAATGTACTTCCTTTATTTAAAAAAGGTGACCCATCATTATTATCAAATTATAGACCAGTCTCATTATTAAGCTGCATTGGCAAAATTATGGAGTGAGTTATTTTTAAATATCTTTACAATTATTTTCATTCAAACAATCTTTTTTACAAATATCAAGCTGGCTTTTTACCAGGTCATTCAACAGTTTATCAACTTATTGAGACATTCGATTACATAGCTAAAGCAATGGATGAAGGAAAACACTGTTGTATGGTTTTTTGTGATTTGTCTAAGGCATTTGATCGGGTTTGGCATAAAGGCCTTCTCTTTAAGCTACAAACATATGGTGTTAGTGATAAGTTATTATTATGGTTTCAAAGTTATTTAGATTTAAGGACACAAAGGGTATTACATAGGAATACTATGTCTGGTTTTAAATCTTTACATGCTGGAGTCCCCCAGGGGTCTGTATTGGGACCTTTTTTATTCTTGATATATATGTCAATGATGTCGCTGAAAATATGTCTACCTTAAGCAGATTGTATGCTGATGATAATTCTTTACAGAAATGTTCAGAAAATGTACATGATATTCAATTAGGATTGAATAATGATTTAAATCAACTTGAGCGGTGGTCTAAACAGTGGCTATTGAAATTTAATCCTATAAAAACCAAAGCTGTATTTTTTAGTACTAAGAAATTCGTAGATTTACCATTGTTGAAATTTCAAGATTGTAATTTAGATTTTGTATCATCACATAATCACTTAGGTATTCTATTTTCAAACGACCTCACTTGGTCAGCGTACATTGATTCTATCGTAGCTAATGCATATAAAAAATTAGGTCTATTTAAAAAATTGCAGTTTAAGGTCAGTGCAAAAACTTTATCTCTTTTATATATACTACTTTTATAAGACCTAAGTTAGAATATGCAACCGAAGTTTGGTGTGGGTGCTCTAGTCAAGATTCTGAAAAACTAGAAAAATTGCAACTTGCAGCAGCAAGAATAGTCACTGGATTAACTTCATTGGCATCGCGAGATTCTCTCTATTTTGAAACTGGTTGGGAACCACTTGCTATTAGACAAATGTCCAAAGTAAGAACAACTATGTATAAAATATTTCATAACATGGTACCCGGTTATTTGAAAGAAATATTTCCAAACATTCGATCACAAGAATCAAATTACGTAACAAGACAATCACAAAATTACTGTATCCCTAAGTGTAGATTAAATATTTATAAATCATCGTTTGTTCCAATGGCAATAAGGGAATGGAATTCTTTATCTCTTGAAACAAGACAATCCACTACAATTGGTTCCTTCAAAAATTGTGTAAACTCTCAGAGAACACCCACCCCGTCATTTTTTACTTTTGGTGATCGTTACTGGAGTGTAATTCATACTAGATTAAGGCACAATTGTGTTTTAAATAAAGACTTATTTAGGTGTAATATTATTGACAGTCCACTATGTACTTGCGGAAAAATAGAAGATGCATATCATTTCTTTTTTTCTTGTGTGAACTACACTGCCCCAAGAAACGACTTGTTCAATGCTATTTTTAGAATGATAAATTTACGTATTGTAGACACTCATGTTCTATTATGGGGAGATAATTCGATCAGTATTTCTGAAAATGAAAGTTTATTTTTAAATGTGCAATTGTTTATTAAGAGATCTGGTCGTTTTTGAGTAATGTTTTTAGATTTGTATGTCCATTCTACATTAATTCAATTCTGTACATGCATTGCCTATGTTAGATAATCTTATTGACCTTTGGTTCCTGTGTAAATTAATTTTGAACAATACTTTGTGTTACAAATTGTTATAAAGGAGAGGACGTTCTAAGTTTTTAAGAACTTGTGTCCAATCCTTTTGTTATAACATCAAAAACAATAAAATATATGTTCAAACCAAATCAAACCAACTATCCCACCATTCTCTCATGGGAGAAAAAATGTCAGATGGGATATTTTCTCCTGTGGGATTTTTTCTCCCACACATTTGTTCAAATGGGATAAATCCCTTGGATATTGACAATCAAACAATATCTCTCACACATTGTGAAACATGGAATACATCCCATAAATTATGACAAGGACAAATATCTCATCATAATATATAGAATATATTCCTACTATAAAATGTATTGGTGAAAATAATTCATTGTCAATTTTCAAGGAGAAAATATCCCATCTGACATTTTTTCTCTCATGGGAGAATGGTGGGATAGTTGGAGGGACTGAAAATCCCACTATTCTCCCATGGGATTCTGAGTTTTAGGACTTCATATCTTTAGAAGTGGAGATGTTTGTGAGTTCAACATGAGACCCTGGAATACTGCTAAGAAAATCCCACCATGATGTAAAAATATTTTGGATATCATAATTAGAAATGGTAGAAAAAAGTCTGGACTATGTGGTGTCCAGAGTTAAATGTCATACTGTTTTGAGCGAAGTCACCAAGTCGTGGAGAAACGTGCTGCTGCTGTAACAAATGCGTTTGAGATCACATACATTAAGAGGCATAAAGCATGGTCCCTTCCGAAAAGATTTGTTTGTGTTTTGTAATTTTCGATTTAAAATTGATTGTGCAACAGCTTCAATATTAAGTGAGGGGTTCCCCAGTGAAACAACAGCAAATATCTATATCTAGGCCAATATAATTTTAAGACCTTACAAAAAATTGTATGAATTTTTACAGAATTTCCTCAAAATGAAAATATCAAATGTTAAACGAAGACGTGACTCAGATGTAGAAATTCTTACAGAATTCTTGAAATACAGGGACAGTATCGTTTTCACATTTGGGAAGGTTTTAATGTACTAGTACTTTGTATCAAATTCCATTTTCTTAATTTTTTTATTCCGACAATCTGTACAAAATGTCAAAAAATTAAATCAGTTTAAAGATTATTTTATGAAGAGTCTAAAATTGCAGAATATTTCAATTTTTAGGGTTTACTGTACATCACAAAGTGTTTAAAAAATCTTAAATTTTTAAATAAATAATTTTTTAAAATATGAATTAAAGTCCTGACCAATTTATGTGAAAGGGAATAAATATGTAGAATTTTCAGTATAATATTTTACCCATACAATTGTCTGTACTATAATTTCATACTTAAGTTGTCTATATGTTTTTATAGACACGTAGTTAATTTTCAGATGAAAAAAAACTCAGTCTGTCAAAAAACTGTCAAACAAATCTGTGAAATGGCAAAAATTGTTTTCTAATTGGCTTTTTTTAAACGTAAAATTTGATAATTGATAGTGACAGGAATGTGAAAAATAGTACTTTTTTTAATGGTCTGAGAGGTAAGAAAAGTGAGTCAAAAATGCTACATTTCGTTTTCGGTCGGGGGGCTTCGCCCCCCTGGACCCACTACCAGGGCTCTGCCCTGGACCTACTGGGGGCCTAAGGCGGCCCCCAGACCCCTCGCCAAGACTGGTTTCCAGCTGCAGAGCTGCCAACATTCTGAAATAACAAATAGTAAGGCGAGGTCTATGGACCACCTAGGCCATCTGCCGCTGATGTTGTTTTGTAAATGAACATGCAATTTGAGGCATGTTTCTATTCTGTTTACTTTAAAACATTGACATGAATGTGATTGGCCTTCTAAAACCGAAACGATGATACAAGCAAGCGTTGTAAGAATAATGAATATATTATAATTGTAGAAACTATATAGACTGCCAGCTATGAAAATACGGGTATTATAAACTTTGAACGAAAAAAAACTGCAATCGGAAGAATATAGAGAGAAATCGTAAGGCGTATTTTAGACGCTGATTTCGTATGCCTTACGCCAAAATCGTAAGGGTTGGCAGCTCTGCAGCTGTTCCATCTATTTTTCCTTCTATTGAAAATCTTATTGAAAACACTGATCATTAACACATCTTGACCACTACATAGTTGTACTTCCATTATAAAATGGCATCAAATTAGAGTCTATTTAGTACTTACTAGTATTCAATTTCATACAGGCTATCTATTTTTTTAAACTGTGGAATCATCATTGTTTGGCAACCAATGTTCGTGGATTTTGTGGTTCATCCTAACCCATGAATTTATATCCCCATGTAAAACATATTTATTCATTGAATTGTCTGATTATATGACTTACACATGAAATTACATTCCCACAAACCAACAAATTTTTGTAACCTAGGAACACTGGCCCCACGAATTCAAATGATTTCACAGTACATGTATTTGATCAATGAGAAAGCAATCTTACACAGCAGTGTTGATAATCCATCGTGTTTTTGCGTCCTTTGCCCAGCATTCATAAAGGTTCATCCAGGATACAGTGTCTGGTGCAAAGTTCAGGATGGTGCATCTGGAGATGGTGGCAGGGGATATGTTACCAATGTAGCTGGTCTCAAACATCAAGGAAGTGGTATCTAAAACAAGAAATTACATTTCACTTGTTTTTATACTCTTTGAAACAATTTCTTATCCTTTATACAAATATAAATTTGAAAGCTATATGAAGAGTTATGCCCCTTTCAATGCTCACCACAGAGACTGATGTGTTGGCTATTGGCCAGTGATAGTTTCGTTTCTTCATCAAACAGAGTATTAAGACTCTCAGTCCAGACTGGGTGCATCACCCCGTCCAGAACAATCCATCTTAGTAAAATGGAGGGGAGTTCCTGTCCACCACGGGCCTTACGGTCCTTCTGTCCGGCGATGTAATTACGAACGGCCTCCGACAGGAAGCCAGAGTCCTGGAGAATCTTGGGAAACAGACCACCCTTCCACATACCATTGACATAAGAACCAAGAAACTGAAAGAAAGTGTGGACATGAAATTGATGTCTGAATAAAATTAAGAATGTGCTTACACAGAACAAATGTGGCTTACGAGAGACCATCTACCTCTTGTGGTGATAGTGCCGTGGGGTTCAAGGTCACCACATTGACCTTTGGATGTTCTGCGTATTCCTGTGTTTTGGGAGTTTGCTGCATCTCATTCAGAGCCTCAGACACCTTTCCCACCATTGCTGTGATGCGTTTCATCTTCTTCCCTGCTTGTGACATCTCCGTTTTTGCAGAAGGGTCAATAGCTGCTAAGAACTAATAAGAGTAATAAAAAGATTGTTATTGTTTGCCATTTTTTGTGAAAGAGTATTTGATTTCTTCCCTTGTAATAAGAGATAAAGAGAGAAATAAAGTTAAGCAATGAATGTATCTTTTTGCTACTTCCTGTATGAAAGAAATCAAACAGTTACAGGAATTTGCCTTGACTTGACATACTCATTAAAAATTTTGCAGCATTTTTTTTTCTAATGCAAACCTGTATTTATTCCTTACAAAATTTACATGACTGTTAAATGTTTGATAATGCAGATATATTACAAATCAGGATTTTTGCTTTTACTTTTTTTAATATCACACACAAATAAAAAAAGGATAAAATGAATTTCAAGCTAGTTCAAGCTAGCCTATACATTGCAAAATTTGATGCATAGTTATAGTTCTAAAGCAATTAACATGAATGCAATGAGCAAGTTTACAGAGCAGCTGCTTACACAACTTAAAACAAGTATAATTTAAACAAGATTATGAAAACAAACATGTATTTCATATATAATTATAAATCTGAATGCTGAGTATGCTATATTGATTGATTAAAACATTTTTTGTTCATTATTATATTACATATTTCCAATTTGATATAGAATAAATTCAAGATACAAGGCAGCTCCCATGCACATTGAACATCTAGGGATGTATAACTATTTTTCCTGTCAATAAATTGATACACATTTTAAAAAAATAATGGAACTATGAAAAGATGCAATATTTTTACCATAATTTACAAATTTTTGTATGTACATAGAAATATTAAACACAGAGAAAGCAACATCATACACCATAGAGTCAAGGATTAGGGTAGAGAGTAATTAATTAGCCTGTCAACAGGGTGGGGGTGGGTCCTTCATACTGTTACCAGCACACTTTAGTTTATATACTGAAAGGAAAAAGAAACGCAGGGTAGCATAATTGTCGATAAAAACTTTACCACAAGACCGAAAATTACGAAAATTGGTCAGAAGGGAAATTTAGTTACTGTGCATCAAAATCAGTATTCAGAATTACTCAACCGTAAAATTTATGACGTCACGTAGGGAAAACGCTAAAAAGCCCAAAACACGTGCAATTTGATAACGACGTGTTTGTCCACAAATCTTGTTGCATCATTAGATGCATATGATGTATGCACATCGTTTTTCAATATTAAGAGAGATAATGAATTTATTGCAATCTTGGCACAGTTTACGGAAGTTCAATGGGGTCTTGTTTTCGAATTGCCTAATTAATGAACAAGGCAACAACGGTTTACTAAGCAGTCTCTTGCAAATTTTCCCCCATAAAACTTTTTAGCCGTTGTCAGAGAGGGTCTGGAGTGGTTTTCAATCAACCGTGACGATGACGATAACGCGAAACAGAGCCATGTTACGAGCGGGTTATTCGTCCTGCCATCTCTTAAATCGCCACCTTACTACCACAAAAACAGCCATTTTTAGAGTACACGATTATAATCATTACATTCATACGAAATTTGAAAGAAAACAATTCCGCAATTTGTTTTTATTGAGCCAGTCAACTTACTGTTTTATTCCTCTCACTGGCGCATGCGCGCGCCGTTTGACTTATTTCTTTGCGTGGTTACTCATGCTAAATATAGCCAGGGTTTGAAAGATAAACACTCTGATGAAATTCCATGCAAAGGAGAAATAAGACTCTGACAGATGCACGAAATAGACATTGAAGATAATGAGAGTTTTCGATTTTCCCTTTTGGGGGGTATCGTCATTTGAGCTTCAATAACTCATGAATAATTAGACAAAATCATATGGGATTTTGGTTTTATCTTTTTGAAAGATGATTTTAAAAGTTAGATAGGAAAACTAAAAAGTAATTTAAGAAAAACAAATTCAATTCACCTCAAAAGTTTACCCTGCGTTTCTTTTTCCTTTCAGTATACATGCATCTACATTCAGTTTCTGATTTTCTGCTTTCTGCATATCAAAGCAACCTTCTGCATATGCAGCTTAAGCCATAAGAAGATTTTGACATTGATGCTATGAAAAAATATATGAAACGTACAGCAAAATGTTGTATTTCTGAATCCATAATAATGCTGTGAAATGTTTAATGTGGTAGTTAATTTCATGCTTGGAGGAAATGACATATTAAATAGAGTGACAACCTGCATGTGATTAAGAATTAGCACAGGACAACAAAAAATAAAGACAAATGCACACAATTAGATCAGATACTAAAGCACAGCTATCACATCCAATCAATTCCTACAGTTCAGGTCACATGGTCTTAATTTGACCAATCAAAACACTTACTACATCACCCGCCAATTCTGGTTCATTTTCCATGTCCTAGCGAAAGATTCAGGGGGAATCAAAATTTGCACAAAATAAACTCATGAACATGATAAATCATTGAAAAACATTACATCTATAATGGCTTCAATCCTGAACTTCAAAACAGCACTCAGACACAGTCATACTACTGTTTTAAAATTCTAAATTGTTATTTCAATAAAATGTCCCTCCCCACATAAAACAAACTAAACAAATGAAACTATTGAAAATCATTTTATGTAAATTTTTTTTATTACAATAATAATTGTAGCAACTGTCTAAAAAAATCTAAATTACATAACTTTACTCTTCCACCTTTCAATCACTTAAAATTATTTAGAAAATCCTTGTTAAGAACAGCTGATTGAATTGCTCTCTTTTTTTCTCACCTTTAGTTTATTTTTGGCATAGTAAATAAGATCTCTGTTGGTGGTCAGCTCATCCTTGGAATGATCAGGAGCAAACAATAGGAAGTTCAGACGATTGGTTGCTCTCGCCAAAGTTTGGCTGCAGGTGGTCTTTCCACAACCTGCTGGACCAATCAGAATCACAGCCTTCTTTAGCTGCAGAGCTGAATTCAGCTGCATCACCTAATGAAAGAAGAACAGGGGTCTAAAACATTCAGGAATCAAAAAGGCATCAGCAATTGGCACCTATCATACTGAACTAAATGGAATTCCATTATATAAAATTAACAACGCTGTTTGTTAAGGTTTGTTTACATCCACTTTTTATATTGAAATGAATGGATTAAAATTTTGCATCCAAAACAGTACAACTTCCCAATTTCATGTCCCTTCTAAGTAACATAGTGGTTAGAAAATGGCTACCTCATGGCTCTTACTCTTTTCAAAACTTTCAATTTTACATGTCATTTGAGAATAATACCCTTTAAAAATTGTTGTTCATTTATGTGTAAGTACATAACAGCTCCTTTTTCTCTCACCTTATCAACAACCTCTGATGTATCCTTCAGTTTGTCCTCCTTCAGCTGACAGCGTATGGCCTCCATTAGTTGTTCATCGTATCCGTGTTCCACGGTTTTCCTTGCTGTGCTGGGGAACACATCTCTGAGGGTATTGTCAAACACACTGCAGTCCTCCACACTCTCTATACTCTGTCTGATCACTTCCCTCAGACCATAAACCAGTGTGTGCTCCTCCCAGGTGTGGGGGTCCAAATGAGGTACCTCCTTTGGGGATTTGGGGGACTGTGTTCTTCCTTCACCCTTCTGACCTGTAAATCAAAACAAAAACTTTATACATGTACTATTTTGTATTGTTCTAAAAATACATACTACTGGTATTTTGGAGGTTCAAGGGCAAAATCTCAATTTTTAGTAATTATATATGATGCATAATATTGTTACAGGGCTCTCAATTGTCTATAGTTAGGGCCACTGAAAACCCACAATCCCAATGAAGAAATTGGTACCTCTTATCCCAAACAAATGTTTACATATTTTCCTAATTAATATTGTTAAAAAGGATATCAAAACATCAGAAAATCAAAACATGGACTTTTAATTGTATGTTGATATTTAGAGATTTTCCCAATTTTAATGGCGGGGCACATGTTGAAATCCTAGTTTTAGGGAGACACGTACTCTCAGCTATAATGTCCAGCGCAAATCTCTGATCCCTCAGCTTAGTGGCTGCTACATCCATCACTAACTTAATGTCCTTCAGTCCAAACTGGTAGGTCTCTCTTCTTGGAAGCTATAAACCAAACATTATTTTACATTATTTTATATTCTTAAAGTGGTAGACATAGGAAAAGATAAAAAGCAATGTTCTCCTTGAGAAAGAGCTGAGGGTTTCTGTGGAATAAAATAGTAAATCAGTATCTTGGGGGAGGGGGGGGGGGGCTTTCAAGGATTGCTCTCTATGCTATTACATGAAACAGTAGTTTTCATATTTATTAATTAGGGTAAAATTCACTATTATAATAATATATGAATATTATCAAAATAGGTAAACCCTGATAAGAATCTCTTCCTATTGGTTACCTGAAATCTCAGTTGCTCAAACAGGAAGGTCAGCTTTCTGGCCCACAGTTTGACCTCCTTGTATCCTTGGAAACAGAAAAACATTTCCACGATGAATTTAAAGTCAGGTACAATCATGGCACATTGTCTCATCAGCAACTGCAAAAATAAATGAGAGAATAATGACATTTTTTGAAAAATGATGGATACCATACTGTAAGTCTTAAAGCATTAAAACTAGTGTTGGCAACGAGTACCCGGTTAACCGGTTAACCGTCGAACGTTGCGAGTATCGGTTAGTAAAACTGCTATTCGGTTACTCGGATAAAATAAATTCTACATAGTAAAGGCATAGAAAATGAATGTTTTATAATTTATAAATGTATACTAACTTACACATTTCCCTAATTTTAGGTACCGTTAGACATGATCTAGTGCATGTTGTAGTGAATCAAATTGTTTTGATTAGTTTTCACAGTTTATATAATTGATAGCTTTTATTGCTTGGGGTATACATATTTTGAAGGCCTGGGTTATAATTACCTCATTTGATAATTTAACGAGATGCCGCAACAGACATAATAAGCTTGGAGTTGTAACAAAAGAACAGATGATTCAAAATCTGTTGAATCACCTAAGCTTAAATTATTTGGAAACTAGCGATTTACTGGACTCTCCACATATTTACTATTAATTATGGTGTATGTAATTAATTATTCTCCTTGATTGCGACATATTTCGGGGGCTGAAAGTGTAAAATGGTGATTGGCGATGACGTATTTATTTGTCTTTGTGTGTCGAATTCCCTATTAATTTTCTTTATTTTAAAATAGTAAATCTTTGACGACATCGTATGTGTGTATTGTAAATATAATGTCCCTATACAGTATATTTGTGCATTCCTACTACCGATAAGTATAGAATAAGATAAAAAATAGACATTGATACTTTTACCAAAAATCATCCGAGTAACCGGGTACTCGATCGGAAGATGAAGCGAGTACCCGGTTACTAAAATCGTCCGATTTGCCAACACTAATTAAAACCTTGCAATTTTTAATCAAAATACCCGGTATACAATATATAAAATAAGAAGATTCAAATGTAAAACTAATCATCGTTTAAGTGATAAAGATGAACAAATTTTTAGTTTTTGTATTTTATACCTTGAAAGATTCTATGCAACTATCCACTAAATACCTCTTTGAAAAGATAATATAATATGCATAATCTAATTTTTCTAATATACTTCGGAGTTCAAATTGTGCTTTTTAAGCCTCAGTCCTTTTTATGTGAATATTTTACCTTGAAGGACTCTGGTATCTGCGAGGCAGGATTGGCCCCGGTGTTGAGGGTCATGAAGCAGCCAAAATTGGTACTGGCCTGTATGAGTTTGCCATTAAACATAATATTACCCAGGATTCTGTGTATATAGATCGTGTCATTCAGGAGCTTGCTGTAATCTGGGGTTGCCGATTTTCTACCACCCCGAAGTTTTACATGTTCTGTAACATCAAAATGGAGTTATCACTTTACATACACTTTAAAAGTAAATAAAAGATTTCCAAAAAAGAAAAATTTTGGTAAAAACATTACATTGCAAATGGTCAATAACAAATGCAAAAAATCACCCAAATACAATGTAAAGTGAACTAGTTATGTTCATATGTTCAAACACTTGTACCAATTTCAAAATTGCACATATTCATTAAAATTTCACAATCATAATTATGTTCAAACCCTTGTACCCATTTCAAATTACACATACCGTATAAGTGGAAATTTTAGCGAGACGCAAATTTAGCGAATTGGCCTTAAAAATTGGTAATAATACTGTACTTTATTTTTAGCGAGAAGTAATTTTAGCGATATTCATAAGCTCACTAGAGAAGCCATTACAAATACAACACAATTAATTTTTAGCGATATTCAATTTTAGCGATCTCAACATGCTCGCTAATGATGCCAAAATAAAATCCTCGCTAAAAAGTCTGCTTATACGGTACTTATTAAATTCACAAAATTGTGGCATGTCTTGCACACAAATATCAACAACTCAAATGAGACACAGACTGAATAGTAATAAATTATCTTTTTTTTCATATCAATTTAAGTTTGGGCCATTTCTAAACTATTTTGTGAATGAATTTAATTATTTGTGCTGACAATTCAATTAAACAAGTGCTGTGTTACAACTTTCCATCTCTGCCCTATATTTGATTTCTGTTAATTGTCTTTTCTTAGTAAATGTCAATAGGTAAAAATAAATCAAAAAGTAAAAGTGGTAATAGGGATCAAGGGTCACAATATATCAATAAGGTCAAGCTATCAAGGTCACATTACTTAAAATTTTATTTGATATGAAAGGGTTTAAATGGATAAGGATGTGTAAATTTGGTTAAAACCTTGAAAATTTGAATTAAAAGAAATGGCCATTGGTAAGGGCAAATAATAAATGTCAAAGAAAAAAAAATGTGTCAAATCAAAATTATATTTGTTTGAATAGTATGTCATATCAAACAGTTCACACAACTTCCTCTTACTCACCTAGTGTATTATCTGTTCAAAGTGAAGCAGGGTTAATGGAAGGAAATTAGAAATGAAATACCTTATAGTTAGCATCTTATAACCCTCTGTTCTATTAATTTCATCCGAAAAAATGAAAATTCCCAAAATTGATTTCCATCAACAAACAGCCTTGTAGCCCAATGGGAAGACAGTTTGATTGAAGCATGAAGTTCATTTACATCTTATCATATGATACAGAGAAAATGGGATGTAGTGAAAAGGGATAGCAATAAATTATCATCACAACATAAAATTCAAAATATGAAGTATATTATAGATATGAAAAAAAAATAAATGAAGTGTCCTTTCTTATAAGAAAACATGATGAAGCAATGCTTTTCAAGTCAGGATTCTATGTTGGTAAAAAAATTAATAAGTCCATTATCAAGAATTACCTTCTGTATAATATTTTTCTTTCTTTCTTTCAGAAGATCATCAGAAATTATATGTCTATGTAACGTATGTCAAGCATCATAATAGCCTAATTAATATGGTATTTTCTTTAAACATGTCAATCCCCCCCACCCCCAAATCATATCTTAACCATGCAAGCACCAAAATCTGTAAAGTTTGAACTCAAACTATACTCTATCTTCAGCAAACTGGTATTATGTTAACAATCACATTTTTTATATTCATTTTTTTTTTACAAGAAAACCCCAGGTGAAGGCCATAAAGAACTATATGCGGTATATTGCATATATTTGCCCCCACAAAAGTCAAATTTTTAAAACTTCCTGAAATGTGCTGAATTCAATAAATTGTATGAGAAATATAAATTAACAGAAAATATTATAGTGTCAAAGCAGTGTATTCACAATTTTTGTTTTTCTGACGTCAAAAACTAGTCTGATTTTATATCCTTTTTCAGAAAGAGGACAAAATGGAAAAAAATTCAACAATTTTAGCTCTAAAATTTATAGAGCGCAAGGTTGTTCAGGAACAATATTGACATATTTCATTGATATTATCATTCTACACATTATTATACAAATATGGACTCAATGTAGGTCAATATGCATTTATAATGACCCAGGATGACAGATATTGACCGAAGATACATGGAGTATATCGACCGAGGGCGCAAGCCCAAGGTCGATATACTTCATGTATCTGAGGTCAATATCTGTCATCCTGGGTCATTATAAATGCATATTGACCGTGCATTGAGTCCATATTTATTATATTATATAAATAATAATTTCCCAAATTTATTAGTGCAATGTATATCATCCTATTATTTACAGAGATAGTATTAATTAACCATAAATAAGTTGAATGTAAATGTTTCAGAATTCATTGAATATTACTCAGAGGAAATTGTTTCTGCAATAAATTTCCCATATCATAATAATGACGCAAGGTATCTATCTCCGAATAACCGCGACACAGAGTAACCCCTCCCCCAGATTGAGAATCGCTCTCGTTTACACTTGCAGACGAAATGCACTGACAAAATAGATATCCTATGTCTTCTAAGAACAGATACAATCTTATACATGGCATGCTTGTCTATATTTTCTTTAGTCTTCGTAATTAAACAGCGTCTGCTAGTTGAAATGTATCAATCATGAAATGGTATGTGCGTATTATTCCCGAAAAATATTCTCAAATATCCTAGTAATTGTTATGTATTATCAGCCTCAGAGTTCTGCACTTTATGTTTTAAATTTTCCTCACCTACAACTTGCGAACTTCCATGTTTGTCTAAAGCGAAAGTGAAAACGAGGCAGCTCGTGCGAGTCATTATTCGCTTTCAGCGGTCGTTATTAAAAAATAAATACTTCGTATTGACCAATCAAATTACCGGATTTCACAAAGTTATATAATATATCAAAATATTGATCCTGAACACACATGCCCTCAGTGACTTTTACTCAAAATATCGACGAAATATGTACATTTTTCTGTAAAATTCATAAAAAACTGAAATTTACGTCATGTTTGTGACGTCATTACGTACATATGGCGTCATTACTTATGAAAATATTCAGTGTTTTGAAGTCAGCATATACGCCCCTGTTTCAGAACTTAATTAAATATATCTCCATCAAAGTTTGATTTGGGGGCAAATATTGGTTATTACCGAATAAAGTTCTTTCCTTTTGAATAATTTAAACAGTTAACTTTATCAAGAATTAAAATAATAATAATTCCATTGATAATTTGAAGGAGCTGACCATAAAACAGTGGTGGTGGCTTGTTGTTCTTGTAGAACTCCGACTCCTTAATCTCAATTTCTTTTTCAATGGAATGACGCCGACGACGGTCTTTCTCAGAAACCCAAGTGTCCTCAAAGTAGGTCACCAAACCCTTCTCCTGCACAGTCAAAACAATTTCATGAAACTGGTATTGTATATAATTTACAAAAAATATAGATAGTATTTTTGAATTACACTGTTATGACTGTCTTGATCAAAAGATGCAAGCAATACTACCCAAAGTATAACATTAAACACTTGCTGATTTACTGGAGATGTTGCTGATGTGATTAGTTAGAGACACTTACATTGAAGCCGTGGGGGACAGTCTTCTGCCTCTCCAGCCCGGGCTGGGCCTCCTGGGTGGGCATTGGGTGGAGGGTGGTCAGGGAGTTACGACGAATCACCTTATCTCCCAGGCCCATCTTCTGCAAAAACACAAACAAAGAAATGTTCAAGAAACTAAATATTTTTAAAATCAATAGAGAGCATACATATAAATTCAATGTGCATGTATTTTTATACAGATTTTTAACTGAATATTAAACATGCTTAATAAATTTTAAAAAATAGAAAGAATATTTTGGATATATTTAAACAATTAAGTAAAACATCATTTCTACTATACGTCTTTGTTCATTTAAGCTAGAATAAAGAATGCAATTGGAATCCAATGATATATACATGACTGTATTTACTACATTAATGCAACAACTGTTAATTTAAAAATCTATTTTATCTCTTAAATAGTTGTGTATAAAAAATAAACTTAAGTTTAACTTTGCAATACCTGAAAACAGTTACTTCAAAGTTTAATATACATATAAATCTTCTTTTATGATAAATGAAATTTCATATTGCATCTATAGATATATGAATACCACAGCACACAGCTGACATAACTTTAAGGATGAGCAGCAACTGCAAGCAATGAAATTGTAATACATGTACATGTATGCAACATGGCTTTATGTGACTATATATACATGTATGTGCTCTCTCTCTCTCTCTCTGTATAAAACCATTATAGTATCTCCACCCTCACATCCACCCTTGAGAACACCCTGTCCAGTAGAAAAGCATAGACAGTGTTGTGCTCACTGTACTGCAAAGTGCTGCATGTTGCTAACTGCTATTAATAGTAAGTCACATGCTCTAAAGTCTTTAAATAGTAATCAGATGTGCTAAACTTGAAAGTTGAAGCAATTTTGAAAATTAAGCTCAATTTTCTTTATTTCAAAAATGTCATAATGCCACCTACACAACTGCTTGAGCTTAGATGCGACTCATGTGAACTTTTAATTAATGCAGTGTTTATTATACAAGTGATAGACTCCCCATAGCAAAGTGCTATTACAATGTATAAATAATTTTGTCATTATCCATGGTAGATATCAAGAATTCCATTTTACAGTCCTAACCCCAAAAATCATGCTTATCAATAAAATTGCTTAACTTAAATTTCATGTGTAAAAGTTTCTTTTAGAGTACAATGTTCATGTACTTCTAAAAGTGTCATCTCTTATATTGTGCCCCAAATACTGAAATAGTCATGTTTTAACTATGTATACTGGTATATGCTGTAAAATGGCTTCTCTAAATCTCCCAAGCTACAGTTTTCTCTCTCGTTTGTCCAAGGATCTCCAAATACTTTAGACTACTTAACAGTATCTTGTAGTTTGATTTTGTCTAAAATCAAATTACAATTAACTTATTTTTTAAAAAGAAATTCTGAAATTAAAAATGTTACCTAAATTTCTGTAACCAGAGAAACTACTCTAGCAGTGATTAAAAAACCTACCATAGAAATTATCTGAAAATGGTCAACAGTATGTGTTAATATGGTGAATATGGGAATAAATCTAAAACTATCTCAATTTTAAAGTAAAAAAAAGTTAATAATTGCATTTCCCTATGTTGCACACCTCAGACTTTTATTATTGTAAATATAAACTCTTTCTATGTTTGGATAATTTTTGTGTCACTTTTTAAAACTTGTTTCAGATGAAAGTGAATAGTTTTCTGATATTAAGAAATTAAGTTATGTGATGTGACGGATTGACTACAAATTTGGTTTTCAATATGACAACATCAGTTCTTGGATCTTGCACTTTTCTTTTTAAAAATTTTGAAAATTTGTAGTTTCACCTCAATGTATTTAAAACTGAAAATTCAGTAGATCTTGTGTCTATAATAGGATTAATAAAATCATTTACAAAAAAGTGGGATGAAAACATGTAGTACTAATAAATTTAAATAATCATTTATTGAAAATTTAAACTATTATGATTTTAGATATGCAGAATGAAATTAATAAATGCACAGATTGGGAAACAATTTAATATCTTAGGTATATTAATGGAGATAATACATGTATAATATATAGTCATGATTTGTGTTATAAAGCTTATAGTAACCAAGCTAGTGTTATATCATTCTATTCAAATGGAGAAAAAATATTAAATAAAATAATTAATTTGTAAAACAGAAGCACACATTTAGCTTTAATATGGTTGAACTCAAAGGTTGGCTTTGACCTCTTACTGACCTTGTCAAAACGAGGCTGACCTCTGATTTTATACTGATTCTCACTGGACACTTCTAGTGTCTTCAAGGCCGTCTTAAGGTAATCTAGATGCTGAGCTGTCACAGACATCAGACCTGTAAAATTTTATTATTTAAAGTGAAAAGTCAATTGTGAATGGATCAGCATTATACAAATTTATCAAAAATAGCTAAAATCTTCTCCTATAGCAAAAGAATTATTAATTTAATTAATGTATGTGAAGTAAAGAATGATTAAAATCAGTTATGGATGAACATGAAATACATGACATACCATGTAATGTAAAAACAGAGTATATTCATAACATACAATAAAATATTTCGGAAAATAAAATGTAAATGTGAATAAAACACAATACACAAAATGTATATGTATTTGACTATTACTGTTAACAATAAAATTGAGCATATATTTGTAATTGAATTTAATCGAGTGAACACATGGCATACAATACTTGCAGCAGTGTGTGCACACTTGGGTACAGACCTTTGGTCAGTGGGTGTGTGCACACTTAGCTACAGACCTTTGGTCAGTGGTTGTGTGCACACTTAGCTACAGATCTTTGGTCAGTGGGTGTGTGCACACTTAGCTACAGACCTTTGGTCAGTGGGTGTGTGCACACTTAGCTACAGATCTTTGGTCAGTGGATGTGTGCACACTTGGCTACAGACCTTTGGTCAGTGGGTGTGTGCACACTTGGCTACAGACCTTTGGTCAGTGGGTGTGTTCACACTTGGCTACAGACCTTTGGTCAGTGGGTGTGTTCACGCTTGGCTACAGATCTTTGGTTAGTGGGTGTGTGCACACTTAGCTACAGACCTTTGGTCAGTGGGTGTGTTCACACTTGGCTACAGACCTTTGGTCAGTGGGTGTGTGCACACTTGGCTACAAACCTTTGCTCAGTCGGTGTGTGCACACTTGGTTACAGACCTTTGGTCAGTGGGTGTGTGCGCACTTGTCTACAGACCTTTGGTCAGTCGGTCGGTGTCATCAAACAGTGACCAGCTCCCTGACTGGACCATCCCCATCATGTACTGCATCATCACCCCCACCGCGACGTCCTCGTTACAGTTCACCACAAACAGGTTCCTCCCAAACATCTGTAAACAGAGCCCAGTATAAAGAAATCATACATCAGTAACAGATGAGTATATATAAAAACCATAACATTTACATTGATATATATTTATAACACGTTGCTGCATGGAATCATGTATTCAACATATGCAGTTTCTAAAATTACTATAATTCAGTGACACTTAAGATTTTATATAACATTATCAAAAAATTGCCTGACTATACCTTGGCCAGTTCCTTGATTGTCTCTGACTTTCCAACCCCAGATGGTCCAACTAAAGTTCCACAGTGAAAGTTTTTGATAGCCTGAGTGAGAGAGAGGAATGCCCGCTCAGTTAGAGGGGTGAGGACAAGGCGATTAGAGGGGCCATGATACTCATAGTCGTAACTAAAACTGGTCCCCAGCTGTGTGAGGTAACAGGCACTAAACTGGTAATCAGTCGACACTGTGGTTTTTGTTCTTGTCAGTCTGGGAGGTTCTTCTGTAGTAGAGAAAAAAAAACCTAAGTGTCTCAACTTCTTGATCTTCATGGTTTTGCTTTTGTCATTTTCTAAATAACTAAAATCAAGTCAAATTCTGTTTCATTATCCCATGGTCAGATAACTCCAATATTGCTCTAAATGCCTCTAACAACATGATTTTTACCTAATGTGGGTTCCATACGGATCTTTGTGGCCAAAGACAATCTTTTTTGTTGTGTCCTTGACCTGACAGAGGGAACTGCCTGTGATTGACTTCTGACCTCCACAGCTTCTGTCTTTGCCCTTAAAACATTCTGTATGTCCATGTGGTAACGCAAGACACGGAGCCATTCAAAGCCCCCATCTGATACAACCGAACTCTCTAAAATGGCTGTCAAATTTATAAAAATATTATTTCAATAGGAAAATTATAACAAAATCCAAAAATACCATTTAAGTTTTTAATATTGCTGTTAACATGGAAAAAAAAAATATTGACTTGTCAGTGACCTTGGCATTGGTACCTGTGACCTTACCTCCTAGAACATCTCTATGGTGACAGCTCTGGTTTATCAGACCACAGAGTAGTGTGTGTAGGCGGAGCTTGGTACTGGGTGGGACTTTCCCATTGAAGTTGTAAGTTTCCCTCAGGATGTCTGTATATTGATCCAGTCTGGACTCAAGATTGGTTCTGGAAGATTCAAAACGATACAGTGATCAAATAAAAAAATCATTTCTGATCAACACTATTACAAATTTAAAAAAAACTAGTGGGTATTGTTTTTTTAACAAAAAACACATGTCTCCCCTTCTTTAACAACATTAACAAAGGCAGTTTTACTATGAAGGTGAAAAAGAATAATGCAGTGCATCTTTCAAGTCTTTTATAGGATCTAAAGTTATTGTCTGGTCTTGCTTTTTTCTTAATTTAATCTTAAAAGAAGAAAATGGTCAAGGTAAAAAAAATTGATGTAGTGTATTTAGGCTTAAAGTTGTCTTTACTTGTCAAGAAAGGTATCAAGTTATCAATTCAAATATATTTCATATGAACGTTTGACCTTGACCTAATAATTGGATCAAGGTCAAAAATTTTCATCACATAATCTCTCCATCTCAGTGTCCTCTGCATGTTACAAGTTTGAAGACTAAATGTCAAAAGATTCTCAAGTTATGTTCAAAACATGTTTTTTTTTTCTCTATTTGACCTTGGGTCAAGGTCAAAGTCCTTGTGCACTAGATCTTGTATTTAATGTCTTCTTTCTATGTTACATGTTTGAAGTCCTAATATCAAAGGGTACTCAAGCTATGACGTAAACTCTATTTAGATGTGAAAATTTGACCTTGACCTAATAATATTGGATCAAGGTCATATAATATGATCACATAAACTTTCTCCAATGTGTCCTCTGCATGTTCCCAGTTTGAAGTCTAAATCTCAAAGATATCTCAAGTAGTGGTCAAATCATGTTTTTCTATATTTGACCTTGAAAAAAAAAAGGTTCAAGGTCAAAGTTCTTGTGCACAGCATCATGTATTTAATGTCTCCCTTCTATGTTTTAAGTTTGAAGTCCTAATATCAAATGGTATTCAAGCTATGGCCTAAACTCTATTTTGTTGTGAAAGTTTGACCTTGACCCAATAAACATTGGATCAAGGTCAAAAATTTTGATCACATACACCCTTCTCCTATGTGTCTTCTGCATATTCCAAGTTTGAAGTCTAAATGTCTAAGGTATCTAAAGTTATGTTAAAATCATGTTTTTTCTCTATTTGACCTTGAACATAGAAAGGGGTCAAGGTCAAAGTTTAGGTGCACTACATCTTGTATTTAATGTCTTCTTTCTATATTTCAAGTTTGAAGTCCTAATATTAAAGGGTACTCAAGCTATTACCAAAACTCTATTTTAATGTAAAAGTTTGACCTTGACCTTATATATAGACCAAGGTCAAATATTTTGGAGCCGGACACTCCGCCTCAAGGTCATCTATCTAAGTTCCAAGTATGAAGTCTTCAGGTCAAAGGGTTTTCAAGTTACGGCCTGGACAAAATTTGGATGAAGAAGAATAATAATAAGAAGAAGAATAAGAATAAGAAGAATAAGAAGAATAAGAAAATCGACAAAAACAATATGTCTCCCCTTCAGAAGGGGAGACATAAAAATGTATGAAAGAAGCATGAAAAGGGTAAAGTCTTGACATATTAAATTATGAGACTCAGTTTGGTATGAATTAACTGATAGCTTTAAATATGCTTTGGCATCTACAATTTCACCCAAAAATGAGTCTGTGATTAGTGAGACCTGTTAACTTAGTGAGACTTAGTGAGACCTGTTAAATTGACAATGACCTCAGTAAGACATGATGACCTTGACCTAATTCTAACCTGATTGCCTTGATATCATCTAATGTGCCTCTCTCTAGAGCTTTGTTGACACTTCGTTCCCACAGTATGGCTTCTGTTACCAGTACACACTGGACGGGGAATCGTAACAGCCAGTGTCGGAAAGTGTGATGGATCTCTTTGGTCAGATCCTGGTGTGAGGGGATATCCTGGTCTAGCTTGGACAGCTCCTCCAGAATGTGTATTGGCTGGCGGGAACCTGTAACATTTAATTCTGATTCAAAAACTTAGTTCTAAAAAAATATTTTTTTAAAAAGGCACAAGATTTACGTACCTATTATATAGAAAGATTTCTTTTCTCTCATTGAAATTTAGGGAAAAACTTACTGCATGGATAGTGATACTTGATATGCCTTTTTACAGATATCCATACAATATAAGGATATCTTTTATTGATTTGGAAAACTGATTTATCTATATGTTTCCAATAAATTTCTGGATTGACCCCCTCCCAGTTACAGCCCCTTACCCTCCTCCATGCGGGTTTGTACACAGGCCTGCATTATCATGGCGGTGGTGTTCTTCATCACGTTCTCCAGGGCCTTCAGCCATTTAGATGCCTTAGGAAAGGCCTGAACACGCACCACAAGTTCCATTTCCTCTCCCAGAATTCCCTTCAAGCTGGTCACCTGGAGCTTGTCAGCTATAAAAGTATTGTAAAATAAAATCATTGCAGTGTATTGATCCTAGACAATGAAAATACATTATATTTATATTGAGTACATGTAATTATATAATCATTCAACACTAGAGAGGGTACACTATTTTAAAACAAAATTGTACACATACCATTCAAAGCAAAATCCAGGGCAGAGTTCATACTGGAGATACCGTCAGGGAGGGCAAAGTTCAACGTTTCAATTCCAGGGAAACACATCTTAGCAAACGGTAGAAGAGCCTTGGGATTGCGGGAAATTCCCAACAGTACAACCAGGTCCTCGTCGCTGAGGAAATACAGACGTGGGAATTCCATCCGGCAGTTCTCCAACAGTGTTCTCAGGAACTTCAGGATCTCTTCCTTAAAACATAAAAAAACAAAATACTGATCAGCACTTAGCCCAGCCCAGCAGACTTATAATTCTTTAAGGATCATCCAAAGTGACGCTTTTGGATTGCTCACATTTCTCAAGAATAGTTCTAAACCAAGGATGCAATTGACTACTGTATTTCACTTACATTTGAAATGTTTTTATTTTTGTGAAACAATGATTATATTAAAATCAGACCAACTTTTTTTTACCTTTATGTATCACACAAAATCAGACATGAATAAGCTTTTATCAATCAAATCTGATTTACTGTAACCTTTCTATTGTGACGGTTTTGGTTTTTTTACGGTACATTTAATTTGTCATACACAGAATATTTAGTGCATTTAAATACCTTTTAACACGATACAAAGCTGATGTTAAAAGTCCTGTATTTGTAACTTTGTAACTTTATTTGTTTACACATGTGCTCAGGTTAAATTTACCTCCATATTGGCTGTCATTCCAAACTTATTTTGTATCCTGACTTTTCATTGGTTGACAGATAGTACTTGAACATATCAGAAATCATTTTAGATATTCACATTACTATTTCAAAGCTACTTAGTTAGAATGATTTTTATTGGTCAGAGTTTATATATAAACGGTAACAGCGGCATTTTCAAGTCACTCTAGGCTAAAGAACCCACAGGTTCAAGCTTACTCTTCTTAGCTCTTAGGGTTTAACGGACTGCTCGTGCAGTCTTATTTTTTTTTTTTGTTTAGGACACTGTCTAAATTCTGTAAAATGTAATAAGGTCCTTAGCTCTAGAGTCACATTGGTTCAAGGATGAATTAGATATCCCTAGGCCTTTATAGTGTTATTTATAATAACTAAATTGCCTTGTCCCTTGTGTAATAAATAGGGCTTTAGGAAATTTTCAGTCTACTTGCATAGAGTCTCACTATAATTTTTAGGGTGTTGTATGGAATCATAAAATCTCTTAGGTGTATGGAAGCTCACTCCCATCTATTTTGGTAGAAGGGCATCACACTCATTTTTCCTCCATTATATTTTTGTTATCAAATTATTTACTTTGTTATTATTTATTCAGTTATTAATTTATTTTTCTACCTCAATTTTTTTTTATTTACATTTTGAGATTATTTTGGAAACTTATTCGTTATTTATTGTCAACTACAAATTATTCAGTTATCACCATAATAAATTAACTGTTAAAAATTTAAACTTTCTTCTTATTTCAAGGTGTTGATCATATTATCTAGGAATCTCAGAACCTGGGTTGAATAAAACAAACAGGACCAGTCATTATACGATTAAATAGTTTGTGGGCTTAGTCTGTTCCTTAGTATTACTAAGTAAAGTTTAAGATCAAGTTTATCATTTATATATATATACTTTGGGACAGATCGAGTACACTTTACGTCCATAGACAAACTGGTTCCCGTTACATTTTATTCTCTACTCCACACAAACAAAACTGAATACATCCCAGTTTAAATAGACAGACCTGTTTCTGATTGAGCTCTAGGAACATGTTGATGAGGTAATCCCCCTGGAGTAGACGGAATCCCTTCTCTCCCCTCTTTCTGCCCACAACAGTTATAACTTTGGAATTATTGGATACAACCCTCATCCAGTCCTGCAGAAAAACAAAGGAAGAAAGAAATAATTACACTTCACTGGAAATATTAGTACTAATAACTTAATTTGACTGAATTTTATTGTACACAAAAAAGTCACAACTCTCAACATTATCAAGTCCTGCAAAATGTGAAAATCAAAGAACTGATAGTACTAATTTGACTGCTTAACATTGTCAAAGTCATGAAAATACTACGTTTAGGAACAAGGTTCATTAATGGCTGCAAAAAATTAAAGAACTAATAGAAATGTGTTGTCTTTAAGACACACCTCATCCACACCCTTAATTTATAAATCAATGGATTTTTTGTGTGTGTGTGTGTGTGGGGGGGGGGGGGTTAATATAGGGAGGCATGCAATCATTAAGTTATTCTTTGCAAAAAGTATTCACCACATGAAATAAAAGCTTGCATACTTACTTTAAATTTTGTATGCACATTTTCAAATTTAAAGGCTGGTCCATTAAATTTCTTGTACATTTCTGGTCGCTCAAATATTTTGAGAAGGTACAGCCACTGAAACAACAATCAGATAAAGTAATTTCAGAAAGAAGAAACAGAAGTATCTTTTCTTATCCTACTTTACATAGGGGATTATCAACATATACTAAATTCATTGTCTATACCATTACAATGACCAAATCTTGATTTTGAAGTTATGCAAAGGAAAAAAAATCCCAAACAATAGCCATATCGAACTTTTGAAATATACAGCGACAATTTAAGAACTACTAGGAAAAAAGTTTCATACAGTTTAGATGAATTTCAAGCCTTAGGGACATCTAACAATGGCAGATCTAAGGTATGATAAATTTTGTGGACATCCCTGCCACAAAAAAGGGAGATTTTATAATCAGAATTAAAAAACATTTCACTTCTTTCATTATCAGTAAAATTTGAAATCAGCATCATTTTGTACTAAAATCCTTGAAACTTTTGGTCACCACTGCCATCATAGTGGGAACAACAAATCATTTTAAATTGTGTCTGAATCTTCCTCTTTTTCATCATAGGTTAGCATGAATAATAGTCCAAGTTTATTCAAAGAAGTACCTTTTTCTGACATTGAAACCATAGCTCTGTTATTTCCTCCACCTGCTGGAGAGCACTATCCCAGAATTCCACTTCCTGTCTCATATCTCCCAGATATGGTGATTGCAGCATAGAACAGATATTGATACGAGAATCCTGCAATCATAATAATTATTCAGTACATCAAATGATACTATAGAGGTGGAAATAACTTGTAGTATTCATTCATTATACTTTGTGATTCACTTTGAAAATGACGTTGAACACAAAAACTTACAAAGCACTTATCTTCTGTTTTGCAAAGTTTTTCTTTTTAAAAATTCCGAGCAATTCTCTTAATGTAGACATTTGATATAATTTCATTTTACATCTTGATTGCAAAATAATGTCAAAGAGCCAAGAAACGCTAGTTATCATTGTATACCTCCAGCTGATATTTGAGTTCATCTACTTCTATAAGGATGAAGAAATCGTCCTGCGTGACGTCAAGTCCTTGGGAAGGCCCGGTCTGAGCTGCCGCTCGTTCCTGACGGTATTTTTCTAGTTTGGTTCGACGGCGAGGACTGTTCGACCTCTTTGGTGGTTCTATGAATAGATAGCTAGGCTTAAATATATGCATGATATGAGGGACCCAATTTTTCTGTTTCTATATATTTTAAATAGCATTTACATGTATAAAGACAATTGAGGTATAAGGTAGATAAAATAAATAGAAGTTTGTTTTTAAGACGTTCACCATAAACAGACAACTTACTTTAGTTTCTTAAAAAAAACTTTCATTTTATTTCAAAGAAAATTTTCATTTAAAAAATAAATTTACAATATATCCACCTCCCTAAAGACTGAAAATTTTAAACAAAGAATTTTTTTCAATATTCAAACTCTAAAGGCTGAAAATTAAACTTACAAAATTGGGGAAATTCAAATTATAAAACAAAGGGAAAAAAATTTGTGTGGAATAAAAAAAATCATATAAATGCAGAAAAAAAGCACAAAGTCTGCTAAGAAAAATAAATTAAAGCAAAATTTCAAATATGAACAAAGCTTAAACATCCAACAGGCTGAACCTTACGAGAACAATTGTTAACATCAAAGAAAATATCTTCAAATGAATTTTCTTGCATGTCCTCATGCAAATCCAAGCCTGAAAATCAAAAATGATCTTTGAAAGTGGAGATAATACAGAAAACCTTATAATCCATAAGATCCAGCTTTACTTCATTTTATAATCAAATGGTAATTCTTTTTATTCTACTGATAAGTTGCACAGGTGCAAAATTAAGACAGGGCTCTATTGACAAGTAATTTACTAATTAGGTCACATTACAAAAATGACCTTCACATTGGTGATGACCCTGAAAAATCGCAGTACACAAATGCAGGTTAAGCAACTTATAAGAGACTCACTCCTAAGGAGATCTAGAAGTTACGTAAAAGTTAGGTGAATATTTTTAGAAAAATGTCAAACCATTAAAATTTGTGTCTAGTTTAGAAATGGCTTGAAAAAGTTAATCATGATTTAAAAAATAAACAACAAAAAGTCAATCAATGAGTATACATGGTAATACAATAAAAATGATGCTCTGTATTGTATTGTATGGCAATGAGGGGTTAACTGAAACCTGTATATTGAAGAGGGAAAAAAATCATTAGTTCACACACTGTTTAAGCAAAGAGGATTGATTAATTCTTTAAAATCAGCTCAATATAGGTTAAAGGTTATAAAGGGATTTCCACACAACTGAATCTGACACGCATGAGTGATTACCATTCTCTGCTTCCTGAAGCATATGCTTCTCCACTTGTTCTGCATGAAATGATACATTTACATATTTCATAGGATGTTAATAAGATAGCTTCTATATGACTTAAGAAATTGGAGATAGCAAGCTATGGTTGATTAAAACTTGAAATATCTTCATGCTAAATTGCAATGCTAGTCATATATCATACATTGATTGTTAATGCTATATATTCATAATTCTTGTTTAGTAAATTCAGAGATTTGAGATATAATGCTATTAATGCATAGCATGATAGGCATTCAAGTCTAAAAGTATTGAATTTATATTGTAATCATAAAAATTTTATTCTGCATGCATATTGGGTATTAATCACAAGAAATATCTATCTCATCTTAATTATAAGCAGCTAGGAAAATAAGATATATGAGTAAATTAGTCTTGCTATAATTATACATAACTTTTTTATAATTAGCAGATTATGATTTAAGCATTATTAACAGTAGAAGAATCTATAATTCTTATCTGAGGGGAGTAGTTATCTCCCTTTGTAAGAAGTGAGGGCGCTGCTAACCTTTGCTGGTGATGACACTGTCCGGTATGTGCTTGGCCAGTTTAAACTCTTGTTCCTCCCAGAACTTGCTGATCTGATTAATTCGGAGCTCGAGATCGTACTCAGCGATGGCTCCGAGATACACCTGATGGATCAGCTCGCTGTGCTGCTCAAGGTCATAGGCCAAAAGGTCAGATACTGTAAACTGACGATTAGGGTCATAGGGTTCATTCATTCCAACAAATATTGCCTTCCAGTGCCGTTCCTAAAGAAAAATCATTTGCTGTCTCACTCAGGATTATAATAAAGTTCACTCATATCATATACACACTACACAGAGATTAATTTCATAATTTGTGATGCAGTAAAGATCATTTAAGACTCTGTAAAAATATTGACATTTTGAGCCAATATAAAATACGGCAAAATCTTTAAGGATTTCAATCCCTAATGGGACCAAATTCTCTACTCTTAAATGCCCGTCAAGTACACAATATTCTGATATTATATTAAAGCATTTTATAGTGGAAAAGGATTGCCCACGAGAAATTTTCAAAAAGTTCATTAATTAAGCAGTAGTTAATTAACAAAGATTGCATTGAAGTCTATGGGGAAAAGCGTTTTTTCAAAATAAAAATTCAAATAATTTAAATATCAATAAATCCTGTGGTGGAAAGATGCATTGAAAGATTAAAAATAGAAGGATAATTGAAAACAATTTTTTTTACCAGCTAAATTTTTTTTTATTGATTTTTTTTTTATTATTAATTAAAAAAGGGGAGATAACTCTTACCAAAATTCAAGGTCATGAATTAGGACACATCCCATTAAACATACTTATAGTAATAAATGGGAAGTGTGTCTAAATAAACTAAGTATTCGATGACTACATATCTGTAATGTTTTCAATTTCATTGAATTTCTTCCTATTAGGGATTGAAGACCTTAAGTAACAGAATGTTTAATTTCTTGATAGTGTTTTATAATCAGACATAATGATTGTTTCTGAGATGAGCTGAGACCTTTACCTTTAGGGCATCATTGGCCAGTTTGTGGAGGATTGGGAGATCTTTTTTGAACTCTCCCAGACAGGTGAACCAGTAGCTCAGGACCTGGTCCCCCGGGGGGAGGTACGGCTTTAACTGACCGGCCGCCGCCTGCCACTCAATCACCTTCTCCAACACCTTACGAATGTTCATCTGAACAAAAACAGTGATTATCATACAATTTAATGTTCATCTGAAGAAAAACAGTGAATCTCATATGATTAAATGTTCATCTGAACAAAAACATGGAATATCATACAATTTAATGTTCATCTGAACAAAAACAGGAAGTTTCATATAATTTATCCATGACATTCATAATTCTGATATTTTTCAATTTTGATAAAAAAAAAAATTCTGGTTTAAATTGTCATTAATGACTGTCAAGTGGTAGAGTCAAATAAAAGCAGGATTTAGTTTCCTTATTCCAGTTTGGACTATAAATAATCTACCTTCTTAAAGAGCATGATTTTACAGTCTTTGATGGCATGCATGGAGACCTCTACGTATTTCCACAGTTCCTGTCTGACGTCCATCTTAGTGCTGATCTCACTCAGAAACTCCAGATCGTAGGGCTCCCCACAGATAGCTTCCCGCCATTTACTGGCGTCCTGTAGACCGCGCTCCACCTCGTAAAATCTGTCCCGAATCTGTACACATGTCATAAAGAAAAATTTATATTAAACATTACTCAAGTTTAAAACAAACATATTTGAAATTTCCATCCAAAAAAAATGTTCTGCTCTCTAAAGTTAATTTTTATTTTCTTCTCTTTTTACTTATGGCCAAGAAGAGATAATTTAATAAAAGAATTTTAAAACTAGTAAGAAAACTCACCCTCCGCATCTCAATGAGAATTTTAGTTGGATTCTGTGTGGGATCTAGGAACTGTTTAGTGGTGGCCATCTCTGCTAGTTCCAGGGCCTCCTTCTCTAGTTTCTGTAAGTACCAGTCAATGAATGTATAAACAAAAAATACGTAGCAGAAAATGTCATAAAGGACACCTTCTCCATATGTATATACAATGGATGTTCGGTTCTTTGTCTTTGTTTAATTATAAGCAGACATTTTTCACAATAAGAAATGCAAAAAAAAAACATGCCTATTGTTGGGTCTCCTTATCATCAATAAATAAAAAAGTTAAACGTAAAATAAATTCTAAGAAGTTATATAGTAATGGCTTACTGTAATGGTTAAATGATTTGTTTATCATGGCTGATGTTGGATGATGTTAATATCAAAGTTACATTTAGAATACAAAAAATTGACTATCCACTTCAAAACATTCATAATCATTACAGATACTATAAGAAAATGTATAATTATGCATGCATTCAAACTAACATTAATATTGCAAAGACAGAGTGGTCACATATTGCAGAAAAATAAAAGTTAGAATTCCCTTCATCCATAAATTTTGCACTTAAAAAAGAAGTTACACACTCCATCACACACAACACTCAAAACACCAACAGCACAGTGCACAAATAGCACACAGGATGCACACACAGCACACAGGGTGTACCATATAGAGACTGGGGTTTTTAAGTGCTTCTAGTTTCTGCTTGAAGGTTTTGGCTTTTGCCATACGCTGTAGGTGAAGAGAGAATAGTCAGTGCATATGAAGAAGATATCAATCAATCAATCAAACTGCAGAGATAGGTATTGATCTACAAGGTGCTTGTTCTTTGATGTTAAGTACAATATGTATCTACAGAGTGAGTTAATCCAGGTAACATTACTTAGAGGAAGACAGTGATAAGAGAAATTTATAAAATGTATTTCTGAGAAAATCAATTGATCAGAAGAACAAAAAAAAATTCAGAGGCGTAAAGGCCAAAAAACACTATGCAATAAATAATTATACAATAAAATTACTGAAATGTAATTCAGTTCAAATTTACTGATGACTTATCTTGTGAAAAAAGTACATATTAAATCAGAACTTTATATCATTTACAATTTTTTAAACTTGTCTATAAATCAATTAAAAAGACTTTAAAAAAAAAAAAATTGAAAAATACATATTTACCAGAACACCAATTCGGTTTGTCTTAAGTTTAAGAAGTGAGCATTAAGTCATTGTATTGCAGATTTAAAGGGAAATATAAACTCTTAAATTCTTTAAACATCACATTTTCTCACAGTACTAAGTGTGAACAAAGTGTCACATGGAAACTGATTATTTATTTGCAATTTTAGTTTACCCATTCAAAGTACACTGAATATTTATGAATAAGAACAAAAAAAAAAAACAATGTGAATGCTGTTGTCTTTTAGAAGTACTGAAAACAAAGCAAAGCTTATAGTGGTAAAGCTGAGGAATGGTGAATAAATTTATCACTATGGAGAAAGTGAAGTATATTTAATGGAATATAGGGAGGGGTGGTATAATTGTACACAGTACATAAATAATATATATACAAGCACTAGATAAATACATTTTTTGGGGTTTCAAACAATATCAGTGAGGGTTAAGTGTGATATCTATGTGATATCTTTGTGATATTTGTGTGATATCTATGAGATACCTGGTATTTGTCCTCCAGTTTCTTAGTCATCAATGGCATCTGTGTGAGGGTTATATGTGATATCTATGGGATATTTTGTGATATTTGTGTGATATCTGTGAGATACCTGATATTTGTTCTCCAGTTTCTGAGTCATCAGTGGTGTCTGTGTGAAGGTTATATGTGATATCTGTGTGATATTTTGTGATATTTGTGTGATATCTGTGAGATACCTGATATTTGTTCTCCAGTTTCTGAGTCATCAGTGGTGTCTGTGTGAGGGTAATATGTGATATCTGTGTGATATTTTGTGATATTTGTGTGATATCTGTGAGATACCTGATATTTGTTCTCCAGTTTCTGAGTCATCAGTGGTGTCTGTGTGAGGGTAATATGTGATATCTATGGGATATTTTGTGATATTTGTGTGATATCTGTGAGATATCTGATATTTGTTCTCCAGTTTCTGAGTCATCAGTGGTGTCTGTGTGAGGGTTATATGTGATATCTGTGTGATATTTTGTGATATTTGTGTGATATCTGTGAGATACCTGATATTTGTTCTCCAGTTTCTGAGTCATCAGTGGTGTCTGTGTGAGGGTTATATGTGATATCTGTGTGATATTTTGTGATATTTGTGTGATATCTGTGATATACCATGTATTTGTCCTCCAGTTTCTGAGTCATCAATGGCATCTGTGTGAGGGTTTATGTGATATCTATGGGATATTTTGTGATATTTGTGTGATATCTGTGAGATACCTGATATTTGTTCTCCAGTTTCTGAGTCATCAGTGGTGTCTGTGTGAAGGTTATATGTGATATCTGTGTGATATTTTGTGATATTTGTGTGATATCTGTGAGATACCTGATATTTGTTCTCCAGTTTCTGAGTCATCAGTGGTGTCTGTGTGAGGGTTATATGTGATATCTGTGTGATATTTTGTGATATTTGTGTGTGAGATACCTGATATTTGTTCTCCAGTTTCTGAGTCATCAGTGGTGTCTGTGTGAGGGTAATATGTGATATCTATGGGATATTTTGTGATATTTGTGTGATATCTGTGAGATACCTGGTATTTGTCCTCCAGTTTCTGAGTCATCAGTGGTGTCTGTGTGAGGGTTATATGTGATATCTGTGTGATATTTTGTGATATTTGTGTGATATCTGTGAGATACCTGGTATTTGTTCTCCAGTTTCTGAGTCATCAGTGGTGTCTGTGTGAGGGTTATATGTGATATCTGTGTGATATTTTGTGATATTTGTGTGATATCTGTGAGATACCTGGTATTTGTCCTCTAGTTTCTTAGTCATCAGTGGTGTCTGTGTGAGGGTTATATGTGATATCTATGGGATATTTTGTGATATTTGTGTGATATCTATGAGATACCTGGTATTTGTCCTCCAGTTTCTGAGTCATCAATGGCATCTGTGTGAGGGTTATATGTGATATCTTTGGGATATTTTGTGATATTTGTGTGATATCTGTGAGATACCTGATATTTGTTCTCCAGTTTCTGAGTCATCAGTGGTGTCTGTGTGAGGGTTATATGTGATATCTTTGGGATATTTTGTGATATTTGTGTGATATCTGTGAGATACCTGGTACTTGTCCTCCAGTTTCTGAGTCATCAGTGGCGTCTGTGTGTTGACAAACTCTGAGGCGTCCTGAAGCTGTAGAAGGTAAGCCTCCCAGGCCGCCTGGACGTCCTCGTCAAATTTCTCCTCCTCCGACGTCTGAACACAAAAAATACAACAGTCTTATCAGGGAAATAATGTACAGGTCTCTATCTGTATACTAACATTCAGACACAATAATATATCAAAAATGCATAAAATCATCTCCCCTTTTAATTACAGTCATCATTACATACACTGTTGGGTAGAGATTTCCTTTTTTCTACTTCATTTAGAGGAATAACAATTGGGGATTTTTTTACCTCATATAAAGACTTGATGTAGGAAACTCTCTGTTGATACTGAGGCCCATTCTTTTTGTAGGTCGTATAATTTTTGGCAAAAACAGCAAAGCCTGCCATACTGGAATCTTTCTTCCTCAAATTCTGAAGAGTAATACATGGATACTCGTAATTATACAAACTATCAATTATATAAATCATTTAGATATCAAGTACATTAATGTTGATTATATCAAATAGATAAATTTCATAGATATCCATTATGGAGATATATATGTATATAATATTTCCAAATATTTAATTACAGTCTACAGTCAAGTATATATAATTCAGAAATGAATAGTAAAAATACAATACAGATATCAAATATTCAGATATGAGGTTTGCAGATATCCATGACACAGATATTAATCGGATATCAAAGACACAGATATTATACAAATATCCATGACAAAGATATTACATGTATGCAGATATCCATGGTACAGATATATATAGATATCCATGACACAGATATTATACAGATATCCATGACACAGATATTATACAGATATCAATGACAGATATAATACAGATATCAATGACGGATATTTTAAAGATATCTACTGTACAAACCTCCAGAACCTCTTTCATCTCATCACAGAATTCTGTAGCTAACTTTCGTGCCTCATCAGAGACAAACTTGAGAACATCATGGATGATTTGTGACAGGCGTGGGATAAGATAGTCATGTATATTAGAACAGTCCACAAAGAAAATCCCGTTGTCAGTTGTGAAGCTTTTGTCAAAATTACGGACTTTTTCCTGCCATTGTCGCACCTCAATTAATCTTTGCTGTTGATAAAAAATATCAAGTGCTTATCATTAACATTCCCTTTTCTGGCTTTAATGATTTAATAAAGATATACTTGGAACATATACCCTGAATTATTCAAAATGATATTGTTTATATTTATTGCACGCTGTATATACTATGGGTACTTTTAACCATGTGGCATAATAATCCATGCAAAGCAATCAGATAAGTAGCTTCTTGTTCCCCCACCTTCTCTTTCTAACGAATAAATTAAACAGAAGGTTTACAAATATTGTCTGTTATCCCATATTGAAGGAAAATGTCATTAATTTTTAGGAAATTTGTCTTACCTCAATTGTAAATGCTGGGGCCCCTCTGTATTCTTTGGGAGAATCACTTGTCCAGTTCAGGCAGAATTTATAAATGTCCACCAGCCAGTTATTCATGTCACAGTAATTATCTATCTCATCCAGGGCACAATTCAGGATCTCTTCCTCCCGCTTCAAGGCATTCTTATATTCAGTGCTGAAAAATTTGGAGTCTCAGTCAGACAAAGAGTTATCAAATGCTATTCAATCTGTATATTGCATAAAATTCTAAATTGTATAATTTTTAGCAGAATTCTTTTTAACTGCTGTTCCCTTAAGTTGAATGGTTGAGAATCTTAACATCAGAAAAAAGTCTGAGACTATTAAGCCAAAAAAAAAATTTCCATACTCCATTTCCAGTTTTTCCTCTAAGTTAGCCCTGGACAATGGACTGTATTGTCCCATGAAGCCCTCTCCATACACCACTAACCGATCCCCTCCCTGGACTACCAGGTCAGGGGTCGCGACCCCTAGCTCATCTTCATCCTTTGTGGCAGTTGCTGTTAAAATAACATATTTCTGTAAACACTCATAAAATGGTTTAAAATCAAATATATTTTACATGTATATCTACACATAGAAATAATGTAATAAGGTAACTTGGTATTTATTAATATAATTACTTAATTATTGCGAGAATTGTGAATATTTTGGTAAATTTCATAAATTTACACGAGTTTTATGCATATGGAGAAATAAGAGTTATTTCCCTTTAATTGTGAAATATGAATAGATATTATGCAAGTTCATAGAAGTATCAGTGTAATATATATTTTTACGCTAATGGAATAATTTATGATAAAATATATACTTATGTTAATGTTATGAAATATTTATTATGTTTACATGTTTTGTAGGGTTGATCTATCTTATAAATCTTGTCCAAATTAAAGAACCCTAACTATAAACAACAAACTGCGTTTTTCATCTCTGTGTGGGAAAACACAGTTACAATAATACTAAATTACTTTTGTTCTTTAAGAGAATCAAAATATGGCCTCAAAAGAAAACTACTCATTCAATATTCTAAAAAATTTTAAATTGCTGATCAACAACTCAACTTTTTCATTTCATTCTTTGATAAAAAAAAAATTAAAAATGTTATCTTCAAAATTTCTCAGTCCAAACACATGCAGACAAACAGCTGTCCTCACCATGCCTGTATATGTCTGGGATGGGGATCATTTCCTCCCCCGCTACTGACCGAGACACGCCCCCGACCTGGGACTCCTCCTCTCCCGGGTCTCCATCCGTTGTCTCTCCTGAACTTGAGGGCTTGTCCCCCTCCCCCAGGGTCTGAGGGGTCAGCTGTTCTTGTTTAACAGAGCTGAGGGTTGTGGCAGCTGTGCTTTTACCACCTCTAGGAATATTACAACTATAAAAAATATTATTATAGAACTATTTATGACACACACAAAATTACATTCCTGATTAATAATTCATTGATAGGAATTCAATATTGAATTTCTTGCATTTCTTTCACTATTTTTCCTTCAAATCATCATATTGTACATATTTGACTTAATCATGTAAATAGCACATTATGTTTACATTCATATACGTACATGACATAATTTATAAATTAAAATAAAAACACTCACATTTTACATGTAGTTTATTCAAACTTTATGAATAATACAGTGAAACACACTGATAGCAAACATGCTTATTATTAATTTACTCTTATAGCTGATTGTTTTTCATTCCTTGGTAATTGTATCAAGAACTTCATGGAGATGATGGATAAAACAAATTATGTTTATAAAAAAGCAATATTGCCTGTCCCTGGCACTTTGCAATAACCATATTATGGAAAACTTCGACAGTTATAGGTAACACTGGTAGATGTCAAGGAGATCTCTCTTACCTGTACGATGTAAAGGGTAACTTATCTGAGTTCTGCTGTAGATTTAGCCCCCTCTGATTTGTGGGGTGAGGTTTCTGTTATGTACCTGATCTTGGCTGTAGATTTGGCCCCCTCTGATTTGTGGGGTGAGGTTTCTATAACTAACCTGAGTTCTGCTGTAGATTTGGCCCCCTCTGATTTGTGGGTGGGGTTTCTGTAACTAACCTGAGTTCTGCTGTAGATTTGGCCCCCTCTGATTTGTGGGTGGGGTTTCTGTAACTTATCTGAGTTCTGCTGTAGATTTGGCCCCCTCTGATTTGTGGGTGGGGTTTCTGTAACTTATCTGAGTTCTGCTGTAGATTTGGCCCCCTCTGATTTGTGTGGGTGTAACTTAGGTTCTGCTGTAGATTTGGCCCCCTCTGATTTGTGGGTGAGGTTTGTGTAACTTACCTGAGTTCTGCTGTAGATTTGGCCCCCTCTGATTTGTGGGTGAGGTTTGTGCAACTTACCTGAGTTCTGCTGTAGATTTGGCCCCCTCTGATTTGTGGGTGGGGTTTCTGTAACTAACCTGAGTTCTGCTGTAGATTTGGCCCCCTCTGATTTGTGGGGTGAAGTTTCTGTATCCTCACTGTCAGGATCAATCACAGAGCCATCCATTGGAATGGCCTTAGAACACAGCACTGATGGAATTCCTTTCAAAGTACTCATCAAAACATTGGAAAACCTCTCCTTAGATGGGTAAATACCCAGTACTTCTATAAAAGAACATATTAATATTGTGACAAGAAGTTATGACCAGGACACAAAGGTTTTAATCAATCATGAGTTAAAGTGTAAGCTGGAGAAATAAAAACATACAAGGAACACTGGTCCTTGTAATTTTATCTTTTTAAGCTTCATGCATTACAGCTCAATGATCAAAAAGAAATAATTATTCTAACAAACTTAATTCTAATTTTAAAGAAATCTAGAATATTATGCATTTTCAAAAAAACTGCAAGCAAACTGTGTTAATAAATTCCCATTCCCTTAACATTCATCCTTATCAATCATAAGATTCAAACTCTGTATTTGAAGAAAGGTAATTTATTTAAAAGAAGCTGAGGTAAACATAGATGAACAAAATTAAAAGCTGAATGATTACTTGATCTTATGGATCATTTATTAAACTAAAGTAAGAAAATAAATAAACAGGGAAATTTGAAGAAAAAAAAAATATGGAACTAAAGCCAGTGTTACCTTGTTTGGAGAAGACCAAGTTAGCTTTGAATAGCCCCTCTCTTGATTCCTCTTGGTTGCTTAGCACCTTCTCCACGAAGGTCATGACCTGTGTTTTACAGACATGAAACATGTGCTCCACTATCAGCTGATCTACCAGCTTCACAAAGTTACCAAGGCGACTGGAAAACACCAGATACATGCATTTGTAAGAACAGAAAATAGATGTACAGGTATATATAGGGTAAAACAAAAAGAAAGGTTAATGTTCCTCTGGCAAAACAAGCTAGTTATTAATTATGAACCTGATCTCCGTATTTGTTCTTACCCTGTTTCACTCTTGGCCTTCCTAAGATTGTATTCTCTTGTCTCCTTCTTTAGCTTTTGGAGGTGCAAAGAGTCTTTTGAACTATTTATAAAGAAAAAAGTATATTGTTTTTATAATTACCGTATATCAGGTTTTTTCCGCGTCATGTTTTTTCCGCGAATCAGAACCTAAACTAGTATAGTAAATTTACGCGAATCTAATTTTCACTATTTCAATGTCCCAGTGATTATATTATTTACAATTGTTTAAGCCTATGAAGGAATAGGGTGTAAAATGTAAATAAAAGCATTAAGCTTGAGTTACTTCATACGGGTGAGAAATAGATCGATCGATCTTCAACTCGTCAATTTCGGAAGACCCGCTCAGCTAATTACACACCTGTGTTGCGTACTAACTCTCAAATCCACGGATATTATTTTTTAAGATTTAAACAATCATAGGTCATTTACTGTTCCAAACTGACTAGCAGCTCAGGTATAATTAGTTTAATGGCTTCTCGCAAGAAACGTGACCCATATAATTAGCTAGCTTGTCAATTAGTAAACAAACAATAAGTTATACCTATTACCGGTATCTTGCGCTTGTCCTCTGATCCCTCTATTTCTACCCTCTACGATATAAGCATTAAGAAATAATCCTACTACAAGAAGAAAACTTTGTATGAAATTTACGCTGTTTTATTTTCCGCGATTCAGAACTCGTCGCGAACAAAGCGGAAATTGGATACACGCGGAAAAATCCTGATATACGGTATTAATTTAATGTGCATTTATTTTAATTCAGGTGATGATTTTATTGTGATTAATATGAAAGATTAACATTTAAAGCTATAAACATCATTCGTACAATATGTTACATTAAACATTTAAAACTATAAATTTAAATCTTGTATTCAAAACACCCAGGGACATTCAGATAATTCGACTGACTAATACAATACTGTTTTCTGATTGACTAATACAATACTGTTTTCTGATTGACTAATACAATACTGTTTTCTGATTGACTTACAATACTGTTTTCTGATTGACTTACAATACTGTTTTCTGAATGACTTACAATTCTGTTTTCTGATTGACTTACAATACTGTTTTCTGATTGACTTACAATACTGTTTTCTGATTGACTTACAATACTTTTCTGATTGACTTACAATACTGTTTTCTGATTGACTTACAAAACTGTCTTCTTTTTGACTTACAATACTGTTTTCTGATTGACTTACAATACTGCTTTCTGATTGACTTACAATACTGTTTTCTGAATGACTTACAATACTGTCTTCTTTTTGACTTACAATACTGTTTTCTGATTGACTTACAATACTGCTTTCTGATTGACTTACAATACTGTTTTCTGAATGACTTACAATACTGTCTTCTTTTTGACTTACAATACTGTTTTCTGATTGACTTACAATACTGTTTTCTGAATGACTTACAATACTGTTTTCTGATTGATTTACAATACTGCTTTCTGAATGACTTACAATACTGCTTTCTGATTGACTTACAATTCTGTTTTCTGATTGACTTACAATACTGTTTTCTGATTGACTTACAATACTGTTTTCTGATTGACTTACAATACTGTTTTCTGATTGACTTACAATACTGTTTTCTGATTGACTTACAATACTGTCTTCTTTTTGACTTACAATACTGCTTTCTGATTGACTTACAATACTGCTTTCTGAATGACTTACAATACTGTCTTCTTTTTGACTTACAATACTGTTTTCTGATTGACTTACAATACTGTTTTCTGATTGACTTACAATACTGTTTTCTGATTGACTTACAATACTGCTCTCTGATTGACTTACAATACTGTTTTCTGATTGACTTACAATACTGTTTTCTGATTGACTTACAATACTGTTTTCTGAATGACTTACAATACTGCTTTCTGATTGACTTACAATACTGTTTTCTGAATGACTTACAATACTGTTTTCTGATTGACTTACAATACTGCTTTCTGATTGACTTACAATACTGTTTTCTTTTTGACTTGTTCTTCACAATGTCGGAGTTTTTTAAACGATTCCTCTGCTGTAACTTCCACCACCATCTTACAGAACCTGTCAAAACAATTAAAATCTCCATAATTATGTGTTGATCAAAACATTATAGAGATTCATACCCACTAAAAATAAAGTCTTCTTTAATTATTTCTGCAAAATAAATCTCCAAAGACAGTAATTAAAGAAGTTACTAGATACCATTTTAGCATTGTGATATATTGTACAAAATATAGGCAAATTTAAAGTCAATCTCCATGAAATCCACTGATGAACATTACAAAAAACAGAACCTTGATTACTTACTATAATACAACATTGAGTATATATACATGTACACAAAACTCTATAGCTCCTATAGTACCATAAAGTATACATGTACACAAAACTCTATAGCTCCCATAGTACAATAAGTATACATGTACACAAAACTCTATAGCTCCCATAGTACAATAAAGTATACATGTACACAAAACTCTATAGCTCTCAAGTACAACAGTGAACTGTTTATAACTGGAATTGTATTAATTAAGTTTATCAAAATTACAGTCTTCAATCATATTTATCTGGCTTTCGTCCAAACCAGGGGTATACATTGTGTATACATTTTTTGTGTGTATATATACAGTTTTGTCAAAGATCTAGATCCCTGTATATAACACAACATTCTGTGTATACTCAGATTTTGATTAAATTAAGTTTTGGATCTACCAGGTTTGTGTATACTCATACATGTGTGTATACATGAGCATTTGCTGTGTCACCCTGTGTATATACAGATTTAGACCAAAAGTGCCTACAGGTCCTTGGTAGCTGTTTCAGCTAACATACACCTTTAATCTATTGATTTCACAGTTTAAAATTTATAGGAGCGACAAAATTAATCTATAAAATAATCAAATCATTGACAATTTACAATATTATTTCTTCAAAGGTGTTAACAGAAAAGTTCTTACCCAAAGAATCTATCAAGAATTTTCTCTGCTTGAATATTTTTGTAGTTGGCACTATTTTCAAAATCCAACAACTGGTATGTTTTGCTATAAGAAAATATTGAATATTTTTATTGTTTAAAAAAAGTTTATGACTATAAATATATTCCAAAATGTTTATGACTATTTTCAAATATTAGTCAGTGCAATTAAGATATAATTGAATAAAGTGATTTCAATGGTCTAAAATGCTTGGGGGAAAAATTAAAAAAAATAAATGGCAAATTCTTTTTTTTTATACGTTTTTTACACGAATGCATAAAAGAAAGTTCAAAATACAGGTGTACACTATACTTACTCGGTTTCAAAAGGCAGAAATTTCACTGTGATTAGCTCTTTCAGGAGCCTACAATAATGTATAATATTGATATTATTTATTTACATTTTGTATATACAATAATGTATACAATAATGTGATAGTATTGGTATTATATATTTACATTATATTGTATATTATTATATAATTTTCCTACATCAGACATGCATTCTGTCATTATTACATATTATTGATATGGGGAATCATAACAAATCAGAATTTTATAGATATATAATATATGAATTTGAGGGTACTGTATTGTATTAGTTACCTGGAGACCTGTAAGAGAGCCGCCCCAAATATAGGTACCGCCTGCAGTAGGTTAGCCGTCAGTTCCTCGTGTCGTCTGGAGAAGTCCAGGTGTAGTTTGTTGTAGCGCCACCTGTTGTTTAATATGGATTAATTATTACACTGGACGGATTCTCACTGATATATTTATTATCAGAAAGTGGAGTTTATATCACACTTCATTACCAGCTCCCTTTCATAGTGTATGTGTAAGTAACTCATTAATATACAATCACATATCTATATTTTACAGAGTGTATGTTGTTTTGTCCTTACCTGTAAAACAATTTTCGAACAAGGAAGTTTTTGAAGAATGGAATGGATGACACAGCATTCCACAATACGGCCTCCCTCTGCCACTCTGCCAAGCTCTGGCTCTCCGCGGGACGATCAGGAAATACGTGGAGAACTCCAAACGTAGAAAAAATGTAGTGTTCTGAGTTAGCCTGAAATGGGAAAATGTGGCACACTTCAGTGTTAATTAATCTAACAAATTGTATATATGGTGTAAAAAGGACTTGATACAATCTTATTTTAGCACAATAGTTAATACAAAGAAAGAATATATACATGCAAAGTAGATGATTAATTTGGGCTCTACAGTGCATTTCCTACACAATAATAAAGTATCAAGTTCTAAAGACAAAATTCTTTACAGCAGAGTAAATTTATAATGAAAAATAGATTTATATATATAGGTATTCAATTGAAAGAACTGCAGTCAGACTATGACTATACATATAACATTTGCAGCATCACTGAAATCATGGAGAAATAGGGACATTTTCCAGACTTTTTTATGCAGTAAATACCTTATTTTTATGCACAGATATAAGATCATATGGCCTGAAGTGTCGACTCTCAGCATGGTTGAAGTAGATGGATTGGATTTTACCGATGTGGTGACATTTAGCGAAGTATTCCACAGCCTCCCTCCCGGTCAGCTTTAATACTGGCTCCTCCTGGAAATAAATCATCTAGACAATTAAACAAATCAGGCAGATCATCGCTATTATTAACTCATGTTAACCTGATTTCTGGGATGTTATTTCAGTAGTTTACTTGTATACTGGTATGTTAATTTATTTGTTTACCTGTATCCTGGGATGTTAATTTATCTGTTAACCTGTACCTCAAAATGTTAATTTATCTGTATACCAATCCTGGGATATTAATTTATCTGTTTTATCTGTATCCTTGGATATTAATTTATCTGTTTTAGCTGTATCCTGGGATGTTAATTTATCTGTTTTACCTGTATCCTTGGATATTAATTTATCCGTTTACCTGTATCCTTGGATATTAATTTATCTGTTTTATCTGTATCCTGGGATGTTAATTTATCCATTTACCTGTATCCTGGGATGTTAATTTATCTGTTTTAGCTGTATCCTGGGATGTTAATTTACCCATTTATCTGTATCCTGGGATGTTAATTTATCTGTTTTACCTGTATCCTTGGGGTCTTTCTCTCCGTCTTTGGTGGCAGTGAACTTATAGATGATCTAGGTGTGGCCTGCTGGGAGGGTGGGGGTTTGGGTTTAATCTATCCAAAAAAATAACAAATCAAAACCTGCATCTTTCACATGTTCAGTACAAAATCTGCAAAGTTCCTGTACTATATTCTATATAAACCTATACAATAAACTCATTACCTCTTGAGGGAGATCTGTTTGTAAGGCTAGTGCTACTCTACCTCCGTCTGATTTCTGAGTCCAAATGGATTCACCTGCAAACAGACAAATAATCGTGTAACCTCATGAATAAAGGAATAGGCTGAGTTCATTTTATTTTAAGGGAAAATGTTACATACTAGCTGCTAACTCAGAGGCCACATTCGCAATGGATTTCTGAAGGTCACCCAAGGTCAAGGGTTTATATAGGGACATCTGTCTATCATCATGCTGCGAAAACAAAAAAAGAAATAAAAAGAAATAAAAATCAAACTTTCATTAGCAGTGGATAAAGCCAAACACTAATTTAGTAGTGCATGCATTGCATAGCTAACACTAAATTAACTCCTCTGCCCAAAAATATACAACAGAATACATGTAGTTAAGCTACATGTATAACAATCTATTTTGACATGCATCATTTCATACATGTATCATCAAAATTAGGAATTGCTAACACTTTATACCATATTTAACTCCATGGCATCTTATAGATTAAAAAAGTTTAATTTAGTCTATGATACCTAGACAAAAAACAGTGAATATACTATTAAAAAATACAGAAAAGCGTGCCCCAAAACCTGTCCAATCCAAGGTTCCAGAAAAACTGGCCAGATTAAACATTTTACATTCCATATTATACAACATTCCAGGTAAGACAAACATTTCAGAGAACTGAATTTAACTGAAAGAGACCCAGAGTTAACATCATCATAACAAACAAGAGGCCCAAGGGCCACATCGCTCACCTGAGCAAATCGACTAGGAAAAAGCACATATCAGATCAAAACTGAAAGTTTACATTTTATTTTAACCCCCCTGGGTGTCATGATTTGAACAAAGTAGAATCTACACTACCTGAGGATGATTCCATATAAATAGAAAAATATCACTAATCATGGCTTTGAAGTACTGAAAAGATTTTAAAATGTTTCCCTATATATCCCTACGTAAAACTCTGGTCGGCCATTTTGGCCCCACCCTAGCCCCAGGGGTCATGATTTGAACAAACTTGAATCTACACTACCTGAGGATAATTTCATTTAACTTTCATCTTTCCTGTCTCAATGATTCTTCAGAGGAAGATTTTAAAAGATTTTTCCTATATATTTCTATGAAATAAAAAGAATCTACACTAAATAATTCCACATGAGTTTCATCTTTCCTATTCCAGTGGTTCTTGAGAAGAAGATTTTTAAAGATTTTTCCTACATATTCCTATGTAAAACTTTGGTCGGCCATTATGGCCCCATCCTAGCCCCGGGGGTCATGATTTGAACAACCTTGAATCTACACTACCTGAGGATAATTCCACATGAGTTTCATTTTTCCTATTCCAGTGGTTCTTGAGAAGAAGATTTTTAAAGATTTTTCCTACATATTCCTATGTAAAACTTTGGTCGGCCATTTTGGCCCCACCCTAGCCGTGGGGGTCATGATTTGAACAAACTCAAATCTACACTACCTGAGGAAAATTTCATCTAAGTTTCATCTTTCCTTTCTCAATGGTTCTTGAGAAGAAGATTTTTCCTATATATTCCTATGTAATATGTAAACTTTGGTCGGCCACCTAGCCTCGGGGTCATGATTTAACAACCTTGAATCTACACTACCTGAGGATGAAAAAAAGTGATTCTTGAGAAGAAGATTTTTAAAGATTTTTCCTACATATTCCAATGTAAAACTTTGATCGGCCATTTGGCCCCTTCCTAGGCCCGGGGTCATGATTTGAACAAACTCGAATCTACACTACCTGAGGAAAATTTCATAAGTTTCAAAAATGAGAAGAAGATTTTTCCTATATATTCCTATGTAATATGTAAACTTTGGTCGGCCATTTTGGCCCCACCCTAGCCTCGGGGTCATGATTTGAACAACCTTGAATCTACACTACCTGAGGATGATTCCACATGAGTTTCATCTTTCCTGGCCCAGTGGTTCTTGAGAAGAAGATTTTTTAAAAATGCTATTAATTTTTCACTAATTCATAATTATCTCCCCTTGGAAGAGGGCGTGGCCCTTCATTTGAACAAAATTGAATCCCCTTTACCCAAGGATACTTTGTGCCAAGTTTGGTTGAAATTGGCCTAGTGGTTCTTGAGAAGAAGTCGAAAATGTGAAAAGTTAACGACAACGACGACAACGACAACGACGACAGACAACGGACAAATTTTGATCAGAAAAGCTCACTTGAGCCTTCCGCTCAGGTGAGCTAAAAACACAACATCTGGATTATAGGCAAGTTTTACAGTATATTTACCGGAACATGTGTTTTATATGGATTTGTTCCGTCTGGGAGAGTATTTTTCCTGGGGGACTGGATTGACTTTTTGGGAGAAGGGGGACATATGCTGACAGCTTTGATGGAGTGTCCAGCCGGGGTCACACAAAAGTTACGAGCAGGAAACGCTCCAGACTGACGTAATCTCTGTACGTCCTGTAAAAAATGAAAATAAAATTTTTAACAAAATTACATGTACTTAATTTGAGGCCAAACAAATTGAAGAATTGACTCAATTCCTATTCAACAATTATAAGATAAAGATTTTTTTTTTTTTACATTAATTGTTTTTTTTTCATTCTGTGAAATTTGTAGCCTATTTAAGATTGACTAGGATAAATAACCTATGATGCATCTGTACACCAAACTTACACCAGGAAAAACTTTTGCCAGTGACTCCACTAACTGCAGGTCAAACAACTTCTCTTTGTGGAGGTTTACAGTGTGGAGGATCCTCTCTAAATAGTGGGACATCTGAAATCAAAATTTGTTCATAAAACTATAGGAAAAATAACTACACAAAGGTGACCATAACTCACCATTGAACTATTTACATTGGATAGAAAGAGAAGGAAGTAACTCTACACACTGGTGACAATTCATTGTCTAAACAATTTTATAAAGATATCATTTTATAGCTGTATACCATGTACATGAGTGTGCAAAAAAATATTTTAAAATTACAAGTTTAAAAACAAAGGAAAACTGACCTCAAGCTTTATGTCTACTTGATTAAGGAAAGCCTTGTATGGCTCCACCAAGCTGAGAACTTCATGAAGGAACACCCAACCTGGGCGGCTACAAAGTGAAAGGTTAGAAAAAAAATACTTCACACTTTAATATGAGTTTGTATAGATACATTTGAGAAATAACTGTGCATTGCAACAACTCTCTCTGGCTCAATGATTTTTATTAATTTATAAATTTGTCAAGTTAATGGGCCATTCCTGACAAATTTTGATCTGCAAGTTATGCTGAAATTATCTACATTAATGTTTTAATCATAATTAAGATTTCTTTTAGGAAATCACATGTTTTAACGAAAACTTTTATATGAGCAAGGAGAGGAATAGTAAACCTTAACAGGTTGATCAATCTGAATTGAGATTTGATTTGTACATCAATATATATATACATGTAAAGATGTTTTGAGTATATATAACACTATCGTACCTGTTTTGTTGGAGGGCTGTGATGAAGACCCCCACTAGTTCCTGCTTCAGTTCACTAACATCCCCCTGTCTGGGCTCCTCTCCTGCCTCTATACACTGGCTTACTCTGTTTTAAAATCAGATCAATAGTTTATCTATTCTCACACTTCCAAAAAATACCAAAACCTTTCTAAGAGGCAAAACACATAATATGTTACAATTAGTGTTGGCAATGAGTACCCGGTTAACCGGTTAACCGTCGAACGTTGCGAGTATCGGTTAGTAAAACTGCTATTCGGTTACTCGGATAAAATACATTTTTCATAGTTAATAGGTATAAAATGATTTTTATGCTATTTGTAAATGTTTATTGACACATTTCCCTCATTTAATTACCGTTAATTACCGTTAGCTATAGGCTTGCTTTGCTGGTTTACAGTTGGGATCGATTTGTTTTGATTAGTTTTCACAGAGTATATAATTGATGGCTTTGATTACCATGGGGGTACATGTTTTGAAAACCTGAGGTTATAATTACTTTTAAAGTAGACCTGTGATAGTTAGAGGGACTTACTTTCACAAGATGCCGCCGCAAACATCTAAAGCGTGGGTATATTAAAAAAAACTGAATCGATAATACGGGTGGAACTACAATATGCTAAATCACCTTAGTTTGAAACATAATTCGGAAACCAGTGACTTAGGAAACTCTACAAAAACAACCAGCAATAACAAGGTCATGTGTTGATAATTTTTTTAATCTTTAACGAAAACAAACTGACTGTTTCAAGTGACATTTATATTCAATAGTGTTCGAAGATGTTGTGTTTTTAAAGGTTGTATTTGTAAATAAATTATAATTCATATACGTAGCATATGTGGATTATTTTTACCAATAAGTAAAAGGATGAGGTAAGTAATAAATACGGAAACTACTGCAAAAAATCATCCGAGTAACCGGGTACTCGATCGGAAGAATAAGCGAGTAACCGGTTAGTAAAAATCGTCCGATTTGCCAACACTAGTTACAATTTTTATGCTATTACAAAGAGAAAAATAATAGTATCTTTGAGGCACTTTACCTTTTTCTGACATCAGCAGCCCATGTTGATGCCTGCTGCCTGGGAGTGAGGGAGTGGGGACTTCTGCTAGGGGACACCAGGCTGTTCTGCCCCTCCCTCAGGACAGGGAGGGAGGGGGAGGATTGCTCCCCAATTTGGGGCATTTCTATTCTTGAACTCATTTCATAGCATCTGAAAATTGTCATGCATCAATATAAATAATATGCTTGTTTACCATATTATTGATAGCTATAGATTAATAATTGATAATAATAGTGTTAAATTAATCAGTGATAATATGTGCGTATTACAAACAAGGGAAATAACCATCCAATAATTAACCAAAAATAAGTTAATACAGAAGGTAGATGTCTACCTAAGACAAAGCTTAAAACATCGCTTAGCTTTATAGGCGAAGCCTGCCACCAATTCCATGTAATGTTATAAAATATAATACACTGAATAAATGTTAACACCATTGTTGAAACATTTTGGGTTTAAAGGTAAACTCAGAAAAAAATTAATTTGGGATCAAGAATTGTGAATTTAAATGTTAAATAGAAAAAAAAAAAATTGGGATCAATGAAAAAGTCTGAATTTTCTTGTCACCCAGGAGTTAACGCGAGAGCTCACAATGCAAGTAGTACTTTGCATTGCTTGCTATTATCAAAAAGTACATACTTAATAGGATTGTTGTATTTAGTATAATAGTTTTCATTTGACATGTTTTCTTTGAGTTATTTCCCTTGACCACCATCTTGGTGGTCAATCTGGGAATTTTTCCTCCTTGTCTTACAAAATTTAAGAGGGTACTTGTAGCAGAAATATAGTATAATCCCTTAAAATCGCCCCTGCCCCCATCTAGTTCTTTTACAATTGGAAAGAAATATGGGTCCCTATACAGTGATTAAAATCATCTAGAATCATATCAAAAGTCCCTATAATTTGAAGAAAGTGAAAATGAAAAGAGAGTGAGACAAGAAGAAGAACTTCAAAATGCGTTATTTGTTCTTATGTGCATTAAATGCTATGACGGTTTGGGCAGATTTGTTAGTGAATCCAATATGGCATTACAAAATATTGTATCGAATATTTTGCTCAAAACACATGCAGTCCAGATATGTTCCTAAATAAAAATGAAATTTTGTTTTTGTTAGACTTTGTTTCTGCTTTTACTCAAATCTTGGATCGACCCGTCTTAACCGAGGTGTCATGTGACCAGATTGTTCGTGTGTCGAGGTGTCCTTGGACTGAGGTGTCTGACATTGGACAAAAAAAAAAATATCCATGAGAATACAAAGAGCATGATTTATGTACATGCTAGCTTGCAGGTACTCTTGATTCTGAACATGCTGAAGAACAGTGTTGAATAACAAACCCGTTTATCTATTATGTATCTAAATAAGAAGATGTACACGAAAAAGAATATATATCCGCATAATTTACACGTAAGAAAAATTAAAATTGAAACGAAATCATACGTTTAACAGATTGTTTTTTCCTGAAACACTGCGTCTGTTGCCAGGGTCGCCATCTTTCATATCTCAGCAGGTCCGCAGAAAAAAAAATAAATAGGCCATATAATTTAATTTATTCGAGCAGTGAATAAGAATATTAAAGAACAATGATTTTACACAAAGCTAATTTAGATATAAATTTTAATTTAACCATTCTATAAAATGTTTTTAATCCAATTAAACTCCAAGAAAATTGACTTCCTGTTTACGTTAGCGCCGGAGCAAATTTTGTGTTTTGACATGTGAATGAAATGTAGATGTTATTGTTTTGTTTCATTAACTGCAGCATTTTAAAGGTAAGCGGTATATATGTTTTTTAGTGTTTACTGATCCTTTCATAATCTTGTTTTATCAGATAGTAGATTGGTTATTTTTGGGCAAAAATATCCTTTGCACACATGGTACAGGTCCAGCTCAATCTCTTGATCTAGTTATATAGCTTGAATTAGCTACAAAGCATAATTTATTAAGCTTTTCAGAATACCTTGATAAAGTTTTTTTATAACCAGTTTTTCACACAGGTGCTTGAGGACAGGACCCCCCCCCCCCCCCCCCTAATATAGACCCCCGGGCTCAAGTGGAGAGTACGGACAAAGTATCGGCGCAATAATTTATATTTGTATGTTCATACGCATATTTCGGTCGGAAAGTATATGTGTACAAAAAAGGTAGAGAAGTACACAGCTGGTTGACGGCAGGTAGACAAGTTGACGGGTCGGCAGGTAGACAGGTCGGTGGGTCGGCAGGTAGATGGGTCAGGATCAGCAAGTAGACGGTTCGGCAGGTAGACAAGTCGGCAGGTAGACGGGTTGGCAGGTAGACAGATCGTCAGGTAGACGGGTCGGCAGGTAGACAGGTCGGCAGGTAGATGGGTCGAGATCAGCAGGTAGACGGTTCGGTAATCTCAGCGAGATGGGTAGAGACTGAAAATTTGGACTGACGTCTACTACCCATCTCAGACTAGTCCCATACAACGTGATTCGGGCTTTTTTGCTCCGACTTCGGCAGCTCCTTTCAATAAATACAGGCTGAAATAAATTATCTGCCCGCCTCAACTTTTTCCTTTGAACATCCCTTAAAGTGTCTATCACTATAAAACTTTCCTTTCATACCTTTAAAATGTTTAAATCCAGTAAAATATAAAGTTGTTTATTTTTCCTGACAGCATAATGGCTGTTTGCTATTCATTTAAACCTTCGCTGCTGAAGAGTTCCACAATAATCTGTTTCCAATAATTCGTACTACTACTATTTCTTATAAGAATGATCTATAGTATGAATTATTGGAAACAGATTATTGTGGAACTCTTCAGGTAGATGGGTTGGCAGGTAGATAGGTCGTCAGGTAGACGGGTCGGCAGGTAGACAGGTCGTCAGGTATGCGGATCGACTGGTAGACAGGTCGGCCATCAGGGCTCAAGTGGAGAGTAGAATAATGTGCGAGGACTAACCCTAATCTCTCGGATGGATGCGAGACTAACCCTAATCAGTCGAATATTGTGCGAGGACTAACCCTAATCTCTTGGATGGGTGTGAGACTAACCCTAATCAGTCGAATAATGTGCGAGGACTAACCCAAATCTCTCGGATGGATGCGAGACTAACCCTAATCTGTCGAATAATGCGCGAGGACTAACCCTAATCTCTCAGGTGGATGTGAGACTAACCCTAATCAGTCAAATAATGTGCGAGGACTAACCCAAATCTCTCGGATGGATGCGAGACTAACCCTAATCTGTCGAATAATGCGCAAGGACTAACCCTAATCTCTCAGGTGGATGCTAGACTAACCCTAATCTGTCAAATAATGTGCGAGGACTAACCAGAAACTGCTTAGCTGTCGACCTGCCGACATCTCTATCTGCCGACATGTGACGGACCTGCCGACCTGTATATTAGCAAATGTTTACCTGCCGACCTGTTGACCTGTTTTAATTTCTAGCAGTAAAATATAACCAAATCACCACTATATGAAAGAATATCCGCCGTAATATGGAACTACATATCCGTTAACTCCACTTGATCCGACCCCTGGGCCTGTTGGACTTTTTTCGCATAAATTATGTATGGATGACACATTTGTGATATAATCTATCCTATCAATTCAGAAAATTTGCTTAAACTTACATTTTTTATGAAAATATCTACCCTCTTTACATATAAATTAACAAGGTTGCCAACTTCGTCTGCAAACCGAGAGGCACTGCCTGGGAATTTTGGTTGAATCGTCTCATAAATCTAAACAAAGCCCTAAAATCAACAACTCATATTGTAGATTGAATATTCTTTTCATTAACCACCAACTCTCATGAAGGTTAAGGCACTTTAACAGTCATTATGACCAAGTTTTCGAAAGGATGTCAGGCTACAGTCAGTGTTTTTGCTTAGTGAACGGAAGTGATGAGGAGACGACTTTTTACCAAAATACATAATATATATCCGCATAATTTACACGTAAGAAAAATTAAAATTGAAACGAAATCATACGTTTAACAGATTGTTTTTTCCTGAAACACTGCGTCTGTTGCCAGGGTCGCCATCTTTCATATCTCAGCAGGTCCGCAGAAAAAAAATAAATAGGCCATATAATTTAATTTATTCGAGCAGTGAATAAGAATATTAAAGAACAATGATTTTACACAAAGCTAATTTAGATATAAATTTTAATTTAACCATTTTATGAAATATTTTTAATCCAATTAAACTCCAAGAAAATTGACTTCCTGTTTACGTTAGCGCCGGAGCAAATTTTGTGTTTTGACATGTGAATGAAATGTAGATGTTATTGTTTTGTTTCATTAACTGCAGCATTTTAAAGGTAAGCGGTATACATTTTTTAAATTGTTTACTGCTCCTTTCATAATCTTGTTTTATCAAATAGTAGATTGGTTATTTTTGGGCATGAATATCCTTTGCACACATGGTACAGCTCCAGCTCAATCTCTTGATCTAGTTACATAGCTTGAATTAGTTACAAAGCATAATTTATTAAGCTTTTCAGAATACCTTGATAAAGTTTTTTTATAACCAGTTTTTCACACAGGTGCTTGAGGACAGGACCCCCCCCTAATATAGACCCCCGGGCTCAAGTGGAGAGTACGGACAAAGTAGTTCGGCGCAATAATTTATATTTGTATGTTCATACGCATATTTCGGTCGGAAAGTATATGTGTACAAAAAAGGTAGAGAAGTACACAGCTGGTTGACGGCAGGTAGACAAGTTGACGGGTCGGCAGGTAGACAGGTCGGTGGGTCGGCAGGTAGATGGGTCAGGATCAGCAAGTAGACGGTTCGGCAGGTAGACAAGTCGGCAGGTAGACGGGTTGGCAGGTAGACAGATCGTCAGGTAGACGGGTCGGCAGGTAGACAGGTCGGCAGGTAGATGGGTCGAGATCAGCAGGTAGACGGTTCGGTAATCTCAGCGAGATTGGTAGAGACTGAAAATTTGGACTGACGTCTACTACCCATCTCAGACCAGTCCCATACAACGTGATTCGGGCTTTTTTGCTCCGACTTCGGCAGCTCCTTTCAATAAATACAGGCTGAAATAAATTATCTGCCCGCCTCAACTTTTTCCTTTGAACATCCCTTAAAGTGTCTATCACTATAAAACTTTCCTTTCATACCTTTAAAATGTTTAAATCCAGTAAAATATAAAGTTGTTTATTTTTCCTGACAGCATAATGGCTGTTTGCTATTCATTTAAACCTTCGCTGCTGAAGAGTTCCACAATAATCTGTTTCCAATAATTCGTACTACTACTATTTCTTATAAGAATGATCTATAGTATGAATTATTGGAAACAGATTATTGTGGAACTCTTCAGGTAGACGGGTTGGCAGGTAGATAGGTCGTCAGGTAGACAGGTCGGCAGGTATGCGGATTGACCGGTAGACAGGTCGGCCATCAGGGCTCAAGTGGAGAGTTGAATAATATGCGAGGACTAGCATTAATCTCTCGGATGGATGCAAGACTAACCCTTATCAGTAGAATAATGTGCGAGGACTAACCCTAATCTCTTGGATGGATGCGAGACTAACCCTAATCAGTCGAATAATGTGCGAGGACTAACCCAAATCTCTCGGATGGGTGCGAGACTAACCCTAATCAGTCGAATAATGCGCGAGGACTAACCCAAATCTCTCGGATGGATGCGAGACTAACCCTAATCTGTCGAATAATGCGCGAGGACTAACCCTAATCTCTCAGGTGGATGTGAGACTAACCCTAATCAGTCAAATAATGTGCGAGGACTAACCCAAATCTCTCGGATGGATGCGAGACTAACCCTAATCTGTCGAATAATGCGCAAGGACTAACCCTAATCTCTCAGGTGGATGCTAGACTAACCCTAATCTGTCAAATAATGTGCGAGACTAACCAGAAACTGCTTAGCTGTCGACCTGCCGACATCTCTATCTGCCGACATGTGACGGACCTGCCGACCTGTATATTAGCAAATGTTTACCTGCCGACCTGTTGACCTGTTTTAATTTCTAGCAGTAAAATATAACCAAATCACCACTATATGAAAGAATATCCGCCGTAATATGGAACTACATATCCGTTAACTCCACTTGATCCGACCCCTGGGCCTGTTGGACTTTTTTCGCATAAATTATGTATGGATGACACATTTGTGATATAATCTATCCTATCAATTCAGAAAATTTGCTTAAACTTACATTTTTTATGAAAATATCTACCCTCTTTATATATAAATTAACAAGGTTGCCAACTTCGTCTGCAAACCGAGAGGCACTGCCTGGGAATTTTGGTTGAATCGTCTCATAAATCTAAACAAAGCCCTAAAATCAACAACTCATATTGTAGATTGAATATTCTTTTCATTAACCACCAACTCTCATGAAGGTTAAGGCACTTTAACAGTCATTATGACCAAGTTTTCGAAAGGATGTCAGGCTACAGTCAGCGTTTTTGCTTAGTGAACGGAAGTGATGAGGAGACGACTTTTTACCAAAATACACAGTTCTGCAGAAAGTCTGAGACACTGTTTTGAAGTAAACTTTTGAAGAAATTTGGTTGATATACACTTTAAAAAATGTCTTTCAAATGTATTGGGAGAATAGAATTCTAAACCGCTGATGCAAATGAAATGTCTCTAATTATTTTTCAAATACCTGATTTGCATGTGAGAGTTATGCCCTTTTAAAAATACAATTCATAAAAATATCTTCTTTTCATTTAATATTTGTATAAATCTACAAAACGTTTGAAAATAAAATTTGGATGAAGCATTCGAACAAAAAAAAAAGAATATATCTATTGTTGATATTTTACACGTATATTTGGGTATATGGGGAACATCAGGAATTAGTCCTCTCCTCAATACTTCCGTTCAATAAGCTTTTTACGGAGTTGGTAACCTTGTTGATTTTTATATAAAGAATGTAGGGTGGATTTAATAGAACGTTTGTTTTAGGTAATTTTTTGATTTGCTGGTATAGATCTTATCACAAATATGTCAATGAAAGATTTTTTATGAGAAAAAAATCAAAAAGCCCAGGGGTCTATATTGAAGTGGGGGGGGGGGGGTCCTGTCCTCAAGCACCTGTGGTTTTTCATAAAAATGTTTTTGTAAGAAAAACACAAAAACTCCCTAGTACTACAGTGCTTTAAGCAGTTCCGGATTTTAAGCAGTTCCGAATAATTTTAATTAAATAATTAAAATTATGCAAACATAAATGTTTCTGTTTCTAATGATTCTGTACATAAATGAAGCCTTATGTATTGTCCATACTCTGGATGACATAGCGAGATCAAGAACTCCGTCTTTCTTACCGTGTCCAGGCTTTTTGTTTACAACCGCAAGCGCATAAATGACGTTGACCGACATTAAACACGTGATATCTTGAAAGTAAAGACGTGCTCTGAAACTATGGCAAGGTATGTATTTCATTTAAGATATGTGAATGAAACATTGATGTATCTCCTATCTCATGAAATTTCGGTTTCGTTAAAATACGACGTAAATCCAAAATAAAGAGCAATATTCACAACATCCCATTTTAAGCAGTTCCGAATTAACCATATACGGGATTGTCTCAAAAGAGCTGGTATAACAAACAAGAGAAAATAACGTAAACAAAAAGTCAGAAACATGAAATCATTTTACATTCAGAATTTTATGATAAATTATGTTGATTTGAAAAGGCTGAGAAAGTATTATTAATTTCAAAGTCATGGCTTTAAGTATCTTTCTCCCTCCCCCATCTAGCTTCTCTCTCTCTCTCTCTCTCTCTCTCTCTCTCACATGCTATTTACAGGAGATACTACAAATTCAAAGATCCTTAGAAGAAAATACTTATAAATAAATTAATAAAACTGAATGGAGAAACTGTAAAGAATGAACAATCTCATTAAATATTATACAATGTAGAGTGTATTTTTTTTCAGCGTTTGCTATATCTAATATATCACTGAGTCCAAGGAAACTAAAAGTAGTCATGGGAAGAAAAAAGAAGAAAATGTTCGAAATCATAAGAAAGCAAGAACTTTATGAAACCACCAATGACCCCAAACGAGGGTTGCCGCTAAAATATGCAGCAGGTCTTCTGATAGGTCATGTGTCAAAAGGTTTATCAAATTCTTTTTAGACAATTCTGGATTAAAATGGATAATTTTTTGCAGAGGTTGATAATGTATATTACACATAACATGTATGGTGTTTGTCATGTCCGTCATCTGTCCTTCTGTCTGTCAGTCTGTGACACTTTGTGTTAAGCTCAGTTTCAAAGAAATTTTCAAGATATTTTTATCAAACTTCATTTGCTGACACATATAGTGAGAGGTATTCAACTGCTTAAAGATTTGTTTTTACCTTGACCTCACTTTTCTCAAATTTGCAGCTTGCTAACTTTCAAACCAAAAAAACTATTTAAGATATTTTTGTAACTTATACATAATTTCAAATTAAATGGTAAGAATTTATCGAATTAATTAAGAATTGTGCAATTTTTTTTTTTAAACTGACTTTTCCTATGGCCTTCAACTTTCTCATCTATTGTGTATAAAACTGAGTTATTTTGAAAGTATACATGTACTCAAGTTTAACCTTTTCTTCAAACTTCACATTCTATCTTTATATTATTTCTTCCTATACATGTAGAATAAACATTAGACTAACAAAAAATTTAATAATTTATTTTCAGGAACCTACTCACTGTATGATTGAACATGAATACCCGACCTCGACCAGTTACTGCTACAGTGACCAAACCAAAATGGATGGAGCCCCATGTTATCCCCCGAAGGTCAAGGTCACTAGAATCTAATGGGTCAACTGCATCATTAACATCCGTCCTAGATCATGACAGTTATGAAAGTCCAGACATTAGCGAAGATGAATGGGAAAGACAAGAACTCCGCAAAAATGTTGAAAATGAAGAAAAGACAGTCCAACAGGATCGTAGAATAGCCAGAAACAGGTCCTCCCACAAAGAGAGGGCACCAGCAAAGAGTCAGGAGAGGGTCAGAGTTCAACGCAAAAATCGGATAACAGCACATCAGAAGGACAGGTAGAAATGATACTAATAACATACTAGTACCTTTGATCTTTGTTTCTGAGGAAAGATCTATGTATACTAGTCAAAATTTCTAAGTCCCCAGGCAAGTTTTTGCTTTACACCCCTCTTATAATGAATTATTTTAACAGTAGAATTTAACAAGTATACAGGACAAAAAAGTAGCAAAACAATTTTTCGCACTTAATTTGTCTCATTGAAGCACTCAAACACAATATGCAGAAACGTTAAGGCACCCTAGAATTAAAAATTCACATGGTTAAATACTGCATTATCCTCCATTCAAATGAATTCACAGCAAGACAACCGTTCCTCAAAGAGTTCACACTATTTAAGAAAAGTTCTTTTATGGAATGTTTTTTCATGTGGAGACTAGGTCGTCCTCTAGTTCAGCTAGATTCTGTTGCTGGAAAAACTGTCTTATACTCCGGTCTATCTTCTTCCATATATGTAAATTAAAGTTGAGATTAGGATGACAAGCGGGCTTACCGAAAGTGCCCGTGCCTTACTGACAATAGTTACATAATTTCTCATTACATGTATTCCCCACTCCTCCAGTTTGACAATGAGCGGAGGGCACTTCCGGTTCAGGTTCCATTGATTTTTCCGGATAAACTCTAGGATGATTTTGTTGTGTTTGTTGAAAATCTAGCGATTTCTAATGATTAAAATGAATTCAGGTGTGCTTTGTAGGTTTTTCGGTTGGTAATTATAAAGGTTTTAAGTAAAATAAAGTCATACAGTGAAAGGAAAAAGAACTCTCATTAACTACGACCAGCTTGGGCCATTTCAACTTCAGTTTCACATTGTTGTGTGGACATACAACGCATTTTAATCAAACTTTTTTCTGTTTTTCCGTATCAATTGAAGATGGAGAATACATGGAAGTAAAAAATATTAAGAATACACCCGAAAAACACATGGAACTTGAACTTCATGCTTTTTAACAAAAACGGTCACGGTCGAGTAATTACACATTCGATTACAATTTTTTGGCCTTGACAGGTAAATATTGCAAATTAAAGGCAAAATTATAAGCAACTAGTACGTTGATATTAAGGTTTTGAACTTTTAGAAAAAATAAAAGTGGGGACTTAGAAATTTTGACAAGTATATTTAGTCAGGGTCTATGATCAATGACTGTATCTATATCTATGAAAAACAGAAGAATTTTATAACTATCCGATACCTGTTATAACTGATATATGTTTAAGGTATTCCAATCCTCAGGTTCTGAAAATCAAGCATTGACTAATTGAAAATGCTCACAAAAATGTTTCTGAATTTTCAACGTAACATGTTTTTTACCCATAATAATTCTTCAAGCTTCATCTTTCAAGTTAATCATATTATATAGAGAAAATTAGTAAATTTCAAATATTTTTCCAGGACTTGCGAATAAAAACATCTGCTATGCATTTTCCAATTCAAATTTGATCAATTAACACATTTTAAAAATAAAAATCATAGGTATCCAGGCTTTTGAAGAAATGCCACAATTTCTATACATAAAATGTACTTTAATTTCTTTTATTTACATGTGCTTCGATCATTTTACAATACAAAGTGTATAAAAATTCTCCTGTCACTGCAAAGCTACATAAATCACTTCTAATTTCATATCATGTAAATAAACATTGGTATCTATGGTTAGATTAAAATGAACATCAATTTCTTGATATATATGTGTAATTTTTAAAATGCTTTTACAGGGTAAGAATTTCTACTCTCAATTAGACCTTTCTGAGTACTTCAAAGAACCTTGAAGCACATTGAGAGGTATATGATGAAAATTGTTGCATGTGTGGCGGTCAGCCGGGTTCAATCCCCGGTGGCCAGATAGCTCAGTTGGTAGCGCACCTGAACGGAGTTTCAGGGGGCACGGGTTCGAATCCCGGTCTGGTCCGCTGCATTTTCTCCTCTCCCGTTACATTTGGTGCCGTACCATGCCCTGGAATTGACAGGTGAGAGGCCTGCCAGGGATGAGCCGGGGTTGGGGTCTTTGGAGGGCCAAAGACCTTTAAGGAGGGAGGAATGTGGCGGTCAGCCGGGTTCGATCGCCGGTGGCCAGATAGCTCAGTTGGTAGCGCACCTGAACGGAGTTTCAGGGGGCACGGGTTCGAATCCCGGTCTGGTCCGCTGCATTTTCTCCTCTCCCGTTACACATGGAAAGATTTAATTTTCAAGCTTCATTTTGAGACTTTTTGAATTAAATTATGAATTAAAGAGTTGTCCTTCCTAGTTAAGGATCGGAGTCCCTTAAAATCCCTAGTAATATTATAACTTTATATAAATGGTGCCTGTTTTGGAGGGTAACATTTGAAATTGACACCTCAAGGTTCAGCGGAGGTCGACAATGGTTTTCCGAGGGGTGTCAATTTCAAATGTTACCCTCCGAAACAGGCACCATTTATTTTATTATACTGAATGTCTTATTGATTTAGGACGTCAGCAAAAAAAGAAAAAAAAAAAACCGTCGATCGTCTTTACGTTCATGTATAGAAAGCTTTCACACTCACCGGTTCACTAATCTCCTTATTGTTTGTTTGATACTCGAATTAGAGTCATTTATCATATAAAGTTTCGTTATTTCTGGCTCACAAGCAGGTTTCCTACACTCGCAAGCATGTATCGTCTGTCGTTTGTTGTTTTCAAGTAAGCTAAATCGGACGCAAGCTTTTACTGACGTCAAGTTAATTACGGTTCTTTCAAACGCACAACTGACGTTTTGAGAATTCTACGGTGAACCGTACGCGCATAATTTCCACGCATGTGGCATTACCGTTGTGTTACCCGTTGTCACGTGTGTTGCTAAGGCTCAGGGTAATTGAACGGATTGTTAACTGCGTCTAAACCAATCAGATTTTAGTATTTAACATGAAAGTATAATAATATCATATGTCTATTGCCTAAGATAATCTGATTTCTACTTTGAATGTCTTATGAAGGAAATAATTGAGAAAACATATACATGTAGCTCTTAACTCTTGATACGGGAGCATTAGGAAAAACTTGAAGAGATCAAGAATTTTTAAGAGTCTGTAATTTTCAGGGTTTGCTGACAAGTATTAATATTAGTCTAACTAGATTTCCTGAAGAATTCTTTAACGTGTGTTTTAAAAACCATTATTCTGTGTATTCTTCAGGTGAATAAAACAGAATTACGAAAAAAAAATGTATACATGTATTGTAATTATATATTCAGATGTATTTATTTTACGTAAGATGAACATCAAATTACGCATCTGTTACATTTTATCAGCTGTTTATAGCACTGTACTTTAACTAAATTTGTATCTGTTATAATTTCAAAAATTGACAAAGTTCTGCAATTATTTTTTCTGTGATAGTCGTTATAACAATGTTAATATACATCCTGTATATTTATGCCTCCCTTCGAAGAAGGGAGAGCATATTTCTTTGCTGAGCACTGTCTGTCGGTTGGTCGGTCGGTTGGTCCACTTAGTTTCTGTTCGTTTTCTTCACATCTGTTGCACATACAGAAATGAAATTTGATATACAGATTTATCATAAGAATATCTAGGTTAAGTTCTGTTTTGGGTACGTTTAGGCCATTTTTGACAGAGTTATGCCCCTTGGATTTAGAAAAATTCCAATTATTTGCAGTTTCCATTCATTTTCTTCCCAGAGGTTGCACATATACGGAAATAGAATTTAGTATACAGATTTATCAGATAAATATATAGATCAAGTTCTGTTTTGGGTACGATCGTGCCATTTTTGACAGAGTTATGCCCTTTTGGACTTGGAAAAATTCCAATTTGAGGGGCATAAGTGTTTTACAAAATTCTCTTGTTATCATTCCTTTGACACTAACTAGAATTTAGTGTCTCATCTAATAATTTTCTAAGATTCACACCTCTCCAAGTTATAGTACATTTGTCAACTGAATAAAAAACATCCCATTCCTTTGCACCATACTGTAACACCTGGACTTATTTACACCGTAAATATCCCGGTTAAAGGAGTCAATTACATAATGCTTGCATACAAATAGCTACTTCAAGGTAATGAGGGTGTTTTTCAATAGATTGATGCAGGACGGGACTGCTTTTTGACATCAAAGAAACAAGGGTTTCAAGAGATTAATTTAATTGATGAAAGTTCTCGAGATCTAGAGTAAATTTGCTTATAATATTTATACACTGCATAGGGTAAAAAAATTGGGACCACAGACTCAACATTGAGTGACTCGAAGCCAACAAGAGTTACCTGTATAAATATACAATATTATTGAATTTTGTTATCTCAGTTAAATTTCAGTTTGAAATACCAATCACTTTTTAAATACATTTTAATCTTCATCCCTTGAATCTTTAGATATCTTTAAGTTTTTCACAGTCTCATTGGGTTTCAGATAAAGAGGTTTGACAGTACATGTAGGTATATGGTTTGTGATGGCATACTCTTAATAATTGTATACATATTCCTCCATACAATGGAGAATTAATACCTGTAACTTCTAAAAGTTCTCTGATATTAAATAGCTGTGATTCTTCTTATTTAACAAAATAGAGAAATATGAATAAAATGTTTATAGTATACTATAATTGATCATTGCTCTTTAGGTAGTCATGGTAGTTGTTATATTGTCCTTGGTTTTAAAAATAAAGGCCTTTTTTAGGGTGGGGCAAATTAAATTATGGGCTAAAATATGATAAAAAAAAATATTTCAAGTCAATTGTTAATCATGCTTTGGTCTTTCTCCTTTTATAACTTGAAAGTAAAAAAAAAAAATTAACAAAAAGGCTCCAGGGGGAGTCGAACCCTCGACCTCCTGTTTACTAGACAGGCGCTCTAACCAACTGAGCTATGGAGCCGTTATAATTGTCGAAGGTAAATAAGGTATTTAAATCTTGATCGATAAGTAGGTAAGGTAATACGGAATACAAAATAAATCTTGTCGATAAAATGTTCCAGATCAAAATTGCAGTTAATGTTAGCCAGGCCATGTGCCATTTGACAGATTCCATTGTATAATGATAATGATTAATAAAGTTTACGGAATCGCATGAATCCAATCTATTTAGAAATGGATCTTTGTTCCGCTCGAACTCCATTGTTATATACAAAGCGATTAGTTGGAGCGGATCAAAGATCTAATTTTCATTACCTTGCACATGAATCATTCTTTCAGTTTTTGTTTATTTTTATTTGTTTTAGGGAAGGACCTATATAATTTAGAATTTATATAGTTACCAGTATCTGTTCTTATTAATCTAACGTTAAATACAAAATATTTCTGTATAGCCCATGCATGCAGTACATGTATTTGCTTTGCATATTCAGCTACTTACCATGCTTACATTCATCCTGTTCGTTCATTCCGACGGAATCTCCCGCCAGCTCTCAATAACTTTGTAAAAAAAAAAAAAATGAAATTAATTTTAAATGAGAAATACAAAATTACAAATTATTCCCTGTGGTCAATGGAGCGCCAAGAAAACGAAGAACGGCAATATGGAGCGGCAAAGTGTAAAAGGCTTATTGTTTATACGCAGACTCAAATTAGTATTTACGCGTATTATATACCTGTACCCTGGCTACTGGCGTGTATATAAACAATAAAGCAAAGTATACATCTCTACGTGGTTGCAACTTTCCCACAAATTCTTCTTCTGCATGTTCAGGCCAACAGCTAACAGTGTTTTTGGAAATTCTCTGTCTTGGGGCGGGCTGAGGGTTCTCTATTTTTTTTTTTCAACTGAAGGAATTTGCAAGCCTTAGGGTTCATCCCTAACAGCAAAAAGTGTGTATGAAAGGGGGGGGGGGCAAGCATCGTCTAAAGAATTAATTTATATATGTAAAAACACTGAAAAACTTCAGCAAAAATATACTTTTCTCAAAAAAGTGAAGAGAAGGGATGGGGGAAATTGGAGCCCCTCCCCCTTCCTGATACCTTAATTTCCCCGCGTACGTATATATAATAGGCCAGGCTAGCTGATGGTTGTTTAATCAATCTGTCGATAGAATATCGAACAGTGTCGATGCTGTAATAGAATGAAAATACTAAAATAATGGGTAAATTACATCAGACGGGTAAATTACTATTTAAATCAACTTCAGTTTATTTTTTTTTTAATCTCAGTTACGTATTTCTGCATTTCAAAAATTGAGGCTTTATTGTGAAGGATTAATCTCCCTGTTTAATTATGCATTCTTATGGAAGAAAATATGTGTACATATTATATTTCAATCTTTACCTCTTCATAAACAATTCAAAGTTCTTTCTGAAGAAAAGAAAAACAAACAAACAAACTCAAACAAACTAGGCTTACATGTTTAAAAATTCTCTTGTTTCGTTTTATTTACAATACTTAATGTGTTTATTTTTTTTACGAAGGGGGGGGGACCGAATTATCTGATGACAAACCAAAATGACAATTGAAACGTGCTGCATTTTCAATTGATCTCGTTTTAAGGATCAGGAGGTCTATTAAAAACAATTATGGCTATTGAATTAAAAGTGAAAAATATCAAGATTTTGGCAGACATTTTTAAAATTTAGTTTATATCACAAAAAGTTGAAAAACAGCGCACTTTTTTGTCGCATAAATATACAGTTTCGTCAATGTGAAATTCTTAGCTCTCCCTGCATTATATAGTGAGCGAGTGACTTGCACACATTCAAATGAATAATCTATTGCACACATCAACTTACAATGGTCTCTACTACATATATATAAATTAAAGAAAGAACATTACAATCATATTCAACACCCACTTACATATATTGTGAAAAACTATTTAAAAATTCCCACTTCTTTATTTACAAATGTAAAAATGTTCATTTTTTGAAGAGGTCCACTACTCGACTAAGGGAGGGAGGTGAAAATAAATATACACCTCCTACATTTTTTTTAAAGAGTTGTTTTACTTTGATGAATTAAAAGTGAAAAATATCAATGGACATTTTTAAATATTTAGTTTATATATCACAAAAGGTATATTCAGGACACATGGCGTATCTGTTCGCCTAAAATGTGAAACAGTGTTAGATGCATAGTGAGCACATTGCACACATTCAAATTAAAATGTTGCACACATAATTAATTTTAAACTACATATATATAAATTAAAGAAAATTGGTCCATCATTTTCAGTACATGTCTTTAGGTTGTGAAAAACAATTCTAGATCCCCACTTGTGTATAAGAAAAAAAATGTTTGAGGTCCATTTAATTCAATATTAAGGGAGGTGATAAATATACACCTCCTACATATTTTTTAGCTCACCTGAGCCAAAGGCTCAAGTGAGCTTTTCTGATCAAAATTTGTATGTTGTCGTTGTCGCCGTTGTTGTCGTTGTTGTCGTAGTCGTCAACTTTTCACATTTTCATCTTCTTCTCAAGAACCACTGGGCCAATTTCAACCAAACTTGGCACAAAGTATCCTTGGGTAAAGGGGATTCAAGTTTGTTCAAATGAAGGGCCACACCCTTTTCCAAGGGGAGATAATCATGAATTAGAGAAAAATTAATGGCATTTTTTAAAAAATCTTCTTCTCAAGAACCACTGGGCCAGGAAAGATGAAACTCATGTGGAATCATCCTCAGGTAGTGTAGATTCAAGTTTGTTCAAATCATGACCCCTGGGGCAAGGGTGGGGCCAAAATGGCCGATCAAAGTTTTACATAGGAATATATAGGAAAAATCTTTTAAATTCTTCTTCTCAAGAACCACTGGGCCAGGAAAGATGAAACTCATGTGGAATCATCCTCAGGTAGTGTAGATTCAAGTTTGTTCAAATCATGACCCCCTGGGGGTTGAAAAGGGTCCCCCCCCCCCCCAACCCCCCCCCCTCCCAGGAAATATATAGGAAAAATCTGATATGTGCTTTTTCCTAACCAATGGATCAGGTGAGCGATGTGGCCCCTGGGCCTCTTGTTTAAAGAGTTGTTTTACTTTGATAAGTGAACTTCTGAAAACAGTATCAATGGATTTTTTATTTTAATAAGCTATATTCAGGACACATGGCGTATCTGAGCTAAAATAATCAAACAGTGTTAGATATACATGACACATTTACGTTCAAATTAAAATGTTCACTAATTAATTTTAAACTTGAACACGCAAATTCAAAGAAAATTGGTCCATCTTTTCAGTACATGTCTTTATGGATGGGATACCATTATAAATGGCAACTCTCGATTCCCGCCTACATTTTGCGCCCATTTAATTCAATATTAATAGTGATTTGACCATAATATCTTTGTTTAATTCAAAGAACAGTTCAATGGTAATTTATTAATTATTTTAATATCAGCGCTAAGAAGTAAATTAACCTGAATTCCAGCTCTTGAAATAGGGGGGTAGACAATATTTTCCATTGAAATTGGACTTTCAAGCATCACCATATTTGGAAATAATCTTGGATATGATTAAATGTTCCTTATATCACTTCCTCTGTTTTACACAAATAAATTAAACATAAAAATATCAAACTACAATGTTTTAGTTGTAAATTGCTTTGAAATTAATTTATGATTAAGCATTTTTAGCTCACCTGAGCTGAAAGCTCAAGTGAGCTTTTCTGATCACATTTTGTTCGTCGTCCGTCCATCTGTCTGTCTGTCCGTCCGTAAACTTTTCACATTTTTGACTTCTTCTCAAGAACCACTGGGCCAAAACCAAACTTGCCACAAGGCATCCTTGGGTGAAGGGGATTCAAGTTTCTTCAAATGAAGGGCCACGCCCTCATTCAAGGGGAGATAATTGGAAATTAATGAAAATTTGGTGGTATGTTTTAAAAATCTTTTTCTCAAGAACCACTGTGCCAGGAAAGATGAAACTTATGTGGAAACATCCTCAGGTAGTGTAGATTCAAGTTTGTTCAAATCATGACCCCCCGGGGGTAGGGCGGGGCCACAATGGCCGACCTAAGTTTTACATAGAAATATATAGTAAAATTCTTTAAAAATCTTCTTCTCAAGAATAGCAAAGCCATAATTGATTATATTTATATGGAAGCATCCTCAGGTAGTGTAGACTCAAGTTTGTTCAAATCCTGACCCCGGGGGTAGGGCGGGGCCACAATGGCCGACCAAAGTTTTACATAGAAATATAATATAGTAAAATTCTTTAGAAATCTTCTTCTCAAGAATAACAAAGCCATAATTGGTCATGGGACTACTTTTGGATTTAAACTTTTCAATGATAAACCAATTCCTCTGTTTTCCTAGCCACAGTGCTCAGGTGAGCGATGTGGCCCATGGGCCTCTTGTTGTTGTTTTATGTCTATAAACATATGCCCCCCCTCCCCGGGAAAAACAAAATGCTATGGTATGAACTATGAATTTGTAAAATGACAGTCCATATTACTAGTAAAATGGAGTTAACTTTTGAAAATGACTTGGAGGGAGGCGGGAGAACAGTGCTATCGTTCGCAGTTTTTTTTAGATCTCTTCACTCAATTTTTAAAAATATGAAGTGTTAAACTGCTTCATCTATAATTTCTGTTTTCACAGAATATCAGACTATGACACAACAGCAGAGTACAGTAAGAATGTGGGAGCAGGTCTCTCTCCATGGGAACAGTGGCTAATACAGAAGACAAAGGAGGAACGAGTGAAAAAACAGCAAGTAAAGAAACACAAGCAGGAGGTCCGGGAGGAAAAGGAGAGGAGGGCCGCGGAGAAAATACAGAAGGAGGAAAAGGCAGCGGAAAAACGCTCTGAGTGGCTCAAACAGAAAAATTACGAGGAAAAATTACGAAAGAAACTAGAAAAACAAAGAATCCAAACAGAGGCTGAAATTAAGGCTCAACAAAACATGGTAAGAAGGGAGGACGACTGCCCTTAATTACATTAACATTATAGGTTTAATTATTACCTACCAAATGTAGGAGTGACAAAGATTATTTTAAAGAATTCAGAAAACATTTTAGCCATCATAGACTTAAAAATATTAAGTTCTGTAAGTTTTTTTTCAACAATGTAATTTACCCCAAAAGAAAACCATAAGGTATATATATATTACTAGTATATTTTAGCTAGGGATATGGGCTCCTGTAACTCCATTTTAGAATTCTATCACAGTTTACATTTTACCAAAGCAATATTTCCCTGTCCAAGGGCTTTCTTTGGATTAAGCTGCAAGTAATCAAAACACAATTACAGATAACAAAAATGAAAGCTGAAAGGAAATTTGAAGAATGGAGGGAAAAGAAGGAAGATATGGAAAAAGAAAAGAAGGAGACAGAAATGCAGAAAAAGAGAGATCTGGAGTTAGCGGAGAAATGTCAGAAAATAAAGGCCCAGCAGAAGTACGAGGAGTGGCTGAGGAATGCAAAGAACCGCCCCAAATCCAGTCAGAGCTTCGGGTACACTGGGGGAAAACTGACAGGTAGGCCAATGTTTAGGGGAATGAAATGGTATTTCAATCACAGAAATATTTGTTGGAAAGTATTTAAAAAAGGAAATAAATCCCACTGTGTAGCTGTAGCTTTGATGTTTGATCATACATTCGACCCTCATTATCTAAAATCTCAATGTGCCCCTCTGGAAAGAAAAAAAAAAAACCAGGGCACAGCTATAATATTGAGGGCATTTAAAAAAAATTAAGAAAATGTTCAGGTGACTTATTTTTTAGGAAAATTTCTTCATTCCATTTTTTTTGTTGTTGATATTCATTCAAATTTCTTAGTAATTGCACAAGCTATATTTTTCACAGTTTGATTCTGTTTTATGAAAATAAGGCTGTTTTCCAGTATTCAAGAGCATTATCTAATTGCAGAATTAATTTCATTTTTTAAAAGATTTAGATAGTAATCATAACTTAAACTAAGTATTTCATAAAAAGGATTTATTTGTTGTCATGGAAGAATAAAAAATTCTGAAAGAAAAAAAGAAACCTACACTGACAATGTATTTCAAAATATACAGAAAAATGAAATATAATAGTATAAAATATTAAAATGCAAATGATAAAAGCAATGAAATATGAAAATGAATACATGTCTTTGTTTTCATTTTATAATTGCAAAATTTCTGCACAGAAATTAACAAAAAAGAATTATTTGCAAACAATTCTGGTACAATGTAAAATTGACTAGAAAAGATTGAACAAAGCTTTCTTAAATGCTAGAAATGAAAAAAAAATGTTGAACTCAGTACAATATGACTGAAATAATTGTAAAAAAGAAAGAAAAAGGAAGGAGAGAAAAAAATGGCAGAAGTACCACGGACAAAACTGTACGGTCTTCTCAATTCAACCACATTAGAAATAATAAAGCTCGCTTAGTTTGGCAGGTAGTTAATTCTTGAGTAGAATAAATAACAAATGTTCAAATAACATTAAATCTTTTTTACAAATATAAAATTCATATATTAATATAAAATATCTCTCAGATGATGCAGAATAACTTTGAGGTATAGTTATACATGAAACAATAAAAAAATATAACCATTCATGTTAAATAACTGCTCTTGCTCCCAAAACAACAACAATGACCTCTGGAAATATCAAGTTTGTATTAAAAATATTTAAATATATATGTATATTTAAATGTAAAATTCAAAACAACTAACAACAATTGAGCCATTGAAATACCATATAGGTTTGAAAGTTTATGACTTTAATGAACAGCTTTTAAATCAATTTACCTTAAAGACGAATTCAATGTATTGGAAAATATGATGCATTATCTACTTGCATGTATATGACAAGAACAATACAGTAGATCACAAAATTTCCACAACTGAATTAGGGTTATTGCTCTATACAATGCTTAAGAATACAAGTACATGTATCAGCACAAGGATGGCAATAATGAGTGCACAGACTGTCATGCGTAGTATTGGGAAAATTGAAAAGGGTTTTACGGTTGCAGGAATTTTCAATTGTATAATTGTAATATAAAAAATATTATAAATACAAACTGTACTTATAAACATATACAAAATATCAACTAAATAAGTTATATATACATGTAGTTACATGAATAATCATGTAGCTCAAGTTTAACTTACAAAAAGTTTAACATAAGTAATGCAGCATGTTTAATAAATTTAATGTTTGAGTCAAATTTATATTTCAGGGTTTTTGAAACAATCTTTTTTGTATTATTTCATGAAAATTGCAAAACATGGCTAAAATATGATTATTATATACTATCTCTACAAAAATACAGTATAAAAAACAATATATGCCTCAGATCCAATGATCCGGACGCATAAAAATTGTGCCAGAGTCCATGATGTACATTGTGGTAGAAATACGATTTAATATAATTATGTATGGAAGAGTGTCTATTTTTCAAACAGTGTATATGCAACAAAAGTTGAGCAAACATCTGAAAGAATCAAGTTTGTCGCTATAAAGCAGATTTATTTTGTAACTTTTTCATGTACAATGTAAATTATTTTTTGTTTTTATTCATGCATGAAAATCATAAAAATTTGTTATTAAAAACCAAAATTAACTTTTTTAAAGTGGTAAAGTGTGGCTGCTATAATATAGTGAGTTTGGCATTTTAGGCCAGCATTTTTTTATTTTTAGGTTTACGAACATCAGAATGAAAAAGTCCTGTAGGAGGAGGAAATAAAAAAAAAAAAAAATTATATTTTGGATACATTATCGACTTTTCTATATTAATTTTTGCTTCTTTTTTTATGCTATTAAAATACAAACTGACACATAAGGGTTACAAAGGGGAAAATACAACCTTTAATTGTTTATCATCATCTACCAGTTAAGTTATATATATCTTGTAGTTACAAAAAAAATCAATTTTTCAAAATCTCTTTTAATATATCTTCATTTTTGTTTTTAATGTGTGTTACAAAAATTTTTAACTATAAAAGTAATGATTCCTTTCATAAAACAAAATAAATTTAATGAAATTTTTTTCAATTAAGTTTATATTTCTGGCTGCCATAAAATACTAATCTGTATATATTTGTATATTCTTGTTTTTAAAATTGCAAATATTTTATTTCTAAAATATGATTATTATATACTCAAATGGACTTAACTTCTCTATAGTTTTAAAAATCTGATGCATATACCCTTTTCTGAAGAATGATGCTAAGACTGTAAGCTATGACAGAAACCTAAACAATGTCTCTGACAATAGCGACCATGAGTTGTAAACCTGTGGGAGGAAAATAATTTACAATATAGACAGTTACTTTTGAATACGGAGACATAATTATCTCGCCAACTTGTCACTTTTCAAACAAAGTGTCAGCATTTTATTGTTCAAAAATTGAAACGTTTTGAATGGCACTCCTATCGATAAATATTTACATTAAACCAAGATTTGGTGCTTTGTACACTTTTTCATGTTCATGTAAATTATTTTGTGTTTTTATTCATGCATCAAAACATCATAAAAATTTGTTATTAAAAACCAAAATTATTTTTTTTTAAAATTCAAAAAGTGTGGCGGGTTTGCTAAAAATAAAAAAATGCTGGCATTTTAAGAAGCTTTCTTTGAAGGTACCTGTATTGCTGAAACTGAACAGTGGCCAGAGGCCAGCATCAGTGAGTAGTACACAAAGATACTAGTAGGACGTGCTACACTGTATACATGCATCTACTGTATAAACTTAATATATAGGATGTAGATGCTACACTATATATCAATATACCAGGTACTTTTAACCATGGTACATAATAGAAAGGACAACACTACATCATTGTTTTGTTCTGGAGAGTGTTAAGATGTAGTGACTGGATTTTCAGGACTCTTGCTTTGCTCCACTGTTTGTTCTGTCAATGGTTTCTGATCTGTTTCCTCCTGAGTGTCCTTTGACCCCTCCTGAGTGTCTTTTGACCCCTCCTGAGTGTCCTTTGTCCCCTCCTTAGTAGTTGTGACCTCTGATCTTTCCTCTCCAGTCTGTGGTTTTGACTGGTTCTCCTCATCCTGAGATTTTGACTGGTCTTCAGCTTGTTCCTGCCCTGTTTTTGTTGAGCTTTCGTTGACTGATGTCAGAATATCTGCTGGATTCTCTTTGTAATAGGACGGGACTCTCATATACTGTAATCATATGTGGAAAGTTTCGATGAACTATCCTTTTTGAAATACATAAATTGATAAAATTCATTTTTGAAAAAGTCCTGAGAGTTTTAATAACTTACCACATCTTTGGCATTTTTATCAGCTCCTTTGGATTTTAGCAATTCTTGAATGTCAGTACTTGATAGTCCCATTGCATAATGATATGGTGTTCTGTTCAACTAAAAATATATTCAATACAGGTTTTATGAAATAGTCAGTCACACTTTAAAAAAAACAATAATGCAAGCAAAAGATATGAAACAAACATGATTTTGTTTACCACAGACATACTGCATACATTCTGCACCTGTTATATTCACTCTTTTGCATTTGCAAAAAAATTGTCTTTTTTTTAATTTACCCATTCACAGTTTTGTTGAAGAAATTAAAGTGTGGTTTTGAGATCTTTGTTTTAAATTTGCCTGCTTGTGTTTAGGGTAAAAGGAGCAGGAAAAAATGGGGGCAAAAGTTCCTGTAAACAGTAATTACATGTATATACTTAAATACTGCACATGTTCATGGCATTTATTTAATCACCATACTGATATCCCAACACTGAATTGACTCTACAATAGGCTATGTTAAATTTTATGAAACTAAATATCAGTACACTTGCTTTGTGTACTTTTTATTGCAGCATGCTTAGTATGCTGTCACTTCTAACCTGTTTTTTCTACATCCAGTACGCTGATTGATTATTCTATCTACTGACACACTCTACATGTAGCATGCTGTTTACTCTCACTTTATACTGACCTGGTCTTTACATGTAACTGTTTTGGGGGTATACTGACATTATACTGACCTGGTCTTTACATGTTACTGTTTTTGGGGTATACTGACATTATACTGACCTGGTCTTTACATGTAACTGTTTTGGGATATACAATTTATACTGACCTGGTCTTTACATGTTACTGTGTCAGGGAAGGCTGTTACTATGTGTTCTGTGACATCTTTATGCTGCCTGATCACAGCTTCGTGGAGGGGACTTTGTCCTTTGTTGTCCTTGACAACAGACAGTTTCTTGTCCAGAATATTTTGAATGGTTGTCAGATCCCCTTGTTGGGCAGCCAGTAACACATTGCTTATCTTTGACTGAAAACAAATAAATCAGATTGTCTTATTATAACTGTTTAGTGTTTTCCATATTTTGTATGAAGGAAAATGTAATGTTTCCCCAGTATCTGTTCTTTTCTATTGATTACTTAAGACTCATTTTCATTTAACAGGTATTCAGTAAATTCAGTATAGCTGATTAAGCTTAACTGACCATGATTTCTGCAGATTTATACATTTAATGATTTTTTTGCACAAAAAGAGCAACAAAATAGACATGTTTGAGTTTGGTGCATGTAAGCAGAGAGTTACTTGGACATCAGGAATGGACTGTAGGAACTTTTTGACCTCCTCTGTTTGACCTTCAGTACTCAGTTTGTCTATAACTGGCTGGAACTCTGTGTAACCGTCCAGTATCAGCTGTTCTAATAAACTGAATTTTTCTTTCTCGATCAGTCCCTTAATGTAGTTATCTGTGGAAAAAGACTAGTCTTGTCACTAAGCAATATAAATGAGTATTGTAGAGGTTTTCTGTTTCAGGACACCATGATAAAGTGTGGCTAGAGTGTATCATTTACCTATTGCGTCTACATTTTCTTGAATGCCCTTCTCTACTGCAATATCCCTAGGAGTCTTACAAGTGATGTCTCTCTCTGCAAGGTTATACCCAAGGTTCAACAAAGCTGTTAAGTCTGCCCCTGGTGTTTAATAAAAGAAAATTATCTTTTAACTGGTACGCTTAAAGCTGCAGCTCCAAATTCTCACTTTATTTTCTTTTCTAACACACAGCACATACAAATGTACACTTCACACTGATCTGCCACACTGACACTTCTGAGTTTTCTTTTTTATGTCAGATGGTGCTTTTACACGTACTCTAAACTGCCATGCTTTCATTCTGCTGAGCCACACAATTTTTATTTTGATTGTGTCGTTCCCCCTTACCCTCACACTTACCCTCCTGAGCAGCCAGTTTGTGAAGTTCAGATTGTCCCTGCTTGTCCTTTCCATTTGTATCTTCCTCACTTTCTTCTTTCACTGTGTCAAGGTTGGGTCTCTGAGCTAAAGCATCCATTTCTCGAGCTCTGGATAAACATTGATAAAAAAAATTATGAGACTGTTGGTTTTTTTTTTTTTTACCTGATTTCATTTACATTATTTAGGATCATCTTGGAAGCATTTTAGTCTTGTTTTTCTTCTGATGTGTACCACCAATGCTTCCAAAGTAATTTAAACAAATTTAATTTTTAGTAGTAACATACAACCAAAGGTACTCATTATTTCTTTGACCTAGCTTTCTAAATATCATTGATTCAAGCTGGCAGTACATGACTAGAGAGTTTTACGCCTCAATGTTTTGACACTGGACGTACTGTCTCTGTAGCTCCTCCTGCTCCTTCCTTTTCCTCTCCTCCTCAGCCCTCTCCCGTTCTTTACGCTCGGCCTCCATGATGGCTACCTGCTCCTCCTTGATTCGTTGCTTCTCTTTTTCCTCTTCTTGTTTCTGTTTCTCTTCTTCTCGTATTTCTGCCATTAATTGCTCTTGCTGAAAGAAAAGTAAAGTTTTACACCTGTATTAAAAGATCTTACGTATAAGATTCTTGATTGTTAAATTGCTTTAAAAATCCTTATTTCAGTACCTTGTCAATGTAGTTCCTATTTTCTCGGTACTTATATAACCACTGTCCTAAATACTCAATAGGATCCCAAGGTCGACATTCAGCAATCTCGGCCAAGGCCAAGGTCAAGGCCGTTCCCAGGTGTTCCGCTACATATTTCCCATCGATTGTGCTTGGGGGAGGCACCCGCTTTGTTTTGAGATTGGTAGATATGTACATTTGATGAGAACTGCAAGCAGCTAATTTAGGTTCTGGAATTGGCCGAGCTAGAATTTCCTCTATATTTTGGCGGACTTTCATGACCTGTAGATGCTCCGGATTGTCATAGATATCTCTAGGTGTAAGACCCGCCTATGTTGTAAAAGGAGACAATATTTGTTAATCTATATTTTTCTGGGAATTTCATCAGAATAATGATCATCTATTAATAACAGAAATTTAACAATGTTAAACAATCGATGTTTACCGTATCTACGGCGTCCTCTTTGGCTCCGGCGGCAGTAAGCATGGAATAAATATAACCAGCATCAGGTAGACCCGCAGCATAGTGCAGCGCAGTTCTCTTCATCTGTCAATTAAACATGCTCATCATTTCCCTAATTTTTAAAAGTCAATATTTAGTATTTACACACTATTATGGATTCAATCCCTCAAATTTTATGGAGGAATAATATTATGTAGTGAAAAATCAGTAGAGCTATAATAAATTCAACTAAGATCTAATGCAGTTTACACTAATTATAATAAATGTCTAATGAAAAAAGTAATGATACTGTCATTCTGATAGGTGGCTTACGTTATCTTTGTGTTCAATGGCAAATTTGAATTCTTGTAAAAACCATTCAATAATTTCTCCATTTCCCGTTACAATAGCCTTATGAAAAGGAGGAAGTCCCGTTCGATCGGCTGCCAGAATAAATTTCTTCCTGTCCAGTACTTGTTTGATATCTCGGAGATTTTCGTCTTGAATCGCTCTGTGCAGCTGTTCTACCTTTTCCTACAAAATGTCAAGATGGACGAGTTATACTCCAACCCCACTCCCACCCACCAGTGTCAATCGTTTGATAAAAAAACATCTTAGAACAGAACTTGATCATATCAATGCACACCATTTTATAATCATTGAGTGTATTAAAAATTGAAGATGTTTACTAGTGTGTAGTGTCCTGTACAAAAATTTGAATTTTTCAATTAAACTTGTTAATTAGTGAAAGACACTAGTATTCGAACCTGAAATTGGCGGATGTTAAAGATAAACTCTTCCAGTTCCTTTGAAACGTTTCTTGCCTGCTCAACTGTTATGGGCCAAAACAACCAACCAGATAAAAGCAACTTCTCCACTTCATTTATACGCTCCCTTAGAATCCACGCCTTAATATGATTAATTAATATTGTTTCGAAATCTGGATTTAGATCCTCAGTGGAAAACACAAGATCCGCCACCGTGTTACCGCTGACATCCCGGGCGGAAAAATCTGTGTTCTCTAACAATATTTTAAATATTTCTGGTGTGGTACGGTGACGGACGGCAACATGAAGAGGGGATTCTCCAGTGGCGGATCGAAGGGGCGTGGTGCTTTCTGCTGTCTCAAACACTGCACGCACTTGTTCTGTTTTATTCCCTTCTATTGCCTCTACCAATTTTTCCCAGAGAGAAGTCATCTAAGAGCAGAAAATTGTATCAAATGACCTATTACCATGTTTGGCTCTAACTGAACATAATAAAAGAGGGAAAATCAATAAAACAGATAGCTTGGTTTTTGTAGCCCTTTTAATGAATTCAACATTACATCTATAGATAAACAAATAAAGTTTAGGGTTTATTTCCTTCGATTATTTGCATAGTGGTTTAGAAGATTTTACCCCTTTCCTTTTGGGTTTTAGGGATTTCACATTTTTGTCCATGCTAAACATTTATTCAATAACATGCTAATTCAGTGGCGCAACACTGCACACTGCGAAACAAGCTACACAATAGCAAAGGATTAAGTTGCGCTAACGTTTTCAGATTATAAAAAAAGGAAATTGTCATACCTTGAATTATTACTGCACGATTAATCCAGGGATTTAAACAATAAGCAGACGTAAATAATCTCCCCCACATGCGACAACAGACGGCAAACCAATCTCTAGGGAAGCTGTTTACATTAGCAACCATAGTGAAAACAGAATTAACGGACAGTGACGATTTAAATCACTAATCAATAAAAGGTAAAATGAAAGATAGCAGCTTTCGCTTTTGCCGGGGACCTTTAAATGGGGGTAGTAAAAGATTCAAGAATACATCTCATAGACGGATAATACATTTTTTTTAAATAATCATATAAATAACCATGCGAATGATATTCTCTGTTTATGCAATGTATACATTAGCTGCAGATCTGTAGCGTTATGGTTTTATATATTTGTCTTTGACCATAACGCTACAGATCCCATTATGCAAAAAAGGTGCAATTTACGGCGCAAGTTTTTTTTGCGCACTTTTGGGGAAAATTTCTCCTCTTTCCAGCATCGGTCAATTAACTACCTTTAACTCCCTAATTCAAGGCACATTATTTAACTAATCTGTATATTTTATCTACTAGTATCTCCCAACCCTTTATAGTCGTCTCTACAAGTGATAAACTCGCTTAATGAAAATCATTTGTTTGATTCCTGAAAATTCACTTCAAGCGAGTTTATTGCCTGTAGAGACAACTATAAATGGTTGGGAGGTGGATAAAATATACATGTTGGCTACAGAATGTGTCTAGAATTAGGGAGTGAAACATAGTTGATTGACCAATGCTAGAAAGTGGAGAAATTCTCTCCCAAAGTGCGCAAAAAATCTTGCGCCGTAAATTGCACCTTTCTTGCATTACGGAATCTATAGCGTTATGGTCAAAGACAGATATATAAAACCATAACGCTACAGAACTGCAGCTATGTATACATATATCATGATTTTAAAATGTGCAAATAAGTGTGCTCTTTTAATTTATCCACTGTTTCTCAATAATGTCTTGAAAAGTAAACACAAATAAAACAAAAGGGGGGGTTGATGTCAAGACGGAAAGCGATTCATACTTTAAAAAATCTGCAATTTCTTTTATAGCTGCTGATCTGTAGCATTATGGTTTTATATATTAGTCTTTGACCATAACGCTACAGATCCCGTAATGCAAAAAAGGTGCAATTTACGGCGCAAGATTTTTTGTGCACTTTTAGGGAGAATTTCTCAACTTTCCAGTATCGGTCAATCAACTACCTTTCACTCCCTAGACACATTCTTTAACTGATCTGTATATTTTATCTACCTCCCAACCCTTTATAGTTGTCTCTACAAGTGATAAACTCGCTTGATTGAAATTATCTATTAGATTGCTGAAAATTCACTTCAAGCGAATCATTAGAAAGGGAGGGTTTTTTTTCACTTTGGACATCTTTAAATCATTGTCACTATAAAACGTTCGTTTTTTTATACCTATAAACGGCTTAAATTAAACCAAAATTAAAGTTGTAGGTTTTTTCATAGCTGTGACACATTTGATTATCCCACCAGTAGACATGATAAAATTTCATCATGTAGCAAGCTTTCTTTGAACCCTGTTTTAGCTCTCAGAAATTGCAAAAATTCAACAGATTCGGGGGCTTTGTCCTCTGTGCCTTAACCAGGACTTAGCCCTAGGTCTGAATCATTGGGACTTAGCCCTAGGTCTGAATTATTAGGATTTTGCCCTAGGTCTGAATTATTGGGACTTTACCCTAGGTCTGAATTATTGAGATTTTGCCCTAGGTCTGAATTATTGGGACTTTGCCCTAGGTCTGAATCATTGGGACTTAGCCCTAGGTCTGAATTATTGGGAGCTTCCAGGCGGTCCCTTAATCACTGTCTTTATATGTTTCCACGTCAAACACTCCCCGAATATGCCTTGTTTTAAACAAACTATTATGCGAAATGCACTTCACAACTTTCGGTTAGATTATATTTTTAAAAATAGAACATCCATTTTTTACACGATTATAAAGGAAAAGCCTGCTGGATTGAAATTACCAATTTTATCTGTACTTTGTGCATTGCGATTTTTCCTCTAATTTTCAAATTGTTACACTTATACGTATTTACAAACTGTTAACTGCCCAATCTGTTAAATTCAATATTTATGTTTTTTCAGGTTACCACGACACCGGGGCGTACCCAGCACCAGGTTTTTACAACCCCATTCCTTGGCATCCAAACCCGATTCCGAAGTCACAGAAAACAGAGAGACCTAAATCCCGACCCCGATCAAAGAAATACGTCTGGAATCCGGACAAATATTTTTGATAAAAAAATTCTTTGTGATATCTTTGTCTTATTGATATGTAGATGATCCAGAAATTTACATTTCGGGAGAATTTCGTTTTCCGGGAACTTTATTTCCAGATATTTAATATCTGAGTCTATGGCTGCTTATTTTTATTATTTATTTTTATTTGTGAAAGAATCTTTAAGTTTCACCTGTAAATGTCTAGGAGTAGATAATTTTAGATAAACTGTGATGATCTTGTTTTAAATGTGACTGTATAAACGGTATATTTAGTATACATAGTTTTTGTTATTAGCACACATGAACGGAAAGCTCAATTGAGTTTTTCTGATCACATTTTGTCAGGCGTCTGTCCTAAACTTTTTCACATTTTCGACCTCTTCTCAAGAACCACTGGACTAGTTTCGACTAAATTTGCCACAAAGCATCATTGTATGAAGGGGATTGATTTTTAATTCATTAATTCAAATGAAGGCCCTCACCCTCTTTCAAGGGGAGAGAATTAGAATTGGTGAAAATTTGGTGTCACCTTTTTAAAAATCTTTAAAAAATCTTCTCAAGAATAACAAAGACATGCTTAGTAAAATTGATATGTAAGAATCCCCAAGTATTTTAGATTCAAGGCATAATGGGGGAGGGGGGATGGTTAAAGTTTTACATATAAACATATATATATAGTGTTTAGAAAAATCTTATCAACAATAAAGCCAGGATCAGTCATATTGGAAGCATCCACAGAATCAAGTTTGTTCAAATCACCCACTCCCCAAGTTAGGGTGGCACACATCATTAATTTTTTTTTCCAAGAACAGCAAAGCCGTGATAAGTTTATATATAAATTGTGGCTAGAGCACGCGATCAATGCTTTAGATATAAATATGTAGGAGAAGAGGTCTGATAATGAAGAACAGCAAGGTCACGTTGACTCAGGTGAGCAACGTGGCACATAAAACTTTTGTTTCCATTTAGATTTTTTTTATAACTGTATATTATTGCATTATGTAAAAAGAAGAATAAAATGATACTAATTGTTGTTTACTTTTGTTTATATATATATATACTGCCAGTTGGTATGCGGATTTATCATAAGAATAAAAAATATATCTAGGTCAAGTTCTGTTTTGGGTACTATTGGGCCATTTTGGACAGAGTTATGCACCTTGCCCTTAGAAAAATTCAAATTATTTGCAGTTTCCGTTATTTTTTTTTTATTTAAAAAATCCAATTGTTGGAGGGAGAGGGGCATAAGTATTTTACAAACATCTCTTGTTTTATGAGTAATGATATTTGAACCCGCCTAATAAGTGTAGACACCCTTCACTTGCAAGTGTCGAGGGTTGAACAGGAGATCTCTCTGCTAACACATGGGATTGTGACAGGATTCAGTATTCTCAATAAGGGCGTTTTCCGGCCTACAGCAACTTCGAAACTTCAAGTAATGTTTTCTAAGATGAATCATCTGAAGAATAATCCAATTTATTGATAATTTTGTCGTTTAGCTTATGATTATGTGGTATTTTTAATGATATAGGGTCACAAAGTGATGAACAGTGTTCTATTTACCCGTATTAGCGTTAGAGCAATGGGGAGGGTGGGGTGCGTTTGGCAACTACTTACCGGTAATACGTCATAACCACCTTTAACCAACGCCAACACTTGCTTGCAAACTTCCCATATAAAAAGCGACTACTAAATTATGAATTTGGTTAAGGCTGGTTATGACATCTAAATAAAAACTTTTCACTTCATTTTAAAGATAATTGTAGGGAAAGCTTAGATGCTCATAATGAATACACTTGCCTTGTTAAGATTGTTTCATGTTGTAAAAATTCCGTTGAAAGACGGTTTCTAGTTTGTAAAAGATGAAGAATATAGCCCTGTAATTTTCAATTGAAATTTATCAGTTCTTTTTTCAAAATTCAAAATTCAAAAGACTAGATGAAGCAAAAATACTGAATTAATTGCTAGAAAATTAGAAATACAGAATCAATACTCATTAGTAAGGTATAAGTAAAAGAAAGTAAGAAACTTTATTGTTATAAGTAAATTTACTTCTTCTTTGAATATATCTGTTAATAGTCCAGTCAATAAATGACTGGACGCGAAACAATTTACAAATTGCAAAAAAAGAAATAAATGCATAGAAAGTTTCATTTATGTACTGTTATTAATCTCTAAAATTTCACCATTGATTAGTCACTGTATAATAATTTTCTGCGAATTATCAAAATTTTTGTTAAACGAAATTCATTATAGCGTAATGTGCCCTCCATATGCAATACGGAATATGACGTCATGATAACAACCAACATAACGGAAGATTACAGTATCTGCTAGTATTATGTAAATAAATATTCTATCCTAATTCAATAACTTTTTAAAAGGTATTATTCCTATCTACTTTATTTCGACACGCAACTTTTAAAAGTATTAGAGAAAACAACATTCATTCTGTTTCAGTGCCTTCATAATGCATCTTAAATTGTTAAAAATATAATTATACTCATTTTCAACATAGTAATTAGAATTACGGTTTTATTTTGGAAGGGTATTTTGCCCATATATCGATGATTATTTACGTTTTTTTTTCGACATGTTTACCCACAGGCACCTGAAGTATGGATAATACCTATTTTTAACGAAAAGAAATGTAACAGTGTATAATACCTCAAAAAT